ACATTGCCTTGTGATTCCAAGGGTGACTGTTCGAATCATCTTGGCCATTGTTTCAAAAATGAACACGGTAAACCAATTATAGCTAGTTTCTACGGAATAATATTTTTGAGTGTTGTGAAGGAAGATGTGACAGGAGAAACGAGTAGATAACAAGGTAATGATGACGTCACTACGGCAATATGAGTCTCACAACATACAGTTTAACATACAGACACGAATTAGGGCGACACATCTACATAGAGATACATACATGAGTGGGCGTCCGCTGGTCAGCTGATTGTTGTGCTAGATAAGATCAGAATATCCCAGAGAAGGTGACGTGGGAGCTGCAGGACACGGCTCTGGGTGGCACCAGCTCTGGTGACACGATCATTCTGCAATTGTTTGGTGACAAGAGTTGGTACGGAAAACCGTTGGCGCAACATTCTGTATTGACGTGACAATATAAATAAAGCATCTAACGTGGAAGCTCGACTGGTTCACCAACGGGAGATAAACTGAGAGTGACATAGGAGTTAAAGAACTTGTATAATTATAATTGCACAAAGGGTGTGGTGAAGGTTTTTTTTTTTTTCTTTCTGTATGTGCACAACAATACACACGGGCATTTTTTTTTTGGGTGCACAACAATACACAAGAGCGTTTTTTGGTGCACAAGAAAACACACGGGCGTTTTTTTATGTGCACAACAATACACACGGGCGTTTTTTCCACGTGAAAAAAAAATCCCAGGATTTAACGGGGTTTGAATCGGGGACCTCCAACAAACTAGGCGGATGTCATTCTTCCAGAACACTCAGACCCTAAATCCCTCAGATCCGTCGAAAAAAAAAAACATGCGGGGTTCTGCTTTGTGTGAGGCTCTTGATCAGCGGTCAGTCACTCTGAGGATAGACCGAGCCGCGTAGGATCAAACCCGGTGCAACGAAGTCGATTCTGTCGATTGTGACTGGACTTGTAACTGACAGGCGCTCAGTTGTACTGCAGGTCTGGAAGATTGGCTTGTTGACTTCAAGTGTACCAGGCCCTCCCTTGTACTTCTTCATTATGGCCCTTTGAGAGTAGGCGAGTGACTCATGTCCTCGTGTCCATCGATTCTAAACAAACCTGGTGTGGAGTTGACTGGTCTAGCGAGTGACTCGTGTCCTCGTGTCCATCGATTCTAAACAAACCTGGTGTGGAGTTGACTGGTCTAGCGAGTGACTCATGTCCGCATGTCCATCGATTCTAAACAAACCTGGTGTGGAGTTGACTGGTCTAGCGAGTGACTCATGTCCTCGTGTCCATCGATTCTAAACAAACCTGGTGTGGAGTTGACTGGTCCAGGCGAGTGACTCGTGTCCTCGTGTCCATCGATTCTAAACAAACCTGGTGTGGAGTTGACTGGTCTAGCGAGTGACTCATGTCCGCATGTCCATCGATTCTAAACAAACCTGGTGTGGAGTTGACTGGTCTAGCGAGTGACTCATGTCCGCATGTCCATCGATTCTAAACAAACCTGGTGTGGAGTTGACTGGTCTAGCGAGTGACTCATGTCCTCGTGTCCATCGATTCTAAACAAACCTGGTGTGGAGTTGACTGGTCCAGGTGGGTGACTCGTGTCCTCGTGTCCATCGATTCTAAACAAACCTGGTGTGGAGTTGACTGGTCCAGGCGAGTGACTCATGTCCTCGTGTCCATCGATTCTAAACAAACTTGGTGTAAAGTTGACTGGTCCAGGTGGGGGACTCGTGTCCTCGTGTCCATCGATTCTAAACAAACTTGGTGTAGAGTTAACTGGTCTAGCGAGTGACTCGTGTCCTCGTGTCCATCGATTCTAAACAAACCTGGTGTGGAGTTGACTGGTCTGGTGAGTGACTCGTGTCCTCGTGTCCATCGATTCTAAACAAACTTGGTGTAGAGTTGACTGGTCTAGTGAGTGACTCGTGTCCTCGTGTCCATCGATTCTAGACAAACCTGGTGTGGAGTTGACTGGTCCAGGCGTGTCCTGCCAGAACTAACGATCGACAACCAGAACGACTGGCTTGTGCTGGAACATCTATAAAGCTGGGGTTCTGTCCCAACGTCTCCACGAAAGTGGCGTAAAAAAACAGATCACAAATATAACTGGAGACTGTTAGCAGCTTCGGCTAGCTAGCGGCATGTTTAAAATGGTCGAGTTTTTTTTTTTTTTTTTTCTCAAAGGGAACTGGGAATCTGGAAATCCCTATGTCTTGGAAGACTTGAACATAATTCTCTCCAGTACAATCCAATGTTCGTTATATTGTCTGCTGCAATATCCAGTATTATACTGTCTGCCACTAAATCTCTATATATAGTACATAGACATAATTCCTGCAATGTCCTGTGTTCGGACCCGTCCTCCATAGATAGTGTAGGCAGGGGGTAAGTAGAATCAACAATCGCCGATAACTAGGTCTTGCTGAGGTCATTGTGTGAGAGCCCTGAAAACCCGGACACCCGGTAACATGGATGCGGTCGGAGTACTGAATCAAGAGAGAAAACCCGGACACCCGGTAACATGGATAAGGTTGGGGATACCGATCAAGAGGGAAAACACAGACACCCGGTAACATGGATAAGGTTGGGGATACCGAATCAAGAGAGAAAACCCAGACACACGGTAACATGGATAAGGTTGGGGATACCGAATCAAGAGAGAAAACACAGACACCCGGTAACATGGATAAGGTTGGGGATACCGAATCAAGAGATGACGTCAAAGTTGAATACATGAAGAAATCATGAACTGTGTTATTGAGCTACCTACCATAGACAACGGGCGGCCTAGTCAGACTATCAAACTATTGTTGTGTGATGTCCGAGTGTTTTAGAGTGTATAATTATCATTACTGAGTAAAATCAGACAATAATGAAATAAACTTACCTTCAAGTGGATATCACCTACAACTAGCTCACTGTCGGGCCATTTGAACAGTTGCAGAGGTGAACAGATAGAGCAGCAATAGGGACGGGCGAGGTGGAGAAGGTGCCAGCATAGATTTGTTTTCTCCTGTCAGTTAGCGGCCCCGCAGTGAGCGTGTGCCTGGGAAACTGTTCCATTGAGACGTGCTTGACTTCTGCGAGAGGTGGGAGGGGGGGGGGGGGTGTTCTGGCTGCTGATTTAACCGGGTCCATAGATTCAATTTCAGAAATATTTGTTGAAAGTACGTCTTGTCCGATTACAGTTGCAGTAGAAAGCGGTTGGTATTAGTGAGGTCATCGTGTTGGTACAGACAGACAGACAGACAGACAGGTAGACAGGCAAGTAGGTAGGTAGAGAATCGGTCAAAGGTAGGCAAAGGTGCGAGCAAAGTCTGGCAGGTGCTCCTGGGAAAGCTAGCGTTATCGTGGGGAGCACGGGCTTTGGCTGACTGGAAGAGCACAACGCTCCTGTGTGTGGACTCATTATGTATGACAAACTTGTTGTTTAGACGAGAGGTCAGATACTTGACTTTAGTTTAAAATAAAGTCACATTTCTAGAAAATGATTTGTGAACTATTTATAAAGTGTACAACAGAGACAGGAATCAAAGAAACACGGGGAAGGGTTTTAAACAAGAGACATACGACATATTTAAGTGATTCATTATAATAACAATACGCTGAATTGCATTATAGTACTAACTTGAAGAAGAAAATATTTGTATAAACACAAACCTTAAAGGAGAATTTGTAAGCATGCTTGGAAGGGGCGGGGGGGGGGGGGACTTGGCAGCTGTTGCACATTTTGGAGAGAGTCCCAGGTTTAGGGAGCCCTGGTCTACGCTCAGCACAAGAACCTAAAGTGTGTGTTGTTGGTGACTTCGAAGAAAGCAACCATAATTACCCGACCCTTACGACATGCTTGTTAGAAGTCAGTCTTTTTTTCCCTCCCACAATGGGGCCATAAAATCTTGATCTCAGACATCTCATCTTGCAAACGGTGATTTTGTCCATGACTAGCACTGGTAGCTCAATATTGGAATGAATATGCTGTTTATAATTGGTTTCTTTGTACTCATAGTTATGTTTGAATGCCTTAACAATGGTTTACGTTGCTATATAAGTGTACAGTGTACGTGTTATATAAGTGTAATTTCTCTGTTAATTCTAGCTTCTTCATTGATCATACTTCCTAGATATTTAAATCCCCTAACATGTTTCAAACCACAACCATTCAGCTGTATGTGTAGTCATGGACATCTGCCGTGGTGCAGTAGGCTAGGGTGTTCTACTAACTTGCAATGTGTCGGTTTTGTTTGCATCGATCTTCCTGTTGTATTTACTGTATGCTGAGCTTAACCTGTTTATATCAATCAATCAGTCGGCATGCCTGTTGATTTCAATACGTGGTTGTTGTGCTGTATTTACTGTGAACATTTGTCAATTGAGAAACACATTCTCTTCCAGAAGTGGACGAACAACCATAACTTTCCACCAGAGTTTACAGCTGGTGAATGCAAAGAAAGAAAGAAGACTTCGGTGTACAAAAGAACACGGCATATATGCCTATATATATATATACATGAGCTGAGTTTAGTTGAGTCAAGAATTGACATCACAGCACTCGGGGCATTCCCATGCGTGCTTCGTCTTTATCTTCAGCAGCCAGCGCAGAGTTCCAATACTAATGGTACCGATGGTAATCTTGTTAAATATGTGTGTGCACGTTCTTGCTGCGTGGCATTCTCAAACCATGTTAAGTCTATACATCCCACCGACAGCGAGAAGACGGCAAGTGCTCTCAGATCAAATGGAAGGAAAGATGGGATAGTACTCAAGTACTGGAAGTCGCGGGGATAAATATCGACCGTCTTACCGCCAGCACAAGTACTTGAGATTGCTATAGTTTGTGTGGTATTGAATCTGTCACTGGCAGAGCGAATCCAGCCGTACCCTTGCCTTTGTGTGTTAGGTATCGATGCTGCCAGTGACGAGACGAGTATCGCCGACGTCTGGCGATGGAGGCAGGTTTGTTGTTGTAGAGAAAGGAAGAGACAGGAAGAGAGAGAAAAGAGATGACCGAGAACGTCTTCAAGTTTCAGCCCAGGACCAACTCCGCCTCGGACAGGTCAGCTTTCTCCTTTACCACCGCATCCTCCTCCTCACAGTCGTTGATCCACACACACATGTAAACTTATAAACTGGCTCAATTAATACACCCTCCCCTACCTCGGGCAGGTGCTCTTTCTTCCGCCTGTTTTTCCTTAGTTCATTCTCTCAGTCGTTTGTCAATACAGTTATCGTAATCTCATCAGCTGTCTCACAGCATAACACTGCGACTCTTTGGATCAGCAGTTGCTGCTGTCTGCTGAGTGCCTTCCACCGCAGGCGGTCTGATAAGTGGACTTGATGTTTGTATCTCTGAGGCTTGTCCATTCCTTCGATTCTGCCTCTTCCCCTGCACAGAGCGCTTCGTTTTGAAGAGGCGCTTGTTATATGTTGGCACCACTACATTGACCGTCTGTTCACTTTTGTTACAAATAGTTCAAAGCGAGCAAAGTTTCCCTCTGCTAGGGTTGAAATACTGCCCCAGAGCCGCATCGACTGAAAGATTGTTGATCCACACACACATGTAAACTTTTAGGGTTATATTTCAAATAACGGTCCCAAATGAACTACGCAGACAGCTAACCCAAACAGAGCCTCATTACTTCCTGCCTACAAACATTTGAACGAAAAGTATCAGGAAAATCGGGGAAGTCTACTACTCACCGATAGTGACATCCTCTATACATGACTGTTGTGACACAGAAGTTCCAAATAGTGTGCGAATATCTGTTCTTTCTTGCTCTGCCGCCATTAAAACTCTGCACCACGGCTTGTCCGCGATTCTCGTTGCAGGGGAGACATGATCAGCTTGTAATGTGCGGTGTAATGTACGCGCACGTCGGCTCGGACAACTTCAAACGAGCAGCTGCCACGATGCCGCTGGTAGTTTCGTCAAAAGTCGTAGCTCCTGTAAATTGTTGGCTTTTGTCCCGGCGGCTATAGTGCCACCTCCGAGAGTATCCCCTGCGCCGCTACGCGCGGCACGGAAGGGACTAAACTAGATGGCTAGGACTCACGAGCAAATACCTTGGAGGAAGCTGCAGGAGCTGCGTTAACCGCTGCCCGTTGAGTCCTAATCATTTAGCTTACTTCATGTAACTCTGCCTGGGATAGGAGATGTTTCTCCTCACAGCTGTGGATCCACACATATGTAAACAGTTAACCATCCTTGATTGTTAAGTGAACATTAATTCATATCAGCTCAAGGCTAACAAACCCATCAGCCAAGCCACACTCGAGAAGTGCAATACAAAATAAATAATGTAAGCCGAGCCTCCTGTGTATGATAACAAGTTATTAAATAATAAATCTAATGTATTAATCAGTTATCTGAATATAAAAATATTAATATCAAAACTCAGTTCTTATTATGTTTTCTGGCCCTAATACTCACTGGTTGACCATTTATTCATGCTTGGTTATCTGTCACAGGAGTTTTTCATTGTATTGTCTTAGCAAAGCTTTCTGCGCTGTGTTACTCATTGTTGTGAGCAGTGACCACAAAATGTTAACAGTTCTGAAACCACAGGTTGTACGCTGCACTCTCTTGTGGGGTGGTGCTGTGGGATGGGTCTGTTGGGGGGGGGGGGGGGGGGGTGAGGTTAGGGCCAGTTCTAAATGTTGTGGGGTTGTAAAAAGCGGTGATGTGGTGTAATTTAGAACACATGACAAAGCCGGTGACAGCACCGGAGACAGTACAACATGACATCCCTGTAACAGCACCGGAGACAGTACAACATGACATCCCTGTAACAGCACCGGAGACAGTACAACGTGACATCCCTGTAACAGCACCGGAGACAGTACAACATGACATCCCTGTAACATAGGCTAGCCCATGTGACAGGTGAGCAAACATGAATGAAAGGTCAGCCAGTGTGTATTTGAGCCAGAAAGCATAAAAAGAACCCAAATCTCTACCAAATAAGTGCCTTTGAGTTTGAGTTCTAGTGTACGACCAGAGGGCCTGGAGCTTGTTGAAACAGTACTATTAGTTAATAATACTGATAATTGAGGCATGCACTGCCGGGTGGATGTGAATACTGTCAGTGTCAGCATTTGAATAATTTCTCTGCACTGAAACTGTGTGATCATATATGTCCAAAAACACAGTGAACGTCAAAACCTAATACTGAAATTAAAAAAAAATGTAATGTCCAGAGGCAAAAACTGCTTGTCATCAAAAACAACAACAAAAAAATGATAAAGAAATAGAAAATGTCATAAACTTTGAATATCTAGACTCCATATAAACAGCAATGGAGACTGTTAAAGAGAAATCAAAAGGAGGATGGCCATGGCAATGCAAAAATGAAATAGCATTAAAAGTGTGTGGTTAAGAGCCAGCAAGGAAATCAGAATCAAAGATGAGCACAGGATATATGTGACACCTTGGGTAGGAAACTATGGGAAAGCTAGTGTGAGACTGAAGGTTTTTAAGGCAGGCTGTGATGAGAGCAAGGATCTGGGCCTGTTACCTGATGATGATGATGAAACAATGATTCAGATGTTACCTGATGATGATGAGGACACAATAATTCAGACATTTAGGGGAGAAGGTAGACTTGTAGTCAGGCTGTCACCTTAGATCCCCATTATTTAGGGGAGAAGGTAGACTTGTAGTCAGGCTGTCACCTGGGATCCCATCATTTAGGGGAGAAGGTAGACTTGTAGTCAGGCTGTCACCTGGGATCCCATCATTTAGGGGAGAAGGTAGACTTGTAGTCAGGCTGTCACTTGGGATCCCCATCATTTAGGGAAGAAGGTAGACTTGTAATCAGGCTGTCACCTGGGATCCCCATCATTTAGGGAAGAAGGTAGACTTATAATCAGGCTGTCACCTGGGATCCCCGTCATTTAGGGGAGAAGGTAGACTTGTAGTCAGGCTGTCACCTGGGATCCCATCATTTAGGGAAGAAGGTAGACTTGTAGTCAGGCTGCCACCTGAGATCCCCATCATTTAGGGGAGAAGGTAGACTTGTAGTCAGGCTGTCACCTGGGATCCTCATCATTTAGGGGAGAAGGTAGACTTGTAGTCAGGCTGTCACTTGGGATCCCCATCATTTAGGGGAGAAGGTAGACTTGTAGTCAGGCTGTCACCTGAGATCCCATCATTTAGGGGAGAAGGTAGACTTGTAGTCAGGCTGTCACCAGCACCATCGGTATGGAGACCCTTGGCTGTCTGCTGAACACAAGGGCGTAGAGGAAAACAAAGGCACTGTGGCACATTCGCCAGCATTGTGAATTATGTGGGGAAAAACAAAGGCAGTGTGGCACATTCGCCAGCATTGTGAATTATGTGGGGAAAAACAAAGGCACTGTGGCACATTCGCCAGCATTGTGAATTATGTGGGGAAAAACAAAGGCAGTGTGGCACATTCGCCAGCATTATGAATAATGTGGGAAAAAACAAAGGCAGTGTGGCACATTCACCAGCATTGTGAATTATGTGGGGAAAAACAAAAGCAGTGTGGCACATTCGCCAGCATTATGAATTATGTGGGGAAAAACAAAGGCACTGTGGCACATTCGCCAGCATTATGAATTATGTGGGGAAAAACAAAAGCAGTGTGGCACGTTCGCCAGCATTATGAATTATGTGGGGAAAAACAAAGGCACTGTGGCACATTCGCCAGCATTATGAATTATGTGGGGAAAAACAAAGGTAGTGTTGCACATTCGCCAGCATTATGAATTATGTGGAGAAAAACAAAGGCAGTGTGGCAACCTTTACCAATGTTCTGGGAAAATGAAGTGGTATAATCTGATGTGATTTCACTGTCATGGCACCTGATGCTAGTGATAACTGGACAGACTCACAGGGTCTAACTAAGTATATATATACATTATAACTTGTAAGGGTTGAACAGGGTATCATTGATCACATTACTAAGTAGTCATACAGTACTATACTTTGATATACATGTTGTATTGTGATCTGACAGTACTCTACTGTTACTTTGACATGCGTGTTGTAATCTGACAGTACTCTACTGTTACTTTGACATGTGTGTTGTAATCTGACAGTACTCTACTGTTACTTTGACATGTGCGTTGTAATCTGACAGTGGTAGCGGAGAAGATGCTGATGTACAGGAAGCAGACTTCATGACCCCACTTGTGGTCCAGACTGACTTTGGCTGTACAAGCCCCCAGCCTAAAACCCCCAAAAGCCCATCTAAAGGTGGCACACTCAAGAAGAGACACAGAGCTCCTCCTGGCTCTGCCAAACCTGAAGAGACCAGAGTACTGCACACTCACGGCAGACGAACTTTGTACACTGCAGGCAGACCTCCGTGGTACAATCAGGAGGGACAACTGAAAAATGCATTCGTTATAGGTAACTAGTGAACCTGCTAATTATTGCACCTGTTGTATGATCTGGTATGATCGTTAGAGGTAACTGTTACACCTCATGTCTGATCTGGTATGATCGTTAGAGGTAACTGTTGCACCTGTTGTATGATCTGGTATGTTTGTCGGAGGTAACTGTTGCACCTGTTGTATGATCTGGTATGTTTGTTAGAGGTAACTGTTGCACCTGTTGTATGATCTGGTATGTTTGTTAGAGGTAACTGTTGCACCTGTTGTATGATCTGGTATGTTTGTCGGAGGTAACTGTTGCACCTGTTGTATGATCTGGTATGTTTGTTAGAGGTAACTGTTGCACCTGTTGTATGATCTGGTATGTTTGTTAGAGGTAACTGTTGCACCTGTTGTATGATCTGGTATGTTTGTCGGAGGTAACTGTTGCACCTGTTGTATGATCTGGTATGTTTGTTAGAGGTAACTGTTGCACCTGTTGTATGATCTGGTATGTTTGTTAGAGGTAACTGTTGCACCTGTTGTATGATCTGGTATGTTTGTCGGAGGTAACTGTTGCACCTGTTGTATGATCTGGTATGTTTGTTAGAGGTAACTATTGCATCTGTTTTATGATCTGGTATGTTTGTTAGAAGTATTTAGTAAACCTGTTGTATGATCTGGTATGTTTGTTAGAGATAACTGTTGCACCTGTTGTATGATCTGGTATGTTTGTCTGAGGTAACTATTGCATCTGTTTTATGATCTGGTATGTTTGTTAGAGGTAACTATTGCATCTGTTTTATGATCTGGTATGTTTGTTAGAGGTAACTATTGCATCTGTTTTATGATCTGGTATGTTTGTTAGAGGTAACTATTGCATCTGTTTTATGATCTGGTATGTTTGTTGGAGGTAACTGTAGCACCTGTTGTATGATCTGGTATGTTTGTTAGAAGTAACTAGTAAACCTGTTGTATGATCTGGTATGTTTGTTAGAGGTAACTGTTGTACCTATTGTATGATCTGGTATGTTTGTTAGAAGTATTTAGTAAACCTGTTGTATGATCTGGTATGTTTGTTAGAAGTAACTAGTAAACCTGTTGTATGATCTGGTATGTTTGTTAGAAGTAACTAGTAAACCTGTTGTATGATCTGGTATGTTTGTTAGAAGTAACTAGTAAACCTGTTGCATGATCTGGTATGTTTGTTAGAAGTAACTAGTAAACCTTTTGCATGATCTGGTATATTTGTTAGAAGTAACTAGTAAACCTGTTGTATGATCTGGTATGTTTGTTAGAAGTAACTAGTAAACCTGTTGCATGATCTGGTATGTTTGAGTTATTAGTTATATCCTCTTCACATCACTCTGGACACATCCACAGGCGCTCAGATTCGCTTCTCAACATATTCATCAGCATCTCATGGTTAATAGTGCCAGTCCTATGGTGGTTAACAAGACTTTGTGTGCGTCCAGTGTGCTTCTCATGCTTGGCTGTGCCAATCTTTATTCTCAATTCTCGTATTCTTAGCAGTGATGTGGACACATTGCTTCCAAAATCCTCAGAACTTGCTATCTCTCTAAGGGCAATGACAATGTCTGTGTGATTTATGGGCCGGTCATCTTCAATTAATGCAGCACCTGCGAGTCTATCAGCTCTTTTATTACCAACAACGCCTGCATGCCCTGGGATGAATATAAAGGTAACTGCACACAAAGGATAGTTTTGCAATGACTCAGACCACTGTCTGTGTAACCAGCCTGCTTCGACCAGTCGGATCATGCTCAAAGAATCACTCAGCACAAACATGCGGGAATACTCCTGTGATTCTAGCCACATGAAAGCTTGTGTCCCCGCCATCACCTCCGTCGTCATGCTGCTGGTGGTCATGGAGAGGGCACTGCTGTCTTCTTGAACTCTTCTGCCTGACAAACGAGCTGTAAATGCCCATGCACTCTTATGTCCTCGTATAGACAGTGTTGAGTCACAGGCTGGGAGACAAGAGACCAATTGAGAGTCTCCATGCAATAGTAGACAGTGTTGAGAGACACAAGCTAGGAGACAGAGACCAGTTGAGAGTCTCCATGCAATAGTAGACAGTGTTGGGACACACAAGCTAGGAGACAGAGACCGGTTGAGAGTCTGCATGCAATAGTAGACAGTGTTGAGACAAACAAGCTAGGAGACAGAGACCAGTTGAGAGTCTCCATGCAATAGTAGACAGTGTTGGGACACAAGCTGGGAGACAAGAGACCAGTTGAGAGTCTCCATGCAATAGTAGACAGTGTTGGGACACACAAGCTAGGAGACAAGAGATCAGTTGAGAGTCTGCATGCAATAGTAGACAGTGTTGGGACACACAGGCTAGGAGACAGAGACCGGTTGAGAGTCTGCATGCAATAGTAGACAGTGTTGGGACAAACAAGCTGGGAGACAAGAGACCAGTTGAGAGTCTCCATGCAATAGTAGACAGTGTTGGGACACACAAGCTAGGAGACAGAGACCGGTTGAGAGTCTGCATGCAATAGTAGACAGTGTTGAGACAAACAAGCTAGGAGACAGAGACCAGTTGAGAGTCTCCATGCAATAGTAGACAGTGTTGGGACACACAGGCTAGGAGACAGACCAGTTGAGAGTCTGCATGCAATAGTAGACAGTGTTGGGACACACAAGCTGGGAGACAAGAGACCAGTTGAGAGTCTCCATGCAATAGTAGACAGTGTTGAGAGACACAAGCTGGGAGACAAGAGACCAGTTGAGAGTCTGCTTGCAATAGTAGACAGTGTTGACACACAAGCTAGGAGACAAGAGACCAGTTGAGAGTCTGCTTGCAATAGTAGACAGTGTTGACACACAAGCTAGGAGACAGAGACCAGTTGAGAGTCTGCATGCAATAGTAGACAGTGTTAAGAGACCAGTTGAGAGTCTGCATGCAATAGTAGACAGTATTGGGACACACAAGCTAGGAGACAGAGACCAGTTGAGAGTCTGCATGCAATAGTAGACAGTGTTGGGACATGCAAGCTAGGAGACAGAGACCAGTTGAGAGTCTCCATGCAATAGTAGACAGTGTTGGGACACACAAGCTAGGAGACAGAGACCAGTTGAGAGTCTGCATGCAATAGTAGACAGTGTTGGGACACACAAGCTAGGAGACAGAGACCAGTTGAGAGTCTGCATGCAATAGTAGACAGTGTTGAGAGACACAGGCTGGGAGACAAGAGACCAGTTGAGAGTCTCCATGCAATAGTAGACAGTGTTGGGACAAACAAGCTAGGAGACAGAGACCAGTTGAGAGTCTCCATGCAATAGTAGACAGTGTTGGGACACACAAGCTAGGAGACAAGAGACCAGTTGAGAGTCTCCATGCAATAGTAGACAGTGTTGAGAGACACAGGCTGGGAGACAAGAGACCAGTTGAGAGTCTGCATGCAATAGTAGACAGTGTTGGGACACACAAGCTAGGAGACAGAGACCAGTTGAGAGTCTGCATGCAATAGTAGACAGTGTTGGGACACACAAGCTAGGAGACAGAGACCAGTTGAGAGTCTGCATGCAATAGTAGACAGTGTTGAGACACACAAGCTAGGAGACAGAGACCAGTTGAGAGTCTGCATGCAATAGTAGACAGTGTTGAGAGACACAGGCTGGGAGACAAGAGACCAGTTGAGAGTCTCCATGCAAATGTAGACAATGTTGAGACAAACAAGCTGGGAGACAGAGACCAGTTGAGAGTCTCCATGCAATAGTAGACAGTGTTGGGACACACAAGCTAGGAGACAAGAGACCAGTTGAGAGTCTGCATGCAATAGTAGACAGTGTTGGGACACACAAGCTAGGAGACAGAGACCAGTTGAGAGTCTGCATGCAATAGCAGACAGTGTTGACACACAAGCTGGGAGACAAGAGACCAGTTGAGAGTCTCCATGCAATAGTAGACAGTGTTGGGACACACAAGCTAGGAGACAGAGACCAGTTGAGAGTCTGCATGCAATAGTAGACAGTGTTGACACACAAGCTGGGAGACAAGAGACCAGTTGAGAGTCTCCATGCAATAGTAGACAGTGTTGGGACACACAAGCTAGGAGACAAGAGACCAGTTGAGAGTCTGCATGCAATAGTAGACAGTGTTGGGACACACAAGCTAGGAGACAAGAGATCAGTTGAGAGTCTCCATGCAATAGTAGACAGTGTTGGGACACACAAGCTAGGAGACAGAGACCAGTTGAGAGTCTCCATGCAATAGTAGACAGTGTTGAGAGACACAGGCTGGGAGACAAGAGACCAGTTGAGAGTCTCCATGCAATAGTAGACAGTGTTGGGACATGCAAGCTAGGAGACAGAGACCAGTTGATGATGTTGGCTGGCGTGTTGCAGGTTTGTGTGGAGGAAGTGCCTCTGGGAAGACCACAGTTGCCAGGAAGATCACTGAAGCTCTCGATGTGCCCTGGGTCAGCTTGGTCAGCATGGACTCCTTCTATAAAGTGAGTCACCACTTCTTTGTCCTACATTGTTCCTTGTCTTACATTGTTTGATTTATAAACTAAATATTCACTTGTGTTCTTTTCTGTATTTGATTTATAAACCAAATATTCACTATGTTCGTTTCTGTGTTTGATTTATAAACCAAATATTCACTTGTGTTCTTTTCTGTCTTTGATTTATAAACCAGATATTCACTGTGTTCTTTTCTGTGTTCGATTTATAAACCAAATATTCACTTATGTTCTTTTGTGTCTTTGATTTATAAACCAAATATTCACTTGTGTTATTTTTCATGTTTGATTTATAAAACAAATGTTCACTTTTGTTTTTTTTCTATGTTTGATTTATAACTGCAGTATTCACTTGTTTTCTTATCCATATTTGATTTTTAAAGTGATTAATAATTGATTTTGTGGGCTATATTTGATTTCTAGAGCCTCCACTTCTTCAAAAAGCCTTTAGCTAACATTATTTTCAAGATATGCAAAGAGAGGCTGGTAATTGAGCCATGTTGTAGTTGAGAGTCTGCATGCAATAGTAGACAGTGTTGGGACACACAAGCTAGGAGACAGAGACCAGTTGAGAGTCTCCATGCAATAGTAGACAGTGTTGGGACACAAGCTAGGAGACAAGAGACCAGTTGAGAGTCTGCATGCAATAGTAGACAGTGTTGAGAGACACAGGCTGGGAGACAGAGACCAGTTGAGAGTCTCCATGCAATAGTAGACAGTGTTGGGACACAAGCTAGGAGACAGAGACCAGTTGAGAGTCTCCATGCAATAGTAGACAGTGTTGGGACACAAGCTAGGAGACAGAGACCAGTTGAGAGTCTGCATGCAATAGTAGACAGTGTTGGGACACACAAGCTAGGAGACAGAGACCAGTTGAGAGTCTGCATGCAATAGTAGACAGTGTTGGGACACAAGCTGGGAGACAGAGACCAGTTGAGAGTCTCCATGCAATAGTAGACAGTGTTGGGACACAAGCTAGGAGACAGAGACCAGTTGAGAGTCTCCATGCAATAGTAGACAGTGTTGGGACACAAGCTAGGAGACAGAGACCAGTTGAGAGTCTCCATGCAATAGTAGACAGTGTTTTGACACACAAGCTAGGAGACAGAGACCAGTTGAGAGTCTGCATGCAATAGTAGACAGTGTTGGGACACACAAGCTAGGAGACAGAGACCAGTTGAGAGTCTCCATGCAATAGTAGACAGTGTTGGGACACAAGCTGGGAGACAAGAGACCAGTTGAGAGTCTCCATGCAATAGTAGACAGTGTTGGGACACACAGGCTAGGAGACAGAGACCAGTTGAGAGTCTGCATGCAATAGTAGACAGTGTTGGGACACACAGGCTAGGAGACAGAGACCAGTTGAGAGTCTGCATTCAATAGTAGACAGTGTTGGGACACACAGGCTAGGAGACAGAGACCAGATGATTATAAAATTAGCTTTTAGCTTGTACAACAATGATCAATGACATTGTTGATGACATGGTCATAACTCATTCATGTTGTTGTGATGGTTGCTGACATTGACATGGTCATAACTCATTGATGTTGTTGTGATGGTTGCTGACATTGACATGGTCATAACTCATTGATGTTGTTGTGATGGTTGCTGACATTGACATGGTCATAACTCATTCATGTTGTTGTGACAGGTGCTGACATTGACATGGTCATAACTCATTCATGTTGTTGTGACACGTGCTGACATTGACATGGTCATAACTCATTCATGTTGTTGTGACACGTGCTGACATTGACATGGTCATAACTCATTGATGTTGTTGTGATGGTTGCTGACATTGACATGGTCATGACTCATTCATGTTGTTGTGACACGTGCTGACATTGACATGGTCATAACTCATTCATGTTGTTGTGATGGTTGCTGACATTGACATGGTCATAACTCATTGATGTTGTTGTGATGGTTGCTGACATTGACATGGTCATAACTCATTGATGTTGTTGTGATGGTTGCTGACATTGACATGGTCATAACTCATTCATGTTGTTGTGACACGTGCTGACATTGACATGGTCATAACTCATTCATGTTGTTGTGACAGGTGCTGACATTGACATGGTCATAACTCATTCATGTTGTTGTGACAGGTGCTGACATTGACATGGTCATAACTCATTCATGTTGTTGTGACAGGTGCTGACATTGACATGGTCATAACTCATTCATGTTGTTGTGACAGGTGCTGACATTGACATGGTCATAACTCATTGATGTTGTTGTGATGGTTGCTGACATTGACATGGTCATAACTCATTCATGTTGTTGTGATGGTTGCTGACATTGACATGGTCATAACTCATTCATGTTGTTGTGACAGGTGCTGACATTGACATGGTCATAACTCATTCATGTTGTTGTGACAGGTGCTGAGCCCTGAGCAGCATGACAAGGCCATCATGAACGAGTACAACTTCGACCACCCTGATGCCTTCGACTTTGACCTGGTCATTTCCACAATCAGGCGCCTCAAGGAAGGCAAGAGTGTCAACGTGCCCATCTACAACTTTGCTACACACGCTCGGGAGAAGACCATGGTCAGTCTCTGGCTGCTGTCATTTCTGCTCATTCACTTCAGACTCTCCCTAACTGGACTGTTGTCTTCCTCGCCGTCTCTTTATTCTTCTACATCTGCCAGGTGGGACATTGTTTTGTGGTTTGTAGCCGGGCTTGCAGCTCGAGATGTGCCAAAGCTAATCAAGTAATGGGGCAACTATCTCTCCTGTTGACACACAAGCAGATACCTAAGAGTACTAAAGTGAATCTTTTCAGAACTATTTTTTGGCCAACACTGTTATCAGTGCCAAACATGGAGACTTAGATCCTCCAGTAAATGTAAAATTGTGACAACAGAGATGAAATGCCTTAGAAGAGCTGCAGAAGTTTTAAGGAAAGACAGAATATGAAATCAGATGAATGCTAGGAATAAAGCCAGACTTACAGATCATCAAAGAACAACAAATAAAGTGGTTTGGACACCTAACAAGAATGCCCTGGTACTATCTGCCACACTAAAACGTTAGAATGGGTAGTATAGAGCGAGTAATGGCATTAAGAACTGCCTTACAGAAATGAAGATCAGTCTTAATATTGCTCTTGACAGAGCCAGGGCTGGCTGGCTAGTGCTGTCACCGTGGGGGGAAGGCAGGCGGTGTAGGTCTTTGAACCTGAGAATTTAGGGCTGCCTGGCTAGTGCTGTCACTGGAGGGGGGCAGGTGGTGTAGGTCTTTGAACCTGAGAATTTAGGGCTGCCTGGCTAGTGCTGTCACTGGAGGGGGGCAGGCGGTGTAGGTCTTTGAGCCTGAGAATTAAGGGTTGGCTGGCTCCTTGGTTTGCAACCGCCTCGCTAAAACACTTCGTCCTGACTGTCTTTCCTCTCCTCTTTTTTCAACTCCCCCTCTTCCTCTCCATGTGAGTGTTCTTTTCAAAGCGTAGCCATTTGTAATTCTTGACGCTTGTCGCTCTCTGATTCTCAGCTCCCTCCAATCTCTTGTCAGTTATCTTGCTTGGTACACCCTCGCATGTCTCTTGTCATCTTTGACACCCACATCTTTTCCCTGTTGTATACCCATGAACTGTGCTATCCCTCCGCAGTTTCTAGTTATCTCTCTGTTCGTAGCACCGGTTAATACATAGTCCCAAAGGTTCCTGGCCTATCTCGATGCTATGGTCAGGCGTCTTGCTGTATCTAGCAGAGACATTAATATGCCCCTCCCGTCTCTACTGTATCTTGTTGTCGTTTCTCGTTGTCTCTTTTCCACCGGAAGTGTCGGTGATCTTACATTTTTAGCTACTCCATATCTTCCTCTCTCACAGTATCCATCCGTCAATGTCAGATGACATGTGATTAATTTATCAGGACTAATAGTACCTGTTAACCCCTCCTATTGACTCCTTTTCCTACACATCATACAGCCACTGACCAAGCACATCCATCCCCGTACAACCACTGACCACACACATCCATCCCCGTACAGCCACTGAACACACACATCCATCACTGTACACCCACTGACCACACACATCCATCCCTGTACAACCACTGACCACACACATCCATCCCTGTACACCCACTGACCATGCACATTCATCCCCGTACACCCACTGACCACACACATCCATCCCTGCACAACCACTGACCACACACATCCATCTCTGTACAACCACTGACCACACACATCCATCCCTGTACAACCACTGACCATGCATATCCATCCCCGTACACTCACTGACCACACACACATCCATCCCTGTACAACCACTGACCATGCATATCCATCCCCGTACACTCACTGACCACACACATCCATCCCTGTACAACCACTGACCATGCACATCCATCCCTGTACAGCCACTAACCATGCACATTCACCCCGTACACCCACTGACCATTCACATTCATCCCGTACACCCACTGACCATTCACATTCATCCCCATACACCCACTGACCACACACACATCCATCTCCGTACAGCCACTAACCATGCACATTCATCCCGTACACCCACTGACCATTCACATTCATCCCTGTACACCCACTGACCATTCACATTCATCCCCGTACACCCACTGACCATTCACATTCATCCCCGTACACCCACTGACCATTCACATTCATCCCCGTACACCCACTGACCACACACATCCATCTCCGTACACCCACTGACCACACACATTCATCTCCGTACAGCCACTGACCATTCACATTTATCCCCATACACCCACTGACCATTCACATTCATCCCCGTACACCCACTGACCACACACATCCATCTCCGTACAGCCACTAACCATGCACATTCATCCCGTACACCCACTGACCATTCACATTCATCCCCGTACACCCACTGACCATTCACATTCATCCCGTACACCCACTGACCATTCACATTCATCCCCGTACACCCACTGACCATTCACATTCATCCCCGTACACCCACTGACCATTCACATTCATCCCCGTACACCCACTGACCATTCACATTCATCCCGTACACCCACTGACCATTCACATTCATCCCGTACACCCACTGACCATTCACATTTATCCCGTACACCCACTGACCATTCACATTCATCCCCGTACACCCACTGACCATTCACATTCATCCCGTACACCCACTGACCATTCACATTCATCTCCGTACAGCCACTGACCATTCACATTTATCCCCATACACCCACTGACCATTCACATTCATCCCCGTACACCCACTGACCACACACATCCATCTCCGTACAGCCACTAACCATGCACATTCATCCCGTACACCCACTGACCATTCACATTCATCCCCGTACACCCACTGACCATTCACATTTATCCCGTACACCCACTGACCATTCACATTCATCCCCGTACACCCACTGACCATTCACATTCATCCCCGTACACCCACTGACCATTCACATTCATCCCGTACACCCACTGACCATTCACATTCATCTCCGTACAGCCACTGACCATTCACATTTATCCCCATACACCCACTGACCATTCACATTCATCCCCGTACACCCACTGACCACACACATCCATCTCCGTACAGCCACTAACCATGCACATTCATCCCGTACACCCACTGACCATTCACATTCATCCCCGTACACCCACTGACCATTCACATTTATCCCGTACACCCACTGACCATTCACATTCATCCCCGTACACCCACTGACCATTCACATTCATCCCCGTACACCCACTGACCATTCACATTCATCCCCGTACACCCACTGACCATTCACATTCATCCCCGTACACCCACTGACCATTCACATTCATCCCATACACCCACTGACCATTCACATTCATCCCCGTACACCCACTGACCATTCACATTCATCCCGTACACCCACTGACCATTCACATTCATCCCGTACACCCACTGACCATTCACATTCATCCCCGTACACCCACTGACCACACACACAGCCATCCCTGTACAACCAATGACCACACACATCCATCCCTGTACACCCACTGACCATACACATCAATCCGTGGACAGCCACTGACCAAGAACATCCACTCCTGTACAACCACTGACCATTTGTAGACTGGAAGGATATAGTTTCGTCACCCAGCTTCTGAGTTGAGTGCATGGTGTGACACTGTGAGCTACGAGTGTTTTTCGTTGGCACAGGAGCGGAGCAACAATGGGGTGACCCGTTTGCTATGATGCTGAAACTAGGATTACCAGATTACCAGATTAACCAATGACCATGCATATCCTCTTTTGTTGAGGGAACTTAAAGTGGGAACGTAATACTTAGACTTTTTATTTCTTTTTTTTTCAGAAAACAGTCTATGGGGCAAACGTTGTGATATTTGAGGGTATAATGGCTTTTACAAATGCAGAGCTGGTGTCGGTAAGTTGATATGTTTATTCTACTTCACCACAAGGGAGGGAAGCAACAACATATGGGCAATGCCTACCTCTTCTACTTCACCACAAGGGATGGAAGCAACAACACATGGACATTCCCTGCCTCTACTTCACGGGATGGAAGCAAGCAACAAATGGACATTCCCTGCCTCTACTTCACCACAAGGGATGGAAGCAACAACACATGGACATTCCCTGCCTCTACCCACTGTCCTAACTTGTACCCACTATCTTATGTTGTATACGCTATCTTATGTTGTACCCACTGTCCCATCTTGTACCCACTATCTTATGTTGTATCCACTATCTTATGTTGTACCCACTGTCCCATACCCACTATCCCAATTTGTACCCACTATCTTATGTTGTACCCACTATCCCATCTTGTACCCACTATCTTATGTTGTACCCACTATCCCATCTTGTACCCACTATCTTATGTTGTACCCACTGTCCCATCTTGTGCCCACTATCTTATGTTGTACCCACTGTCCCATCTTGTACCCACTATCCCTATTTGTGTGCCATGTCCCATGTTATAGCCACAGTAAAAACTGTCCCCAGATACCGACAGTTGTAGTACAATGCTCTTATGATGTATATCTTCTCATCCATGATTTGTTTCTTTTGTCTCTCAGTTGATGGATATGAAAGTATTTGTGGATACAGATTCGGATGTACGCCTGGCACGACGACTGAGAAGAGACATTGCCGAGAGAGGGAGAGAGCTGCAGGGTGTACTCAAGCAGTACATGAAGTTTGTGAAGCCCTCGTTTGAGCATTACATCGAGCCCTCCATGCGGTGTGCAGACATCATCGTCCCCAGGGGAGGGGAGAACGATGTTGCCATCAACTTGATTGTGCTGCACGTACACAACCAGCTTCAGGCTGTGAGTTTTGTCTGTGTGTCCTACTCCTAGTGCTAGTCTGTGTCTTATTTCTGTCTGTCTCTGCTCATATTCATTTCAGTTTCTGTGTGTTTTTCTCTCTCATCTTCTTTCTCTTTCTCTGTCTCTTTCTCTTTCTTTTATTCTCTACCCTGCTCTCTCTCTCTCTCTCTCTCTCTCTCTCTCTCTCTCTCTCTCTCTCTCTCTCTCTCTCTCTCTCTCTCTCTCTCTCACACACACACACACACCACACACAGTCTCTCTCTCCTACACACACACACACACAGAGAACTAAATATTATCAACACAGATTAAATCAGCTACTGTTATAGGACCAGCTGTCACAGCTGCATGCAGAAATACATTCTACAGCTCTAGTCTGACAGAGGACCAACAAACACAATGTCCAGTCATCTGAAACCAGTCTGAACTTGATCATGTTAACCAGGCACTCATGTTGTCCCTTCACTGCCCACCTGACTGACCACTAGTGACCAGGTGTTCTAGGGTTTGTTAGTTTCACCTTGGCACAAGTTCTCCTGGCTAGCTGTGCCCTGTCAGCCTCTCTGTTGTTTCTTCATTAAATAGTGACATGACAACATGGTCTTGTATTCAACTGTAATGGTAGTTTCACAGACTTACCAGCAAATGTAGATGATGACAACATAGTCTTGTGTGTAACTGTATTGGTAGTCTCGTAGAGTTACCAGCAAATGTAGATGATGACAACATAGTCTTGCATTCAACTGTAATGGTAGTTTCACAGACTTACCAGCAAATGTAGATGATGACAACATAGTCTTGTGTGTAACTGTATTGGTAGTCTCGTGGAGTTACCAGCAAATGTAGATGATGACAACATAGTCTTGTGTGTAACTGTATTGGTAGTCTCGTGGAGTTACCAGCAAATGTAGATGATGACAACATAGTCTTGTGTGTAACTGTATTGGTAGTCTCGTGGAGTTACCAGCAAATGTAGATGATGATAGTGTCTTAGTCAGTGAAGAGATGATGATGATGTGTTTTGTTTTCTGACTGACCACAGCGAGGGTTCAAACTGCGTTCCAAACAAGCCCAGTCCTCACACAACGGCCAGCCAATGCCTGGGACCCTGCGGGTGGTGGAGAAGACATCACAGGTGTGTGGCATACATTCCTTCATCAGGTAAGAGTTTGTCTGTAGACTCCTGTCTTGTCCAAATGATTGTTTTCTTTTAGGGAAATGACACATGTTTTTGTGGAGTGTGCTACAGATGGGTACATGCAGGTTGTTGTGGAGTGTGCTACAGATGAGTACATGCAGGTTGTTGTGGAGTGTTCTACAGATGGGTACATGCAGGTTGTTGTGGAGTGTGCTACAGATGGGTACATGCAAGTTGTTGTGGAGTGTGCTATAGATGGGTACATGCAAGTTGTTGTGGAGTGTGCTACAGATGGGTACATGCAGGTTGTTGTGGAGTGTGCTACAGATGGGTACATGCAGGTTGTTGTGGAGTGTTCTACAGATGGGTACATGCAGGTTGTTGTGGAGTGTTCTACAGATGGGTACATGCAAGTTGTTGTGGAGTGTTCTACAGATGGGTACATGCAGGTTGTTGTGGAGTGTGCTATAGATGGGTACATGCAAGTTGTTGTGGAGTGTTCTACAGATGGGTACATGCAAGTTGTTGTGGAGTGTTCTACAGATGAGTACATGCAAGTTGTTGTGGAGTGTTCTACAGATGGGTACATGCAAGTTGTTGTGGAGTGTGCTACAGATGGGTACATGCAGGTTGTTGTGGAGTGTGCTACAGATGGGTACATGCAAGTTGTTGTGGAGTGTGCTACAGATGGGTACATGCAGGTTGTTGTGGAGTGTGCTACAGATGGGTACATGCAAGTTGTTGTGGAGTGTGCTACAGATGGGTACATGCAGGTTGTTGTGGAGTGTGCTACAGATGGGTACATGCAGGTTGTTGTGGAGTGTGCTACAGATGGGTACATGCAGGTTGTTGTGGAGTGTGCTACAGATGGGTACATGCAGGTGGCAGGTTTACAGGCACTGGCTGATGCCATGTTTTCTGACACTGGCAGATGTCATTATGGATTTGCTATAAAGACATTGGTGATCTGACTGATGGATGTGCTATAAAGACAGGGTGACCTAACTTATGGATGAACAGGGTATAGACATTGGTAACATGGCTGATGGATGTGCTATAAAGACAGTGATGATCTGACTGATGGATATGCTGTAGAGACACTGATGATCTGACTGATGGATATACTGTAAAGACAGTGGTGACCTTACTGATGGATGTGCTATAAAGACAGTGGTAATCTGATGGATGTGCTGTTGAGACAGTGGTGGTCTTACTGATGGATATGCTGTAGAGACACTGATGATTTGACTGATTGATGTGCTATAAAGACAGTGGTGACCTTACTAACAGATGTGCTATAAAGACAGTGGTAATGTGACTGATGGATTTGCTATAAAGACAGTGGTGACCTTACTGATGGATGTACTGTAAAGACAGTGGTGATCTTACTAACAGATGTGCTATAAAGACAGTGGTAATGTGACTGATGGATTTGCTATAAAGACAGTGGTGACCTTACTGATGGATGTACTGTAAAGACAGTGGTGACCTTACTTAGGATGTGCTATAAAGACAGTGGTGATCTTACTGATGGATGTACTGTAAAGACAGTGGTGACCTTACTTAGGATGTGCTATAAAGACAGTGGTGACCTTACTGATGGATGTGCTATAAAGACAGTGGTGATCTTACTGATGGATGTGCTATAAAGACAGTGGTGATCTTACTGATGGATGTGCTATAAAGACAGTGGTGATCTTACTGATGGATGTGCTATAAAGACAGTGGTGATCTTACTGATGGATGTGCTATAAAGACAGTGGTGATCTTACTGATGGATGTGCTATATAGATAATGGTTGCACCATTGCTGCTACATATTTGTTTCAGAGACAAGGCTACATCTAGAGATGAATTCATCTTCTACTCCAAGCGTCTCATGCGACTGCTGTTTGAATTTGCTCTCTCTATGCTGCCTTTTAAGGTAACTTAGTCGTAGGAAATCGGTAGAAGCTAATGTTTCTGTTTGAATGGCAATTGTCATCACTTGTGTTTTACTAGGATCAACTTGCTGTGGCTTGTCTGTTTGTATGGCAATTGTCATCACTTGTGTTTTACTAGAATCAACTTGCTGTGGCTCGTCTGTTTGTATGGCAATTGTCATCACTTGTGTATTACTAGGATCAACTTGCTGTGGCTTGTCTGTTTGTATGGCAATTGTCATCACTTGTGTATTACTAGGATCAACTTGCTGTGGCTTGTCATTGACTGTGGTGATATATTTTGTAGTGAGAGCTGTACTTTATACCACGAGTTTGTCGTTTGCAAACTTGATGGTACATGTTTGTTCTTTATTGTCTTTTGTCTCCATTTATTGCTGCTTAAATATAATGTGCTAACCATGATAAGTCGTGTGATACTAGATTAGTAGTATTAACCTCTGCATTCAACAACCAAGACGACCACAGGGAAGCAAGACTTAAAAAAAATTCAACATCTCCAGGCTGAGAAATGAATCTACAAAAGATCATTTTGTATCCACACTGGAAGATCATCTACAATCCGTCTCCTTAGGGGGCCCAAATATGGAGGAAACGTGGACCACTCTGAGAGATCTGATCTACAGCAAAGCTTTAGAGACACTAGGACCGGTTACGGGGAAACATGGACCACCCTGAGAGATCTGATCTACAGCAAAGCTTTAGAGACACTAGGACCAGTTACGGGGAAATGCCAGGATTGGTTTGGCGAGAACTCTGAAGATATTCCACATCTACTAATGGAGAAACATTGTTTCTATAAAGCTTTGTTAAATGTTCAAAATTCAGTATCAAATGACTCCTTCAGTAACATTACAAGAACTGCTTAAACCAGACTTCAACAGATGTGAGACTTGTGACTAAGCACTAAAGCTGATGAGATTCAACGTTTTGCAGACAGGCATGAAATGACCAAGGGACCTAGGCCACCATTATCCTGTCCCCTTCTCAGCAAAGATGAAAGTATACCACTCACTGATAACGATGCCATCCTCAAACCCTGGGCCGAACACTTCAGTAACATGCTGAATCTACAGTCATCCATAAACCAAGAAGCTATTGACGGTTTGCCACAGCTCCCTGTGAATGCAGCCCTCGATGAAACATGACTCTTCTGCAAAGAAAGGCCATTGATCAGTTGTCCTGGGGTCAAGCTCCTAGTTTTTGATGCGATACCTGCAGAAGTTTTCAAAGATGTCCTCACTGAGAACTTACACCAAATATTACAACTTATCTGGCATCAAGAAATACTTTAAAGATGCAACAATCATACACTTGTATAAACGTAAAGAAAACCACCAGGTATGCCAATGACAGTGGAATCTCTCCTCTATCTATTGCTGGTAAAATCATGGCTAGAATTCTCCTAAACCGACTTACGGTGCATCTTGATCAAGACCTCCTGTCTGAGAGTCAGTGTCTACCGAAAAGAGAGAGGGACCATTGAGATGATTTTTGCTGCTCGCCAGCTCCAGGAAAAGTGTCCAGAACAAAACTGCGACCTCTATTCTTCCTTCATAGACCTCACAAAGGCTACTGATACAGTCAGTAGAGAAGGACTGTGGACAATCATGGCTAAATGTGGCTGTCCTTGGAAGTTTTATCAGGATTGTACAACAGTTCCATGAAGGTGTGCAGGCCAGAGTTCTGGAGAAGGGAAAACTGTTGGACCCTTTCCCTGTCTCAGACAGCGTAAAGCAAGGATGTGTGCTTGTGCCAACCTTGTTTAGTCAGACATTTGCTGCAATGCTTGTCAATGCCTTTGATGATGATGATCCAGGAATTGCTTTAAATTACTGTACAGACGGCAGCTTGTTTACTTTGAGGAGGCTTTGAGCTGAAACAAAAACTAGAACAACTTCAATTAGGGAACTTTTATTTGCTGGCGACTGCGCTCTAAACTCCAGCTCTGAGGCCAGGATGCAGCACATCATCAGCAGATTTTCTCAAGCCTGTACTAGTTGAGTTGAGTCCAGAATTGACATCACAGCACTCGGGGCATTCCCATGCATGCTATGTCCTCATCTTCAGCAGCCAGCACAGAGTTCCAATACTGATGGTACCTTTCACAATCTGAAAGTCTGTACCAACTTCAGACTAACTATCAACACTAATAAAACTATTGTATCTATCAACCGGCTCCCAGAAAACATTACTGCAATCCCACTATCACCGTAAGTGAACAAAGGTTAAATGTAGTTGGTAGATTGACGCATCCTGTCAGTAGCCTGTCTCAGAGAGTCAACATCAACGACGAGATCAACACAAGAAACTCAAAGGCCAACAGCAGTTTTGGCACATTTTAAACCAGTGTCTGGAACAGAAGTTGGATCTGCCTGCTGTTGACCAAGCTGAAGGTTCACAAAGCTGTCATTCTTCCAGTACTGCACTACGCTTGCCAAACATGGACTGCTTATTAGCGCTGTGCTAAAAAGTTGAATCAATTTCATAGAACTTGTCTCAGAAAGCTGCTCAAAATTAAATGGCAAAATAAGATTCCAAACAATGTTGTTCTTAATAGGGTAAACCTGCCTAACATCCACACGATACTGGCGAATGATCAGCTCATCCACACGATACTGGCGAATGATCAGCTCATCCACACGATACTGATGAATGATCAGCTCATCTACACGATACTGACGAATGATCAGCTCATCCACACGATACTGGCGAATGATCAGCTCATCCACACGATACTGATGAATGATCAGCTCATCCACACGATACTGACGAATGATCAGCTCATCCACACGATACTGATGAATGATCAGCTCATCCACACGATACTGATGAGTGATCAGCTCATCCACACGATACTGACGAATGATCAGCTCATCCACACGATACTGATGAATGATCAGCTGCGTTGTCCTGGTCACCTAACCTGCATGCCAGACTACCGCCTCCCAAAGACAGTATTTTATGGTGAGCTCCAGCAAGGGAAGAGGTCCCAGGGAGGACAGAAAAAGCGCAATAAAGACACTCTCAAGACTGCTCTCAATTCTTTAGGCATCAACACAGCGACGTGGAAGGCTGATGCTCAGGACCGTTCTGGATGGCGTACATACCTCTGGAATGGTGCATCGGCCTGCCAGACAGTTGAGGCTGCACATGGAGATAAACGAAGGCAAACTAGAAAGAATCGTATCGCTAATCCTACACTTACTGTGGCTTCCACCTGTTGTCAACACTGCTCAAGAACTTTCTGGGCTCATATTGGACTAGTCAGCCACCTTCATACTTATAATCATTGAATGAAAAGTGGTCTTCATCAAACGTGATGGATGGACAGCATAACATCACAGATTCATCACTCATGATGGATGGACAGCATAACATCACAGATTCATCACTCATGATGGATGGACAGCATAACATCACAGATTAGTAGTCACAGTTTTTTTAACAACGGTCAGTCATATCATTCTACTCCAGGTATCATTTGGTAGCCACAGTCAGTCATATCATTTATAAAATAGGTCGGCCATCATAATCAGCTATGTGATACTACTGAGATATAATCTGATAGCTACAGTAAAATATGTAATACTGCTCTCCATAAGATTGGGGGGGGGGGGGGGGGGGTGGGCAGTAAATGTTATGGTGCTTGTGAGAAATTATTTAAAGACCTGACCTTGATTGGGATGTTCTTATTTCTTTACACAGAATGTGACTGTGGACACACCGCAAGGGATCCCATATACTGGCAAACACCTGGCAGTCGACAAGGTGCTGGTCCTATGTGTCTGTGTGTGTGTGCACCTATGCATATGTGTGAGTGCATGACAAAGAAATATGTTGTATGTGCTTGACAGAATTGTCTGTCTGCTTGCCCAATGTCTGTCTATAAAGGTAGAACATCCACAGCACACCATCTCAGTACCTTTGTTCCATCTGTCACCAGGTGGTCTTGTTAATGAGACCACAGCACACCATCTCAGTACCTTTGTTCCATCTGTCACCGCATCGTCTTGTTAATGAGACCACAGCACACCATCTCAGTACCTTTGTTCCATCTGTCACCGCATCGTCTTGTTAATGAGACCACAGCACACCATCTCAGTACCTTTGTTCCATCTGTCACCAGGTGGTCTTGTTAATGAGACCACAGCACACCATCTCAGTACCTTTGTTCCATCTGTCACCGCATCGTCTTGTTAATGAGACCACAGCACACCATCTCAGTACCTTTGTTCCATCTGTCACCGCATCGTCTTGTTAATGAGACCACAGCACACCATCTCAGTACCTTTGTTCCATCTGTCTTCAGCTGATGGTCAGACACAAACCAGATTCAGTTACAGCAACACCCTTGACTCCTGGAGATTTCACAAACCTCTGTATGAACCTACAAGTAGCTGCCTCTGTATGAACCTACAAGTAGCGGCCTCTGTATGAACCTAGAAGTAGCTGCCTCTGTGTGAACCTACAAGTAGCGGCCTCTGTATGAACCTAGAAGTAGCTGCCTGTGTGTGAACCTACAAGTAGCTGACTGTATAAACCTACAAGTAGCTACCTCTGTATGAACCTACAAGAAGCGACCTCTGTGTGAACCTACAAGTAGCTGCCTCTGAACCTACAAGTAGCTACCTCTGTGTGAACCTACAAGTAGCGGCTTCTGTGTGAACCTACAAGTAGCTACCTATGTATGAACCTACAAGTAGCTACCTCTGTATGAACCTACAAGTAGCTGGCTCTGTATGAACCTACAAGTAGCTACCTCTGTATGAACCTACAAGAAGCGGCCTCTGTGTGAACCTACAGGTAGCGGCTTCTGTGTGAACCTACAAGTAGCTTACTCTGTATGAACCTACAAGTAGCTGACTCTGTATGAACCTACAAGTAACTACCTCTGTATGAACCTACAAGTAGCTACCTCTGTGTGAACCTACAAGTAGCTGACTCTGTATGAACCTACAAGTAACTACCTCTGTATGAACCTACAAGAAGCGGCCTCTGTATGAACCTACAAGTAGCTGACTCTGTATGAACCTACAAGTAGCGGCCTCTGAATGAACCTACAAGAAGCGGTCTCTGTATGAACCTACAAGTAGCTGACTCTGTGTGAACCTACAAGTAGCTACCTCTGTATGAACCTACAAGTAGCTACCTCTGTATGAACCTACAAGAAGCGGCCTCTGTGTGAACCTACAAGTAGCGGCTTCTGTGTGAACCTACAGGAGATGTTGCTGTGGAATGTTTCACTGAGGCCCTTGCTGCTTATTGTGGAGATGAAAAGCTTCACCTGGACGCACCCACTAGTGTTGATGATATGTTGTGTGTGTGATACCTGGTACAGGTCCAGTGGAGAACATGAATGCAACATATGCTGAATGTCTGCAGATTGCTGGTGTGTCCATCCTGAGAGCAGGAGAGACCATGGAGCAGGCTTTGTGTGAAGTGTGTAAGGATGTCAGTGTGGGCAAGATTCTCATCCAGACAAACTTACAGACTGGAGAACCTGAGGTAGGTAGATTATTGTATCAGGGTTTTAACAATGCTATCTACAACCTGTGTTGTTATATGGCTGTCAGACATGGACAATAAGCATCAAACATTTATTGGTCGTAGAGATGTGGTGACTGAGAAGAATGTACACACAAAATATCATGGAGCCATAGAAAAGTCAATGGAGCAGTCCTCATTGAGACAGATGACAGTTGTAAACTTATTAGACAGATGACAGTTGTAAACTTATTAGACAGATGACAGTTGTAAACTTATTAGACAGATGACAGTTGTAAACTTATTAGACAGATGACAGTTGTAAACTTATTACACAGATGACAGTTGTAAACTTATTAGACAGATGACAGTTGTAAACTTATTAGACAGATGACAGTTGTAAACTTATTAGACAGATGACAGTTGTAAACTTATTAGACAAATGACACTTTTTGTAAACTTATTAGACAGTTGACACTTTTTGTAAACTTATTAGACAGTTGACAGTTGTAAACTTATTAGACAGATGACAGTTGTAAACTTATTAGACAGATGACAGTTGTAAACTTATTAGAAAGATGACAGTTGTAAACTTATTAGACAGATGACAGTTGTAAACTCATTAGAAAGATGACAGTTGCTAACTTATTAGACAGATGACAGTTGTAAACTTATTAGACAGATGACAGTTGTAAACTTATTAGACAGATGACAGTTGTAAACTTATTAGACAGATGACAGTTGTAAACTTATTAGACAGATGACACTTTTTGTAAACTTATTAGACAGTTGACAGTTGTAAACTTGTTAGACAGATGACAGTTGTAAACTTATTAGACTGATGACAGTTGTAAACTTATTAGACAGATGACAGTTGTAAACTTATTGACACATGACAGCCTATGCTTACTGGCATGGCTCATGATGATGATGCCAGAGGGATTTTTTCATGGGAAGGAATTAATCTTGATTTCTTATGGGAAAGTTTTTTTGGTGTACACCCACGGATCAGTTTGTTTGGTGTACATCCACAGATCAGAGTTTGTTTGGTGTACATCCACGGATCAGGAACGGATTAGGTATTTATGTCGAGGTACCAGTGTACTTGCTACAGTCTGGTACAACTTCCATGTTTGATGTCACCTACTTGAGTGTTTGAATGAAATACTAGTTTGACACGACTGATATGTGAATATCTTGAACATTCAGCTCCACTACACTCGGCTGCCCAAGGACATCAAAGACCACTACATCTTCCTGCTGGACGCCACAGTGGCCACTGGGGCGGCAGCCATGATGGCCATACGGGTGCTGTTGGACCATGATGTGCCAGAGGAGAAGATATTTTTGTGCTCACTTCTGATGGCAGAGTCAGGTCTGTCGTAGAGTAGGTGTCTGTGTGTCAGACAGAGAGAAGAGATTGTGTGTGTCAGACAGACATAGTGTGGGAGATATTTTTGTGCTCACTTCTGATGGCAGAGTCAGGTCTGTCGTAGAGTAGGTGACACAGTGTGTCAGACAGAGAGAAGAGATTGTGTGTGTCAGACAGACATAGTGTGGGAGATATTTTTGTGCTCACTTCTGATGGCAGAGTCAGGTCTGTCGTAGAGTAGGTGACACAGTGTGTCAGACAGAGAGAAGAGATTGTGTGTGTCAGACAGACATAGTGTGGGAGATATTTTTGTGCTCACTTCTGATGGCAGAGTCAGGTCTGTCGTAGAGTAGGTGACACAGTGTGTCAGACAGAGAGAAGAGATTGTGTGTGTCAGACAGACATAGTGTGGGGAGATATTTTTGTGCTCACTTCTGATGGCAGAGTCAGGTCTGTCGTAGAGTAGGTGACACAGTGTGTCAGACAGAGAGAAGAGATTGTGTGTGTCAGACAGACATAGTGTGGGAGATATTTTTGTGCTCACTTCTGATGGCAGAGTCAGGTCTGTCGTAGAGTAGGTGTCTGTGTGTCAGACAGAGAGAAGAGATTGTGTGTGTCAGACAGACATAGTGTGGGGAGATATTTTTGTGCTCACTTCTGATGGCAGAGTCAGGTCTGTCGTAGAGTAGGTGACACAGTGTGTCAGACAGAGAGAAGAGATTTGTGTGTGTCAGACAGACATAGTGTGGGAGATATTTTTGTGCTCACTTCTGATGGCAGAGTCAGGTCTGTCGTAGAGTAGGTGACACAGTGTGTCAGACAGAGAGAAGAGATTGTGTGTGTCAGACAGACATAGTGTGGGAGATATTTTTGTGCTCACTTCTGATGGCAGAGTCAGGTCTGTCGTAGAGTAGGTGTCTGTGTGTCAGACAGAGAGAAGAGATTGTGTGTGTCAGACAGACATAGTGTGGGAGATATTTTTGTGCTCACTTCTGATGGCAGAGTCAGGTCTGTCGTAGAGTAGGTGACACAGTGTGTCAGACAGAGAGAAGAGATTGTGTGTGTCAGACATTCATAGTGTGGGAGATATTTTTGTGCTGACTTCTGATGGCAGAGTCAGGTCTGTCGTAGAGTAGGTGTCTGTGTGTCAGACAGAGAGAAGAGATTGTGTGTGTCAGACAGACATAGTGTGGGAGATATTTTTGTGCTCACTTCTGATGGCAGAGTCAGGTCTGTCGTAGAGTAGGTGACACAGTGTGTCAGACAGAGAGAAGAGATTGTGTGTGTCAGACAGACATAGTGTGGGAGATATTTTTGTGCTCACTTCTGATGGCAGAGTCAGGTCTGTCGTAGAGTAGGTGACACAGTGTGTCAGACAGAGAGAAGAGATTGTGTGTGTCAGACAGACATAGTGTGGGAGATATTTTTGTGCTCACTTCAGATGGCAGAGTCAGGTACGTCGTAGAGTAGGTGACACAGTGTGTCAGACAGAGAGAAGAGATTGTGTGTGTCAGACAGACATAGTGTGGGAGATATTTTTGTGCTCACTTCTGATGGCAGAGTCAGGTACGTCGTAGAGTAGGTGACACAGTGTGTCAGACAGAGAGAAGAGATTGTGTGTGTCAGACAGACATAGTGTGGGAGATATTTTTGTGCTCACTTCTGATGGCAGAGTCAGGTACATCGTAGAGTAGGTGTCTGTGTGTCAGACAGAGAGAAGAGATTGTGTGTGTCAGACAGACATAGTGTGGAAGAGATATTTTGTCAGAAAGTGTGTGGGAGAGAGATTGTGTGTGTCAGACACATTGTGTGGGAGAGAGATTGTGTGTGTCAGACAGACATAGTGTGGGAGATATTTTTGTGCTCACTTCTGATGGCAGAGTCAGGTCTGTCGTAGAGTAGGTGTCTGTGTGTCAGACAGAGAGAAGAGATTGTGTGTGTCAGACAGACATAGTGTGGGAGATATTTTTGTGCTCACTTCTGATGGCAGAGTCAGGTCTGTCGTAGAGTAGGTGACACAGTGTGTCAGACAGAGAGAAGAGATTGTGTGTGTCAGACAGACATAGTGTGGGAGATATTTTTGTGCTCACTTCTGATGGCAGAGTCAGGTACGTCGTAGAGTAGGTGACACAGTGTGTCAGACAGAGAGAAGAGATTGTGTGTGTCAGACAGACATAGTGTGGGAGATATTTTTGTGCTCACTTCTGATGGCAGAGTCAGGTACATCGTAGAGTAGGTGACACAGTGTGTCAGACAGAGAGAAGAGATTGTGTGTGTCAGACAGACATAGTGTGGGAGATATTTTGTCAGAAAGTGTGTGGGAGAGATTGTGTAGGTCAGACAGACATTGTGTGAGAGAGAGATTGTGTGTGTCAGACACATTGTGTGGGAGACAGATTGTGTGGGTCAGACAGACATTGTGTGGGAGAGAGATTGTGTGTGTCAGACAGACATTGTGTGGGAGAGAGATAGTGTGGGTCATACAGACATTGTGTGGGAGAGAGATTATGGGTCAGACAGACATGGTGTCAGAGATGGGAAAGAGATAGTTTACTTGTAGTTACACTTGAACATGTCTGTCTGTCTGTGATTGAAGGAGTGATGTCAGAGATGTGGAAGAGATAGTTTACTTGTAGTTACACTTGAACATGTCTGTCTGTGATTGCAGGAGTGATGTCAGAGATGGGAAAGAGATAGTTTACTTGTAGTTACACTTGAACATGTCTGTCTGTGTCTGTCTGTGATTGCAGGAGTGATGTCAGAGATGGGAAAGAGATAGTTTACTTGTAGTTACACTTGAACATGTCTGTCTGTGTCTGTCTGTGATTGCAGGAGTGTTGTCAGAGATGGGAAAGAGATAGTTTACTTGTAGTTACACTTGAACATGTCTGTCTGTCTGTGATTGAAGGAGTGATGTCAGAGATGTGAAAGAGATAGTTTACTTGTAGTTACACTTGAACATGTCTGTCTGTCTGTGATTGAAGGAGTGATGTCAGAGATGTGAAAGAGATAGTTTACTTGTAGTTACACTTGAACATGTCTGTCTGTGATTGAAGGAGTGATGTCAGAGATGTGAAAGAGATAGTTTACTTGTAGTTACATTTGAACATGTCTGTCTGTGATTGAAGGAGTGATGTCAGAGATGTGGAAGAGATAGTTTACTTGTAGTTACACTTGAACATGTCTGTCTGTAATTGCAGGAGTGATGTCAGAGATGTGAAAGAGATAGTTTACTTGTAGTTACATTTGAACATGTCTGTCTGTGATTGAAGGAGTGATGTCAGAGATGTGAAAGAGATAGTTTACTTGTAGTTACACTTGAACATGTCTGTCTGTGATTGAAGGAGTGATGTCAGAGATGTGAAAGAGATAGTTTACTTGTAGTTACACTTGAACATGTCTGTCTGTGATTGCAGGAGTGATGTCAGAGATGTGAAAGAGATAGTTTACTTGTAGTTACATTTGAACTTGTCTGTCTGTGTCTGTCTGTGATTGCAGGAGTGATGTCAGAGATGTGGAAGAGATAGTTTACTTGTAGTTACACTTGAACATGTCTGTCTGTGATTGCAGGAGTGATGTCAGAGATGTGAAAGAGATAGTTTACTTGTAGTTACATTTGAACTTGTCTGTCTGTCTGTGATTGCAGGAGTGATGTCAGAGATGTGGAAGAGATAGTTTACTTGTAGTTACACTTGAACATGTCTGTCTGTCTGTGATTGCAGGAGTGATGTCAGAGATGTGGAAGAGATAGTTTACTTGTAGTTACACTTGAACATGTCTGTCTGTGATTGCAGGAGTGATGTCAGAGATGTGAAAGAGATAGTTTACTTGTAGTTACACTTGAACATGTCTGTCTGTCTGTGATTGCAGGAGTGATGTCAGAGATGGGAAAGAGATAGTTTACTTGTAGTTACACTTGAACATGTCTGTCTGTGTCTGTCTGTGATTGCAGGAGTGATGTCAGAGATGTGGAAGAGATAGTTTACTTGTAGTTACATTTGAACTTGTCTGTCTGTCTGTGATTGCAGGAGTGATGTCAGAGATGTGGAAGAGATAGTTTACTTGTAGTTACACTTGAACATGTCTGTCTGTGATTGCAGGAGTGATGTCAGAGATGTGGAAGAGATAGTTTACTTGTAGTTACACTTGAACTTGTCTGTTTGTCTGTGATTGCAGGAGTGATGTCAGAGATGTGGAAGAGATAGTTTACTTGTAGTTACATTTGAACATGTCTGTCTGTGATTGCAGGAGTGATGTCAGAGATGTGGAAGAGATAGTTTACTTGTAGTTACACTTGAACTTGTCTGTTTGTCTGTGATTGCAGGAGTCCATACGGTGGTCAGAGATGTGGAAGAGATAGTTTACTTGTAGTTACATTTGAACATGTCTGTCTGTGATTGCAGGAGTGATGTCAGAGATGTGGAAGAGATAGTTTACTTGTAGTTACACTTGAACTTGTCTGTTTGTCTGTGATTGCAGGAGTCCATACGGTGGCGTACGCTTTCCCCAAGGTGAACATTGTAACCACAGCTGTAGACAAGGAAGTGGATGCAGACTTCCATATATTGCCTGGGCTTGGTGAGTGTTGTTGTAGTGGGCTGGGGGAGGGCTTGGTGAGTGTTGTTGTAGTGGGCTGGGGAGGGGCTTGGTGAGTGTTGTTGTAGTGGGCTGGGGGGGATGGTGAGTGTTGTTGTAGTGGGCTGGGGGCTTGGTGAGTGTTGTTGTAGTGGGCTGGGGGGGGGGGGGCTTGGTGAGTGTTGTTGTAGTGGGCTGAGGGGGGGGGCCTTGGTGAGTGTTGTAGTGGGGGGGGGGGGGGGGGGGTAGTGGGGCTTGGTGAGTGTTGTTGTAGTGGGCTGGGGGGCTTGGTGAGTGTTCTTGTAGTGGGTTGGGGGGCTTGGTGAGTGTTGTTGTAGTGGGTTGGGGGGCTTGGTGAGTGTTCTTGTAGTGGGTTGGGGGGCTTGGTGAGTGTTGTTGTAGTGGGTTGGGGGGCTTGGTGAGTGTTCTTGTAGTGGGTTGGGGGGCTTGGTGAGTGTTGTTGTAGTGGGTGGGGGGGGGGGGGCGCTTGGTGAGTGTTGTTGGGGGGCTTGGTGAGTGTTGTAGTAGTGGGCTGGGTGGGGGGGGGCGCTTGGTGAGTGTTGTTGGGGGGCTTGGTGAGTGTTTGTTGTAGTGGGCTGAGGGGGGGGCTTGGTGAGTGTTGTTGTAGTGGGCTGAGGGGGGGGGCTTGGTGAGTGTTGTTGTAGTGGGCTGAGGGGGGGGCTTGGTGAGTGTTGTTGTAGTGGGCTGAGGGGGGGGCTTGGCGAGTGTTGTTGTGGTGGGCTGGGGGGGGGGGCTTGGTGAGTGTTGTTGTAGTGGGCTGAGGGGGGGGCTTGGTGAGTGTTGTTGTAGTGGGCTGAGGGGGGGGCTTGGTGAGTGTTGTTGTGGTGGGCTGGGGGGGGCTTGGTGAGTGTTGTTGTAGTGGGCTGAGGGGGGGGGGCCTTGGTGAGTGTTGTAGTGGGCTGGGGGGGGGGGGGTAGTGGGGCTTGGTGAGTGTTGTTGTAGTGGGCTGGGGGGGGCTTGGTGAGTGTTCTTGTAGTGGGTTGGGGGGCTTGGTGAGTGTTGTTGTAGTGGGCTCGGGGGGGGGGGCGCTTGGTGAGTGTTGTTGGGGGGCTTGGTGAGTGTTGTAGTAGTGGGCTGGGGGGGGGGGGCGCTTGGTGAGTGTTGTTGGGGGGCTTGGTGAGTGTTGTAGTAGTGGGCTGGGGGGGGGGCCTTGTTGAGTGTTGTTGTAGTGGGGGGGGGGAGGGCCTTGTTGAGTGTTGTTGTAGTGGGCTGGGGGAGGGCTTGGTGAGTGTTGTTGTAGTGGGCTGGGGGGGGGGGCTTGGTGAGTGTTGTTGTAGTGGGCTGGGGGTTTGGTGAGTGTTGTTGTAGTGGGCTGGGGGGCTTGGTGAGTGTTGTTGTAGTGGGCTGGGGGAGGGCTTGGTGAGTGTTGTTGTAGTGGGCTGGGGGAGGGCTTGGTGAGTGTTGTTGTAGTGGGCTGGGGGAGGGCTTGGTGAGTGTTGTTGTAGTTGGCTGGGGGGGGGTAGTGGGCTTGGTGAGTGTTGTTGTAGTGGGCTGGGGGAGGGCTTGGTGAGTGTTGTTGTAGTTGGCTGGGGGGGGGGGTAGTGGGCTTGGTGAGTGTTGTTGTAGTGGGCTGGGAGGGGGGCTTGGTGAGTGTTGTTGTAGTGAGGTTGGTTCATTATTTCACCAGTGTGCTGAGGTTTGCCTTATATTGTAGCAGTGTAGGACTAGTACTGTCTGTGGTTGGGTTTGTCTCAGTGTCAGGGTTGCAGTTACAGTTACAGAAATGTTAATTCCAACCCCCCACCCCCCGCCAATCCTAACAGCTGAGCTTTAGTTGTCCTGTCATGCAAGTGAAGTCCATGTATACCACAAGGGCACCAGTTCGGGAGTGTTTGTAGTTTGTTTTCATATTCCTGCGTAGCGACTGCTGGCACAAGTTTATGGAGCCTATAATTCTCTGACTCTGAGACATAAACACCTGTGGATGGTTTTATTTCTTGTTATATTTGTTTTCTTCTTTCTTTCCTAGGCAACTTTGGAGACCGATATTTTGGTTTTATTTCTTGTTATATTTGTTTTCTTCTTTCTTTCCTAGGCAACTTTGGAGACCGATATTTTGGCACTTGAGCCAGCGGGACATGAGCCAGCGGGACATGGGCCAGCGGGACATGGGCCAGCGGGACATGGGCCAGCGGGACATGGGCCAGCGGGACATGTTGGAACATCAGTTTGGTCTGGGCTGCTGCTGCTTAGCTGGCCTAGGTCATGTCTGTGAGAAAGTCAGGAATAGATTCTCTTCTCCTGATGGGCGGACCACTTGTTGTTTTCTCATGTTCATTACAATAATAACCTGCCATATCCTGATGTAATGCTGTGAGCTGACATGTGTTATTGTGTTATGATGGCTGCTTCTGTGTTGTTATGATGGCTGTTATGGTGTTGTTATGATGGCTGTTATGGTGTTGTTATGATGGCTGTTATGGTGTTGTTATGATGGCTGCTTCTGTGTTGTTATGATGGCTGTTATGGTGTTGTTATGATGGCTGTTATGGTGTTGTTATGATGGCTGTTACTGTGTTGTTATGATGGCTGTTATGGTGTTGTTATGATGGCTGCTTCTGTGTTGTTATGATGACTGTTATTGTTCTGTGCCTGGTTTTCAGATTTGTTTATGTAGATGGTTATTCTTGTGCTGTAACTATCTCTCCAACACCCGTCACAGGTAGTGCTGTACTGTAACTATCTCTCCACCACCTATCAAAGGTAGTACTGTAACTATCTCTCCACCACCTATCACAGGTAGGGCTGTAACTATCTCTCCACCACCTATCACAGGTAGGGCTGTAACTATCTCTCCACCACCTATCACAGGTAGGGCTGTAACTATCTCTCCACCACCTATCACAGGTAGGGCTGTAACTATCTCTTCAACACCCGTCACAGGTAGTGCTGTACTGTAACTATCTCTCCACCACCTATCAAAGGTAGTACTGTAACCATCTCTCCACCACCTATCACAGGTAGGGCTGTAACTATCTCTCCACCACCTATCACAGGTAGGGCTGTAACTATCTCTCCACCACCTATCACAGGTAGGGCTGTAACTATCTCTCCACCACCTGTCACAGGTAGGGCTGTAACTATCTCTCCACCACCTATCACAGGTAGTACTGTAACTATCTCTCCACCACCTATCACAGGTAGTACTGTAACTATCTCTCCACCACCTATCACAGGTAGTACTGTAACTATCTCTCCACCACCTATCACAGGTAGTACTGTAACTATCTCTCCACCACCTATCACAGGTAGTACTGTAAATATCTCTCCACCACCTGTCACAGGTGGTGCTGTGCTGTAACTATCTCTCCAACACCCGTCACAGGTAGTGCTGTACTGTAACTATCTCTCCACCACCTATCACAGGTAGTACTGTAACTATCTCTCCACCACCTATCACAGGTAGTACTGTAACTATCTCTCCACCACCTATCACAGGTAGTACTGTAACTATCTCTCCACCACCTATCACAGGTAGTACTGTAACTATCTCTCCACCACCTGTCACAGGTAGGGCTGTGCTGTAACTATCTCTCCACCACCTATCACAGGTAGTACTGTAACTATCTCTCCACCACCTATCACAGGTAGTACTGTAACTATCTCTCCACCACCTATCACAGGTAGTACTGTAACTATCTCTCCACCACCTATCACAGGTAGTACTGTATCTCTCCACCACCTGTCACAGGTAGGGCTGTGCTGTAACTATCTCTCCCCCACCTGTCACAGGTACTGCTGTACTGTAACTATCTCTCCAACAGCTGTCACAGGTAGTACTGTGCTGTAACTATCTCTCCACCACCTGTCACAGGTAGTGCTGTATTGTAACTATCTCTCCACCACCTGTCACAGGTAGTGCTGTGCTGTAACTATCTCTCCACCACCTATCACAGGTAGTGCTGTATTGTAACTATCTCTCCACCACCTGTCACAGGTAGTGCTGTACTGTAACTATCTCTCCACCACCTGTCACAGGTAGTGCTGTACTGTAACTATCTCTCCACCACCTGTCACAGGTAGTGCTGTACTGTAACTATCTCTCCACCACCTGTCACAGGTAGTGCTGTACTGTAACTATCTCTCCAACAGCTGTCACAGGTAGTGCTGTGCTGTAACTATCTCTCCACCACCTGTCACAGGTAGTGCTGTGCTGTAACTATCTCTCCACCACCTGTCACAGGTAGTGCTGTATTGTAACTATCTCTCCACCACCTGTCACAGGTAGTGCTGTGCTGTAACTATCTCTCCACCACCTGTCACAGGTAGTGCTGTATTGTAACTATCTCTCCACCACCTGTCACAGGTAGTGCTGTACTGTAACTATCTCTCCACCACCTGTCACAGGTAGTGCTGTACTGTAACTATCTCTCCACCACCTGTCACAGGTAGTGCTGTGCTGTAACTGTCTCTCCACCACCTGTCACAGGTAGTGCTGTACTGTAACTATCTCTCCACCACCTGTCACAGGTAGTGCTGTACTGTAACTATCTCTCCACCACCTGTCACAGGTAGTGCTGTACTGTAACTATCTCTCCACCACCTGTCACAGGTGGTGCTGTACTGTAACTGTCTCTCCACCACCTGTCACAGGTGGTGCTGTACTGTAACTATCTCTCCACCACCTGTCACAGGTGGTGCTGTACTGTAACTATCTCTCCACCACCTGTCACAGGTGGTGCTGTACTGTAACTATCTCTCCACCACCTGTCACAGGTAGTGCTGTGCTGTAACTGTCTGTCTTGTTTTTGTGGATATTTTTATACTAAAGTTGGCTCTGTCTTTGTGTGTTGAGTATTCTTAGTTTTCCCTAATGGTTATGCTGGTTGTTATCGTACCCTATAGCTGGCTTTCAGGCTGCAATTGATGTAATGGTCATTCTTCTGTCATGGGCTGTCAGTCTTGTGGTCAGTATTATTACAATATGAGTGGACATTTTCAGTTAATCTGTACTTTCCTCCTGTTATATTTCATGATTATACACAAGTGTTGATGTCATAACCATTGGGTCAGTGACTGAACCACATTCACCAACTTAACAACAGACAGCAGCCATCAAGTCTAGTTCCAAATGTGGTGGTAGAGTGTTGTGTGTCTGAAATGTGGTGGTAGAGTGTTGTGTGTTCGTTTTGTGATGGCAGTCAATAAATGGGCTTTTATTGTGTGGTATTTCTATTCAATAAAATGTGATATGGGCTTGTGTTGTCTGGTGATTCTATTCATTAAAATATGACAGGATGTGTGTAGTTTGTGTTGTGGCAACTATGAGTAGAATGTGACAGGATGTGTGTAGTTTGTGTTGTGGCAACAGTGAGTAGAATGTGACAGGATGTGTGTAGTTTGTGTTGTGGCAACAGTGAGTAGAATGTGACAGGATGTGTGTAGTTTGTGTTGTGGCAACAGTGAGTAGAATGTGACAGGATGTGTGTAGTTTGTGTTGTGGCAACAGTGAGTAGAATGTGACAGGATGTGTGTTAGTTTTGTGTTGTGGCAACAGTGAGTAGAATGTGACAGGATGTGTGTAGTTTGTTTGTGTTGTGGCAACAGTGATAGAATGTGACAGGAGTGTGTAGTTTGTGTTGTGGCAACAGTGAGTAGAATGTGACAGGATGTGTGTAGTTTGTGTTGTGGCAACAGTGAGTAGGAATGTGACAGGATGTGTGTAGTTGTGTTGTGGGCAACAGTGAGTCGAATGTGACAGGATGTGTGTAGTTTGTGTTGGCAACAGTGAGTAGAATGTGACAGGATGTGTGTTAGTTTGGTGTGTGGCAACAGTGAGTAGAATGTGATGTGTAGTTTGTGTTGTGGCAACAGTGAGTAGAAAGTGACAGGATGTGTGTAGTTTGTGTTGTGGCAACAGTGAGTAGAATGTGACAGGATGTGTGTAGTTTGTGTTGTGGCAACAGTGAGTAGAATGTGACAGAATGTGTGTAGTTTGTGTTGTGGCAACAGTGAGTAGAATGTGACAGGATGTGTGTAGTTTGTGTTGTGGCAACAGTGAGCGGGATGTGTGTAGTTTGTGTTGTGGCAACAATGAGCAGAATGTGACAGGAACTTGCACATAACACAGGAAAAGCTGCTGTGATTGTAGCATCATCATTTTCAGGTGCCTTGCCGACTGGCATGGGTGATCATGCCTCTCTACAGTCTGCGATCCCCTGCAGCATGTATCAGTTCGTGTGCCAACACACCTTCATGCCATGCAACAAGACTGTCAAGCATCTTCTCTCGGTGTCTTCCTCTATCCCTCCTTCCACAGATCTTTCCAGTGGTCACATGTTCTATTATTCCTCTTCTCATAACATGGCCGAAAAATGATGACTGTCTCCTTCTGATGTCTGATAAGTTGTCTTCGGGCTCCCGCCTCTATCAAAACCTCTTGGTTGCTCTTTTTGGCTGTCCAAGGTATTCTAAGCATTCTTCTGTAAAACCACATCTCCGAGGCCTCCAGAAATTGTTTGGCCTGCCTACCGATTGTCCAGGATTCACAGCCATATGTTAAAACTGGATGTATGTAGCAAGCAAGAATTCTTTTTCTAACTCTCAATGACAAAGATATATTGCACAAGATGTTCTTCATTTTATAAAATGCTGTTTTGCCTGTCCTATTCTGTTTCTTATCTCGGTTATGCATCTTCAATCTGATGTTAACCATGTGCCTTTGTGATTGTATACATTGTTATATTGTATATGTCGTGCTTGCATTCCATTACTTGTTGTGTTTCATGTCTGCTGTCTTTGTTTCATGTCTGCTATCCTTGTCTTGTGTTTATTTTGTGTGGTTTGCATTGTGTTTCAAGTCTATTGTCTGTTTCATGTCTGCTGTGTTTGTTTCGTGTTTGCCATCCTTGTGTCGTGTTTCTTTTGTGTGGTGTGCACTGTGTTTCATTTCTGTCTGTTTGCTTTACCCATTTCTGTCTGTTTGCTTTACCCATTTCTGTCTGTTTGCTTTACCCATTTCTGTCTGTTTGCTTTACCCATTTCTGTCTGTTTGCTTTACCCATTTCTGTCTGTTTGCTTTACCCATTTCTGTCATGTCTGGCATCTGTTGCAGCCTTTGTTGATTCCCTGCTGGTGGTTCTTTGTATGTTGCTGGATTATATTAAAGATAATTAAATACCAAATCCAAGATAAAACACAAAATAAATGTACAATTGACAAGAACTGTTTATTAATACTGTTTCAATACTTGTGGCATGTATAAGCCATGACCTTCACCTGACAAGCAGGCCATCACACACAGGTAGGTGAGCAGCAGTGTTCTGGTTGCAGTGTTTTCTCTTTAGTGGGATGTCTCATCCATTAATAGAACTAACACTCACACAAGCACACACAAACAGATGGGGGTCAAGGAGACAGGCATTGACTGGAGAAATGAGCTGTTGTAACAGAAGCCTCTGCTAGATCAGTAGTTAGACTATTTGGACAACTAGATCAGTAGTTAGACTATTTGGACAACTAGATGTGTGCTGGCGAATTGTGTGTGTGTGAGAGAGAGACTAGTTACAGATTATTTCACTGCAGCAAAGTCCACCCTAACAGAAATCATTAGAACCAAATAATATAAGAAGCACACAATAAGAGTGCATTGTGGGTCCAAATATTTGTAGAACATGTTCCACTGGAGAGGGCCAATTGATGAACGAACAAACTTTATCTTCAAAGGGTTATAAATTAGGCACTCAGGCCTGTCTTACATTAGGTAGAAGTTAAACATGTTCTAGAATGGGCCGATTGATGAACTAAAGGTAGAAGTTGAACATGTTCCACTGGAAGGGGCCGACTGGTAAACTACAGGTAGAAGTTCAGCATGTTCTCGTAGTGCTCCTGCTGGCCAGAAATACGCTGAGGCTCTCCATGGGTCTGGACATATTCCTGAAACAGAGAGAGGTTATACATGTACACAGTTTTTGTTGACACAGGGATAATTGAACCCACAACAACCAGGTTGGCAGGTGAGGTCAGCTAGCCACAACTGGTAGCCTAGATTGTCAAGTAAGTAGAGCTGAAGGTCCTGCTTTCACTCCTTAGGGCATTTTGGACAGATGTTGAACCATAATTAACTCACACTGGGTGAGGTGGGGTAGTTGCCAACACACTGGGTGAGGTGGGGTAGTTGCCAACACACTGGGTGAGGTGGGGTAGTTGCCAACACACTGGGTGAGGTGGGGTAGTTGCCAACACACTGGGTGAGGTGGGGTAGTTGCCAACACACTGGGTGAGGTGGGGTAGTTGCCAACACACTGGGTGAGGTGGGGTAGTTGCCAACACACTGGGTGAGGTGGGGTAGTTGCCAACACACTGGGTGAGGTGGGGTAGTTGCCAACACACTGGGTGAGGTGGGGTAGTTGCCAACACACTGGGTGAGGTGGGGTAGTTGCCAACACACTGGGTGAGGTGGGGTAGTTGCCAACACACTGGGTGAGGTGGGGTAGTTGCCAACACACTGGGTGAGGTGAGGTAGTTGCCAACACACTGGGAGCCTTAACTTTCTAGAACATATTCTGGGACCCATTTTAGACTGTTTGAGATATCTGGTCTCTTGTCTTGAGGAGGAATCAAACTCAGCCGACAGGCAAGTGTGCCTAGAGCATAGGTGCTTGTACAAACAATATCTATGATTCTGTCTGACATCCACCAAATAACATGTTCATACAAAATATTTTAATCTGTAGAGTAGCCCATGTTGTTCGTGTCTCAGACCCCAGGGTGTAGAAGAACATGTCTCGGACCCCAGGGTGTAGGAGAACGTGTCTCAGACCCCAGGGTGCAGGAGAACATGTCTCAGACCCCAGGGTGCAGGAGAACATGTCTCAGACCCCAGGGTGCAGGAGAACATGTCGCGGACCCCAGGGTGCAGGAGAACATGTCGCAGACCCCAGGGTATAGGAGAACATGTATCAGAACCCAGGGTGTAGGAGAACATGTCTCAGAACCCAGGGTGTAGGAGAACGTTTTTCAGACCCCAGGGTGTAGGAGAACATCTCTCAGATCCCAGGGTGCAGGAGAACATGTCTCAGATCCCAGGGTGCAGGAGAACATGTCTCAGACCCCAGGGCATAGGAGAACATGTCTCAGACCCCAGGGTGTAGGAGAACATGTCTCAGAACCCAGGGTGTAGGAGAACATGTCTCAGACCCCAGGGTGCAGGAGAACATGTCTCGGACCCCAGGGTGTAGGAGAACATGTCGCAGACCCCAGGGTATAGGAGAACATGTCTCAGACCCCAGGGTGTAGGAGAACATGTCTCAGAACCCAGGGTGTAGGAGAACATGTCTCGGACCCCAGGGTGTAGGAGAACGTGTCTCAGACCCCAGGGTGCAGGAGAACATGTCTCAGACCCCAGGGTGTAGGAGAACATGTCGCAGACCCCAGGGTATAGGAGAACATGTCTCAGACCCCAGGGTGTAGGAGAACATGTCTCAGAACCCAGGGTGTAGGAGAACATGTCTCAGAACCCAGGGTGTAGGAGAACGTGTCTCAGACCCCAGGGTGTAGGAGAACATGTCTCAGAACCCAGGGTGTAGGAGAACATGTCTCAGAACCCAGGGTGTAGGAGAACATGTCTCAGAAACCAGGGTGTAGGAGAACATGTCTCAGAACCCAGGGTGTAGGAGAACATGTCTCAGAACCCAGGGTGTAGGAGAACATGTCTCAGAACCCAGGGTGTAGGAGAACATGTCTCAGAACCCAGGGTGTAGGAGAACATGTCTCAGACCCCAGGGTGTAGGAGAACATGTCTCAGAACCCAGGGTGTAGGAGAACATGTCTCAGAACCCAGGGTGTAGGAGAACATGTCTCAGAACCCAGGGTGTAGGAGAACATGTCTCAGAACCCAGGGTGTAGGAGAACGTGTCTCAGACCCCAGGGTGTAGGAGAACATGTCAGACCCCCAGGGTGCAGGAGAACATGTCTCAGATCCCAGGGTGTAGGAGAACGTGTCTTGACATCTGTGCAGTCTGGAGAGTTTCAGTGTCACACATAGATGAACACCTGCATACACGCACACATACACACACACACATACATGGCACCTGATAGCAGAAACTACACAAGGTGACACAAAAACATATCAGCACATGTCTGTCAGTAAATGTAAGTACACCTTGAAGAGGGAGCGCTACGGCACAAAATACATAACAGCAGAAATGTAGAACAAAATGCATCACAGCAGAAATGTAGCACAGAATAAATGACAGCATGAAAGTATCAAAATACAGGACATCAAGAATGTAGCACAGAATAAATGACAGCATGAAAGTATCAGAATACAGGACATCAAGAATGTAGCACAGAATAAATGACAGCATGAAAGTATCAAAATACAGGACATCAAGAATGTAGCACAGAATAAATGACAGCATGAAAGTATCAAAATACAGGACATCAAGAATGTAGCACAGAATAAATGACAGCATGAAAGTATCAAAATACAGGACATCAAGAATGTAGCACAGAATAAATGACAGCATGAAAGTATCAAAATACAGGACATCAAGAATGTAGCACAGAATAAATGACAGCATGAAAGTATCAAAATACAGGACATCAAGAATGTAGCACAGAATAAATGACAGCATGAAAGTATCAAAATACAGGACATCAAGAATGTAGCACAGAATAAATGACAGCATGAAAGTATCAAAATACAGGACATCAAGAATGTAGCACAGAATAAATGACAGCATGAAAGTATCAAAATACAGGACATTAAGAATGTAGCACAGAATAAATGACAGCATGAAAGTATCAAAATACAGGACATCAAGAATGTAGCACAAAATACATGAAGCCTGAAACATGCTGACACAAAAACTGGCAATCTACTTCTTTCTGTTTTCATTCCTCCTAGGACATAACTGCACTGTGACCTGCAATGTTTGCAACGTTTGGTCAACACATCCAGCTTCATCAGGCATCTTTTACTTAAAAGCTGTAGGTGACCTCAATGTGACACCAGCTATCACAAATCATTTCTGGATTTATGCAACACGAAGACCTCACTATGAAGTAGTTCAGAGGACAACAGTAGACAAATATTTGGATTGTACCAGGTCCTGTCAGTATGAGTTTACCTGCCCAGTGTTCTTCTGTGCTGCCTGGAAATTCTCTAACTCCAGAAAAATGTCCAGCTACAGGTGTTTTGTAACAATGATGTTAGCAGGGTGCATTCAGTTAGTCTCTCTCTCTGACTCTTTCTCTCTGTCTCTGCCAAGATCACAGACCAACAATCTAAAACCTTGACTGTGTGACCTGCCAGGGTCAGACACCAACTAGGGGACAACAACATTTGATATCTTACCTCCAGCTCCTCCAGAGTTGTGTTTCCTGCTTCAATCTTGGCCCCAATGCCAGACTTGTAACTGCTGTAGCGATCCTGCATGTGGGCAAGACAAACAAGTTTTCTTAGCACAAAATGTACGACTGTTGTATGTTGAATGTGCAAATATTACTGGTAAATGTTGAATTTAAGAACGTATGTTGTAGGTGCAAATATTGCTGGTATATGTTGAATTTAAGAACGTTTTATGTTGTATGTGCAAATATTGCTGGTAAATGTCGAATTTAAGAATGTTGTATGTGCAAATATTGCTGGTAAATGTCAAATTTAAGAATGTTTTATGTTGTATGTGCAAATATTGCTGGCATATGTTAAATTTAGGAACATTTTATGTTGTATGTACAGATATTTCTGGTATATGTTGAATTTAAGAACAAGACTATGACAGTCCTTTGACGAATTGTTAATTGTTTGGTCACTGATTTCGTGTGAGATATGTTCTGTGAGAGCTATGATTGTGTTTCTTGGTGTTCTTCCATCAGATGTTATAGATTTGTTTCCATGTGTTATTACAGTGACCATGGTGTTATTACTGTGACCATGGTGTTATTACAGTGACCATGGTGTTATTACTGTGACCATGGTGTTATTACAGTGACCATGGTGTTATTACAGTGACCATGGTGTTATTACAGTGACCATGGTGTTATTACAGTGACCATGGTGTTATTCCAGGGACCATGGTGTTATTCCAGTCACCATGGTGTTATACCAGTTACCAAGGTGTTATTCCAATTAACATGGTGTTATTCCAACAATTTTTAGTTAGTACGGCTGTAGTATTCAATAGGAGCTAGCATGGGCACTAGAACATTCTATGGGAGGTCAGGTGTGCCTTGTAGCATGGGCACTAGCACATTCTTTGAGAGGTCAGGTGTGTCTTGTAGCATGGGCACTAGCACATTCTGTGACAGGTCAGGTGTATCTTGTAGCATGGGCCCTAGAACATTCTGTGGGAGATCAGGTGTGTCTTGTAGCATGGGCACTAGAACAATCTATAGGTGGTCAGGTGTGTCTTGTAGCATGGGCACTAGAACATTCTGTGAGAGGTCAGGTGTGTCTTGTAACATGGGCACTAGCACATTCTGTGACAGGTCAGGTGTATCTTGTAGCATGGGCCTAGAACATTCTGTGGGAGGTCAGGTGTGTCTTGTAGCATGGGCACTAGAACAATCTATAGGTGGTCAGGTTTGTCTTGTAGCATGGGCACTAGAACATTCTGTAGGAGGTCAGGTGTGTCTTGTAGCATGGGCACTAGAACATTCTGTAGGAGGTCAGGTGTGTCTTGTAGCATGGGCACTAGAACATTCTGTGTGAGGTCAGGTGTGTCTTGTAGCATGGGCACTAGAACATTCTGTGTGAGGTCAGGTGTGTCTTATAGCATGGGCACTAGCACATTCTGTGAGAGGTCAGGTGTGTTTTGTAGCATGGGCACTAGAACATTCTATGGGAGGTCATGTGACGTGACGCGTGGTTTAAATGTTTATGTTGTTGAGTAGGGATCTTCCTTTCAACACATTCTCTCCACTAGATACACCGAACTAAAATCTGAGCTATGTTGCTCTCAGACAAAGTCCTGGATATCCAAGAAAACAGCCATATTGGCTCGTTAAGTATATTAACATTAGCTGAACTTGGTACCCACAAGAGAAGGCAAGGAATTTTAGATGTCTATCATACTAAATGAATTATTAGACAGGGCAAGTGATTCCTCCGTCATCTACCTTCTCCCGGTGTTATTATTAATAATTAAAAAATTATTATATTATTTGAGCCCCCACCAAATGGTAATCTATCTTAACAGTTTAATTAAACATGTAAGAACAGACATTTGGAATTTAACAAACTATGTAGTTTAAAACTTGACATACAGCTTTATTTACTACAATGAAATTCCCAGTTTGTTGATTTACACAAACAGTGACTGGTTAACTTGATGATGGTGGTAAGCTTCAGCGAGAAAAACAGCTCGGGGGTTAGAGTGGTATGATAATGATGATAATAGGTTAACATAAAGGGGTTAACTCAACTTATAAGCCTCTGACAGCCGTGAGGAACTGTCAAGCTTGTCCAACTCTTCCTTGCCTGTTGTCTGCCTGTTTCAGCTTATTCTCCACTTCATCCCCACCTCGTTCTCCACCTCGTTCTCCACCTCGTTCCCAGCTGGCCGAGTCTAACACATTGTAGGCTACTTCATGGACTGATCGTCACATGGGCGCTGTAATCATGGAAACAAAACACATACGTGTAGTATCTTGACTTACACTAAGAATACATGTATCAATTAATACAACATATAATAATAAGATATAGTCCATCACTCCTCCTCATATTCCACATCCTCTCCAGTCTAGTCTGAAGGTCTTTTGTCTTACATGGGCGTCACATATCCTGCCTTCCCTCAAATGCTATGTCATGATAGTTGACTTTCTAAGTCTGTTGTCCGTCTTCACTCAGACTTCGAGTTGGCTGACATAGATTTGACATAAACATGTGGCGCAGGTTATGTGCTGAACCCGCAAACAATTTATATGTGCACGCTGTCCTGAATATTAGCTTTCAGTGACCGTGAATACTGTACACCCATCATCCTTCCCCTGGGGTTATAAATCCCCTGTTTAGTTGAACACATTAAGTGAGCACATGGTGGGCACACAAAACGTAGCAGCATCCCTGCACATATTTGGGCATCATTTCCCACAGTCCCAACTCATATTTTGGCTGATCATGATAACAATATAATTACATTTCATTATAGCAAATGTCATTGTTCACATCTTATTTTATACACATGAAAACATACAATGAAAAACATGTGACACAAACATACAAGAAATAGGAATAGTTTAGCAGTTCCCTAACTGAGATACTGAATACTCACACAGAACTATTTCAAGCAGAATGTGCAGACAAATTAGGAAAAGGTAGTATAGACTAAGCTTAACTCCCTAACCTAAGTATACAAGATTAATATTAATATTCACCTGGGAACTTTTCCAGCAAATGCCGAACACGACTCAACCAGGGAGAAAGTACTTTTCAACGGTAGGTCTGAGTCTGTGGCCTGCTGGCGGCACTATGAGGTAAATCTACGATGCCCGCAGTATAAGTATTAATCTATTGTCCAAATTACACTCCTCCCTTTCCTTAGTTTTTACCCAACCCTCAAGATGATGGCTTAAGCACCGCCCCTGAGGTAACTATCAGATCACTTAGCTAACCAGTGACCTGTCACTCACAGTGAACGGCCTACAGTACGACCTTGACCAAGATAAAACATTCCTAATTGCCAAACAGCTGTTCTCTCCAGAATTACACTGACGTGTTAAACTTTAAACTTCTCGTCGCCTCAATGTCTACAGTCCGCTCAATCTCTACAGTCTGGTCAGGAGATAACATTCTGACACTGGCGTGAGAATCCAACCTCACATCCCTAGTCTGAACCAGCGGGCTGTATTACGTAGTGTTAGGTAATTTTAAACAAAGCGCAGTGGCTTTGTCTGGGAGAAGGACTGGTAACATTTAAATCAATTTGGTTTAAAGTAATATTAGGGTAAAGGGCAGAGTAAATATAATCCTCTCTCTTTGGAACCAGAAGAACTTATTACAAGTACTAACTTCTGGAATCACTGAGATCGTTTCGTGACAGGTCAGGTGTGTCTTTTAGCATGGGCACTAGAACATTCTGTGAGAGGTCAGGTGTGTCTTGTAGCATGAGCACTAGAACATTCTATGGGAGGTCAGGTCTGTCTTTTAGCATGGGCACTAGATCATTCTGTGGGAGGTCAGGTGTGTCTTGTAGCATGGGCACTAGAACATTCTGTGTGAGGTCAGGTGTGTCTTGTAGCATGGGCACTAGAACATTCTATAGGATGTCAGGTCTGTCTTTTAGCATGGGCACTAGAACATTCTGTGTGAGGTCAGGTGTGTCTTGTAGCATGGGCACTAGCACATTCTGTGACAGGTCAGGTGTGTCTTGTAGCATGGGCCCTAGAACATTCTGTGGGAGGTCAGGTGTGTCTTGTAGCATGGGCTCTAGAACATTCTGTGGGAGGTCAGGTGTGTCTTGTAGCATAGGCACTAGCACATTCTGTGTGAGGTCAGGTGTGTCTTGTAGCATGGGCACTAGAACATTCTGTGTGAGGTCAGGTGTGTCTTGTAGCATGGGCACTAGCACATTCTGTGACAGGTCAGGTGTATCTTGTAGCATGGGCCCTAGAACATTCTGTGGGAGGTCAGGTGTGTCTTGTAGCATGGGCTCTAGAACATTCTGTGGGAGGTCAGGTGTGTCTTGTAGCATAGGCACTAGCACATTCTGTGTGAGGTCAGGTGTGTCTTGTAGCATGGGCACTAGAACATTCTGTGTGAGGTCAGGTGTGTCTTGTAGCATGGGCACTAGAACATTCTGTGTGAGGTCAGGTGTGTCTTGTAGCATGGGTGCTAGAACATTCTGTGGGAGGTCAGGTGTGTCTTGTAGCATGGGCACTAGAACATTCTGTGGGAGGTCAGGTGTGCCTTGTAGCATGGGCACTAGAACATTCTGTGTGAGGTCAGGTGTGTCTTGTAGCATGGGCACTAGCACATTCTGTGACAGGTCAGGTGTATCTTGTAGCATGGGCACTAGCACATTCTGTGAGAGGTCAGGTGTGTCTTGTAGCATGGACACTAGAACATTCTGTGGGAGGTCAGGTGTGTCTTGTAGCATGGCCCTAGAACATTCTGTGTGAGGTCAGGTGTGTCTTGTAGCATGGGCACTAGAACATTCTGTGTGAGGTCAGGTGTGTCTTGTAGCATGGGTGCTAGAACATTCTGTGTGAGGTCAGGTGTGTCTTGTAGCATGGGCACTAGAACATTCTGTGTGAGGTCAGGTGTGTCTTGTAGCATGGGTGCTAGAACATTCTGTGTGAGGTCAGGTGTGTCTTGTAGCATGGGTGCTAGAACATTATGTGTGAGGTCAGGTGTGTCTTGTAGCATGGGTACTAGAACATTCTGTGGGAGGTCAGGTGACTGTCATGATGCTGACCAGGTAATCCATGGAGGAAAAACTATAATCCTATCTCAGGGCTATCAATATGCCAGTGTGGCATAGTGACCAGCTGCTACAACAAAGAAAACACACTGATGGACTTACCTCCACATGTCTGACGATGATACCATCCTCCAGAATTCTGGCTGCATTCTTGAGACCCCTGGCAAATGTGTCCATGGCACCTGGGTTGTGACAGAATACAAGGCTACTTGCAGCTAGGTCATATTTTTTATACATGATGTATGAAAGAAGGGAGACTAGAAGGGCAGAAAGTTAGACAAGCCTGTGTACCCAATTCTTAACCCTCTGAAAGTAAAGTTTGTTCGTTTGTTCATACATTAACACATGCGACATGGATGACACTGTCACGTTCACATCAGTCAATGCACCCAGAATAATCTATAGTGTGTGATTGTATGTGTACGTGCATGTGTTAGTGTGGATGTGTACATGCATGTGTCAGTGTGGATGTGTACGTGCATGTGTCAGTGTGGTTGTGTGATTGAATATGTATGTGCATGTGTCAGTGTGGGTGTGTGATTACACATATATGTGCATAAGCACTTTATTTACGAACATCAAGCATGCACATTACTGACTGAATTCTCTGGCAGGTTCACACTGAAGTGATTAGATGCTGAGATAGAACCTTACATACAATGTGTCTGCATGTTGATATGTTATGTGGAAACTGTGGTTTGTGGAACAAATCTGTCATGCCAGTATATATTTTTAGGGCGGGGTACAACACACAGCATCTAGAACCAGAGTATTTAGGACAGCATGGCTGGTGCAGTTGCCACAAACTGTGCAGGTTTATTTGGACTCTAACAGAAAAACTGAGATCCCTTTATTGAGGATTTGAAACTGATTCTCACCGACTTTGTTGGAATGTACAACTTTTTGTTTTTCACTTCTAGGCTAATGAACAAGTTGGTAGGTACTAACTAGGACGTTAACAACTAACCAATGTGAGAGATGAACATGTCCTCTAGGTTTGTTGACTCCCTGCGAACTTTACAGTCAAAGTTGAGACCCCCAGGCTGCAGACCTCCTTGTTTTAGGATCACCTGAGGGTACAAGTTCAAGGTCACATAGGTGACAATTGTCAGGTAACAGACAGTAGATCATATCAGTACAGACAGGAGATAAACAAGGTCAGGTAACAGACAATAGATCATGTCAGTACAGACAGGAGATAAACAAGGTCAGGTAACAGACAATAGATCATATCAGTACAGACAGGAGATAAACAAGGTCAGGTAATAGACAATAGATCATGTCAGTACCGACAGGAGATCAACAAGTGTCAGGTAACAGACAATAGATCATGTCAGTACAGACAGGAGATAAACAATTGTCAGGTAACAGACAATAGATCATATCAGTACAGACAGGAGATAAACAAGGTCAGGTAACAGACAATAGATCATGTCAGTACAGACAGGAGATAAACAAGTGTCAGGTAACAAACAATAGATCATGTCAGTACAGACAGGAGATGAACAAGTGTCAGGTAACAGACAATAGATCATATCAGTACAGACAGGAGATAAACAAGGTCAGGTAACAGACAATAGATCATGTCAGTACAGACAGGAGATAAACAAGGTCAGGTAACAGACAATAGATCATGTCAGTACAGACAGGAGATTAAACAAGTGTCAGGTAACAGACAATAGATCATGTCAGTACAAACAGGAGATAAACAAGTGTCAGGTAACAGACAATAGATCATGTCAGTACAGACAGGAGATAAACAATTGTCAGGTAACAGACAATAGATCATATCAGTACAGACAGGAGATAAACAAGGTCAGGTAACAGACAATAGATCATGTCAGTACAGACAGGAGATAAACAAGGTCAGGTAACAGACAATAGATCATGTCAGTACAGACAGGAGATAAACAAGTGTCAGGTAACAGACAATAGATCATGTCAGTACAGACAGGAGATAAACAATTGTCAGGTAACGGACAATAGATCATGTCAGTACAGACAGGAGATAAACAAGGTCAGGTAACAGACAATAGATCATGTCAGTACAGACAGGAGATAAACAATTGTCAGGTAACAGACAATAGATCATGTCAGTACAGACAGGAGATAAACAAGGTCATGTAACAGACAATAGATCATGTCAGTACAGACAGGAGATGAACAATTGTCAGGTAACAGACAATAGATCATGTTAAATTTAGGAACATTTTATGTTGTATGTACAGATATTTCTGGTATATGTTTAATTTAAGAACAAGAATATGACAGTCCTTTGAGGAGTTGTTAATTGTTTGGTCACTGATTTCACTGATTTCATGTGAGATATGTTCTGTGAGAGCTATGATTGTGTTTTTTTTTGTGTTCTTCCATCAGATGTTATAGATTTGTTTCCATGTGTTATTACAGTGACCATGGTGTTATTACTGTGACCATGGTGTTATTACAGTGAACATGGTGTTATTACAGTGACTGTGGTGTTATTCCAGTGACCATGGTGTTATTACAGTGACCATGGTGTTATTCCAGTGACCATGGTGTTATTACAGTGACCATGGTGTTATTACTGTGACCATGGTGTTATTACGGTGACCATGGTGTTATTACAGTGACTGTGGTGTTATTCCAGTGACCATGGTGTTATTACAGTGACCATGGTGTTATTCCAGGGACCATGGTGTTATTCCAGGGACCATGGTGTTATTCCAGGGACCATGGTGTTATTCCAGGGACCATGGTGTTATACCAGTTACCAAGGTGTTATTCCAATTAACATGGTGTTATTCCAACAATTTTTAGTTAGTACGGCTGTAGTATTCAATAGGAGCTAGCATGGGCACTAGAACATTCTATGGGAGGTCAGGTGTGCCTTGTAGCATGGGCACTAGCACATTCTTTGAGAGGTCAGGTGTGTCTTGTAGCATGGGCACTAGCACATTCTGTGACAGGTCAGGTGTATCTTGTAGCATGGGCCCTAGAACATTCTGTGGGAGATCAGGTGTGTCTTGTAGCATGGGCACTAGAACAATCTATAGGTGGTCAGGTGTGTCTTGTAGCATGGGCACTAGAACATTCTGTGAGAGGTCAGGTGTGTCTTGTAACATGGGCACTAGCACATTCTGTGACAGGTCAGGTGTATCTTGTAGCATGGGCCCTAGAACATTCTGTGGGAGGTCAGGTGTGTCTTGTAGGATGGGCACTAGACATGAGATAAACAAGGTCAGGTAACAGACAATAGATCATGTTAGTACAGACAGGAGATAAACAAGTGTCAGGTAACAGACAATAGATCATGTCAGTACAGACAGGAGATAAACAATTGTCAGGTAACAGACAATAGATCATGTCAGTACAGACAGGAGATAAACAAGGTCAGGTAACAGACAATAGATCATGTCAGTACAGACAGGAGATAAACAATTGTCAGGTAACAGACAATAGATCATGTCAGTACAGACAGGAGATAAACAAGGTCATGTAACAGACAATAGATCATGTCAGTACAGACAGGAGATGAACAATTGTCAGGTAACAGACAATAGATCATATCAGTGCAGACAGGAGATAAACAAGGTCAGGTAACAGACAATAGATCATGTCAGTACAGACAGGAGATAAACAAGGTCATGTAACAGACAATAGATCATATCAGTACAGACAGGAGATAAACAAGGTCAGGTAATAGACAATAGATCATGTCAGTACAGACAGGAGATGAACAAGAAGTCAGGTAACAGACAATAGATCATGACAGTACAGACAGGAGATAAACAATTGTCAGGTAACAGACAATAGATCATGTCAGTACAGACAGGAGACAAACAATTGTCAGGTAACAGACAATAGATCATGTCAGTACAGACAGGAGATAAACAAGTGTCAGGTAACAGACAATAGATCATGTCAGTACAGACAGAAGATAAACAATTGTCAGGTAACAGACAATCGATCATGTCAGGACAGACAGGAGATAAACAAGTGTCAGGTAACAGACAATAGATCATATTAGTACAGACAGGAGATAAACAATTGTCAGGTAACAGACAATAGATCATGTCAGTACAGACAGGAGATAAACAAGTATCAGGTAACAGACAATAGATCATGTCAGTACAGACAGGAGATAAACAAGTGTCAGGTAACAGACAATAGATCATGTCAGTACAGACAGGGGATAAACAATTGTCAGGTAACAGACAATAGATCATATTAGTACAGACAGGAGATAAACAAGTGATTTTTTTATGAAAGACACATAATGTTGTGTTGGGTGTCAGTTTCTGAGGATAGACAGCAAACATGACTCACCTGCATCACCACTGTTGCATTTCTGACATCCATGGGAAACTGGTCCGTGTCCCAGCCCAGATCTGGAGATCCTGTGTTGGCGTCAACAGAGCCCAGCATGTTGTAGCTGAAACAGAAACTCGGTTATCAGTGTGTGTGTGTGCTCCTGGCTCCACACAGGTGATCAACACATGTTATTTTGTTGTTTTCCCCACGTGTAACCTGTATCCTTCAACAATCCAAGTTTCAGCACTGCTTGCAGTGTCCTGGGCTCTGTGCCGTAATGAGCTCTCATGTTTACGTTTGGTCACAAACTACTCAAGAAATCTGGCTACCCACTTCCACTGTGCTTTGCCAAATAATATTATATTTAATAAACAAACAGACAAAGTATTGATGGGCACTCACAGGAGACACTAGACAATTATAACATTGAAAGCTCAAGTTACTGTGCTATGAACTGAACCTGTCACCAATTTATAACATAGTAACTATAGCTTTCAAATTTTATGTTGTCTAGTTTGCCCTTCTATCTTTCAATTTTTTTTTCTATGAATGCCAATCGATACATTGTCTGTTTGTTTATTATATATAATAATTTATATATACACGTGTGTGTGGACTTTCAGAAATTTCCCATGGTCTCTGAGATTGGATGCCCGCATGTACTGTAGCACATGTACAAAAGAATACCTAAGCAGTTGGAAATGAAAAAGAGTATCCTAGGGGTGCTGTCTGGGCAAAATTTTGAGTTAAAAATGTACCCAAAGTATTTTAGGATCCTCGTTAGCGCAACAGAGTTTGTGCACTGCACTGCGATTCTTCAGACTCAGGCTTGAGTTAGAAGTACAACGGAGCACTGATGTTGATCCGTTGAATAAACATAAACTTCATGCGTGAGACAGAGGAGAGCTGAGAAATGGATGAATCCCATGGGAACAGTGAATGTGTGAGGGAAAGTAAATGAATATGTGCATGCTGGGAAAGATAGATGGGTAAGAGAGATTGTAGGTCATTCACCGAGCTGGACTCCAAGCTTACAAACTGACTGTGAGTTTTGTCTCATTCAAGATTCATATCCAGTTTGTATCACAAGTGAGCATAAACTGAGCAAGATGAGTCAACTGTATGCCTGAGGTCAACTGTGTGCCTGGGTCGACTGTGTGCCTGAGGTCGACTGTGTGCCTGGGTCGACTGTGTGCCTGGGTCGACTGTGTGCCTGGGTCGACTGTGTGCCTGGGTCGACTGTGTGCCTGGGTCGACTGTGTGCCTGGGTCGACTGTGTGCCTGGGTCGACTGTGTGCCTGGGTCGACTGTGTGCCTGAGGTCGACTGTGTGCCTGGGTCGACTGTGTGCCTGGGTCGACTGTGTGCCTGGGTCAACTGTGTGCCTGGGTTGACTGTGTGCCTGGGTCGACTGTGTGCCTGGGTCGACTGTGTGCCTGAGGTCGACTGTGTGCCTGGGTCGACTGTGTGCCTGAAGTCGACTTTGTGCCTGAGTCAACTGTGTGCCTGGGTCGACTGTGTGCCTGAGTCGACTGTGTGCCTGAGGTCGACTGTGTGCCTGAGGTCGATTATGTGCCTGAGGTCGACTGTGTGCCCGAAGTCAACTGTGTGCCTGAGGTCAACTGTGTGCCTGAGGTCGATTATGTGCCTGAAGTCGACTGTGTGCCTGAGGTCGATTATGTGCCTGAGGCTGAATCTGCTTCAACAGAATATTGACTATAGTTGCCAGAGTTCTGCTGTCACTGACGAATGAACAAGCATATGGCGATGCCAAAGTGATAGTTATTTAGTGTTATTTCTTAGTAATTACATGACAGAAACAGATATTAGTCGTGGCTTTACGAAATGCGATTAATGAACTGTGAACATTGTGACATGGCTCTTGAATGATCTGTCTGTCTCATCTGGCCTGTTGTTCCTAGATACCAGAAACATTTTGAATTGTTCTTCCTCTGGTCAAGTGACCAGGAAGTGCAGCCTTTAACTTACTGGATCTGTGAGTTGTCTGAATACTGATCACCTGTTTAGGAACCTTGGGGCACTGTAAGCAATATCATGGGAAAAAAATGTGCCGTCTATGGCTGACGGTTGGCAGGTGCAGTGGCTAGCATACATGCCTGGTGGTCATGTTTGTTCACATCTTCTGAGAGGATATTTTTTATTGATCTGGGTTCCCAGACTAAAACTGATACCAGGCAACTGCCCAGAAAGTTAAGGCTGCTGGTGTTATACTGACATCGCCCACTGAATGCTGATTGGTCTAATGTTAGTGACTACATCGCCCACTGAATGCTGATTGGTCTAATGTTAGTGACTACATCGCCCACTGAATGCTGATTGGTCTAATGATACTGACTACATCGCCCACTGAATGCTGATTGGTTTAAAAACATAAGTCTGGCAGGATGTAACCAATATATTTCCAGGCGTGGAAAATGGGTCCTAGATCTTCTCTTGTAAGCGGGTTTCTGTCTGTCAGCTGGTTCTATTCTGCTTTATGTTTTTATTGTTGTTGTTCATTTCTGATATGATCCTCTCATCTCGATTGAATGTCTTCATCTCCTTCCTGGTCTCGACAAAAGCTGTGAAGAAAGAAAAACCAAACGTATGTTGTAAAATGTTCATATAACTTACGCTGATGCCACCACAATATCATGCTCGTACGCGTGGCCAGCCAATGTAGTGTGGTTGGGTTCAATGTTCAACTGAAAAATTTACAAGAGGATAAATTATTGGCCACAGATGCAACATAATCAGAAGATAAATGAATCACCCAGCTAGAAACATCAAGAGTCAACAAGAAAACAATAAAAGTTAATGTTAAACATGATAGATTCACTCTGAGAATGAGAAAACATAAAAGTTAATGTTAAACATGATAGATTCACTCTGAGAATGAGAAAACATAAAAGTTAATGTTAAACATGATAGATTCACTCTGAGAATGAGAAAACATAAAAGTTAATGTTAAACATGATAGATTCACTCTGAGAATGAGAAAACAATAACAGTTAATGTTAAACATGACAGAATCGGCAATAAGGTGTAGACTAGTCACATGACAATGGTTAGAACTGCACGTAGAAATTTAAGAGTACTTTTGTTATATTTTTCTTTTCTACAGTGTCAACGTGCAGTACAATCTTCTTTAGTCTTGTGTCTTCTATACAGATGTGTGGAGGCACAGCTTTCTTTAGTCTTGTGTCTTCTATACAGATGTGTGGAGGCACAGCTTTCTTTAGTCTTGTGTCTTCTATACAGATGTGTGGAGGCACAGCTTTCTTTAGTCTTGTGTCTTCTATACAGATGTGTGGAGGCACAGCTTTCTTTAGTCTTGTGTCTTCTATACAGATGTGTGGAGGCACAGCTTTCTTTAGTCTTGTGTCTTCTATACAGATGTGTGGAGGCACAGCTTTCTTTAGTCTTGTGTCTTCTATACAGATGTGTGGAGGCACAGCTTTCTTTAGTCTTGTGTCTTCTATACAGATGTGTGGAAGCACAGCTTTCTTTAGTCTTGTGTCTTCTATACAGATGTGTGGAGGCACAGCTTTCTTTAGTCTTGTGTCTTCTATACAGATGTGTGGAGGCACAGCTTTCTTTAGTCTTATGTCTTCTATGCCAGACTCAAATGAAACCTTCAAGTCTTTTATTTTGGTAAAAGAGATCAATGTACATGAACCATTGCTATTACCAACAATGCATCACAGGAGCGGTATCATGTGACTAACTTTGATGAACTCTGTGAGAGGTACAGTGCAATAAAGACAATGTGATCTGTATATTTCAGTTTGGGGGGGGGGGGGGGGGGGGGGGGGGGGGGGGGGTGATTTAAACTCAAGAGGGTCAACTTCATTGCACTGAGTTTTATCCCATAAAGCTGGTCTCTGTCTGCAGAACGGCTAACTGCCTGTCGAGAGCTCTGCAGAGAGCACAAACTCTGTGGCTCTGGCGATGATCCCCAGAGATCTCAGTAAAAACTGCACTCGTGAACTAAAGGGCACAGCCGTGGAAACTCTGTAGTGAGGCACCTGACCAGATAAAGAAAACTGGGCCAGGCAGTAAACAGTGAAATGTTTTGTTTGTGCCTGCATTATTTAAATCAGTATGCCCCTGAGAATAAAATTTCTACAGAATCAAATCGCTGACAATAATAATGATATGCAAAAAATACAATCAAACATGTGACAGCAAAACAGAATTTACCTTGACTTCATTCTCCAACCCATAAGTTCTGAGGAAGCCAATGACAGTCATGGCGTCTGTCGAAGACATGCAGGAAAAACATCAGGTCACAAACTTAACACATTCAGCTCAGTGTTCAAGTGACATTTCTCCTGTTCTCTCCACAGTAACAAGTGACATTTCTCCTGTTCTCTCCACAGTAACAAGTGACATTTCTCCTGTTCTCTCCACAGTAACAAGTGACATTTCTCCTGTTCTCTCCACAGTAACAAGTGACATTCCTTCTATTCTCTCCACAGTAACAAGTGACATTTCTCCTGTTCTCTCCACAGTAACAAGTGACATTCCTTCTATTCTCTCCACAGTAACAAGTGACATTTCTCCTGTTCTCTCCACAGTAACAAGTGACATTTCTCCTGTTCTCTCCACAGTAACAAGTGACATTCCTTCTATTCTCTCCACAGTAACAAGTGACATTCCTTCTATTCTCTCCACAGTAACAAGTGACATTTCTCCTGTTCTCTCCACAGTAACAAGTGACATTTCTCCTGTTCTCTCCACAGTAACAAGTGACATTTCTCCTGTTCTCTCCACAGTAACAAGTGACATTCCTTCTATTCTCTCCACAGTAACAAGTGACATTTCTCCTGTTCTCTCCACAGTAACAAGTGACATTTCTCCTGTTCTCTCCACAGTAACAAGTGACATTTCTCCTGTTCTCTCCACAGTAACAAGTGACATTCCTTCTATTCTCTCCACAGTAACAAGTGACATTCCTTCTATTCTCTCCACAGTAACAAGTGACATTTCTCCTGTTCTCTCCACAGTAACAAGTGACATTTCTCCTGTTCTCTCCACAGTAACAAGTGACATTTCTCCTGTTCTCTCCACAGTAACAAGTGACATTTCTCCTGTTCTCTCCACAGTAACAAGTGACATTCCTTCTATTCTCTCCACAGTAACAAGTGACATTTCTCCTGTTCTCTCCACAGTAACAAGTGACATTTCTCTGTTCTCTCCACAGTAACAAGTGACATTTCTCCTGTTCTCTCCACAGTAACAAGTGACATTCCTTCTATTCTCTCCACAGTAACAAGTGACATTCCTTCTATTCTCTCCACAGTAACAAGTGACATTTCTCCTGTTCTCTCCACAGTAACAAGTGACATTTCTCCTGTTCTCTCCACAGTAACAAGTGACATTTCTCCTGTTCTCTCCACAGTAACAAGTGACATTTCTCCTGTTCTCTCCACAGTAACAAGTGACATTCCTTCTATTCTCTCCACAGTAACAAGTGACATTTCTCCTATTCTCTCCACAGTAACAAGTGACATTTCTCCTGTTCTCTCCACAGTAACAAGTGTCATTTCTCCTGTTCACTCCACAGTAACAAGTGACATTTCTCCTGTTCTCTCCACAGTAACAAGTGACATTTCTCCTGTTCTCTCCACAGTAACAAGTGACATTTCTCCTGTTCTCTCCACAGTAACAAGTGACATTCCTTCTGTTCTCTCCACAGTAACAAGTGACATTTCTCCAGTTCTCTCCACAGTAACAAGTGACATTTCTCATGTTCTCTCCACAGTAACAAGTGACATTTCTTCTATTCTCTCCACAGTAACAAGTGACATTCCTTCTGTTCTCTCCACAGTAACAAGTGACATTTCCCCTGTTCTCTCCACAGTAACAAGTGACATTTCTCCTGTTCTCTCCACAGTAACAAGTGACATTTCTCCTGTTCTCTCCACAGTAACAAGTGACATTTCTCCTGTTCTCTCCACAGTAAAAAGTGACATTCCTTCTATTCTCTCCACAGTAACAAATGACATTCCTTCTATTCTCTCCACAGTAACAAGTGACATTCCTTCTATTTTTGACATCACCTACAACCTTTGACATCACCTACAACCTTTGACATCACCTATAACCTTTGACATCACCTATAACTTTTGACATCACCTACAACCTTTGACATCACCTACAACCTTTGACATCACCTACAACCTTTGACATCACCTATAACTTTTGACATCACCTACAACCTTTGACATCACCTACAACCTTTGACATCACCTACATCATTTGACATCACCTTCAACCTTTGACACCACCTACAACCTTTGACATCACCTACATCATTTGACAGCCTAACAAGCACATCATAAGACTCGACTAATTCTGGATGAATCCTTCAAAGTCAGAGGGCATCCAGTGAATGTGAAAACGAAAAAGAAGAAAAAGAAGCAGAAGAAAAAGAAGAAGAAGAAGAAGAAGTAGCAGCAGGAGAAGAAGGAAGAGGAGGAGGAGAAAAAGAAGAAGAGAAGAAGAAGGAGGAGGAAGAGGAGGAGGAGGAATAGGAGGAGAAGAAGATAAACAATAAGAAGAAGAAAATGTAAACTGAGTGGTAGCTGTATGACACACACACACACATGCACACTCATTCACACTGTAGATTTAAAACCGCCAGCATCTAACAACTTTTGTACTTGCCATGTTGGACAGCTTACAAGAAGAAACTTGGCTTCAAAGGAGTGTTCCTCATTGAGCCAAAGCCAATAGAGCTTCTTCTTCTTCTTTTTCTTCTGTGATGCTCAGTAATAAGTGACATTCCTTCTGTTCACTCCACAGTAACAAGTGACATTTCTCCTGTTCTCTCCACAGTAACAAGTGACATTTCTCCTATTCACTCCACAGTAACAAGTGACATTTCTCCTGTTCTCTCCACAGTAATAAGTGACATTTCTCCTGTTCTCTCCACAGTAACAAGTGACATTTCTCCTGTTCTCTCCACAGTAACAAGTGACATTCCTTCTGTTCTCTCCACAGTAACAAGTGACATTCCTTCTGTTCTCTCCACAGTAACAAGTGACATTCCTTCTGTTCTCTCCACAGTAACAAGTGACATTCCTTCTATTCTCTCCACAGTAACAAGTGACATTCCTTCTATTCTCTCCACAGTAACAAATGACATTCCTTCTATTCTCTCCACAGTAACAAGTGACATTCCTTCTATTCTCTCCACAGTAACAAATGACATTCCTTCTATTCTCTCCACAGTAACAAGTGACATTCCTTCTGTTCTCTCCACAGTAAGAAGTGACATTCCTTCTATTCTCTCCACAGTAACAAATGACATTCTTTCTGTTCTCTCCACAGTAACAAGTGACATTCCTTCTATTCTCTCCACAGTAACAAATGACATTCCTTCTATTCTCTCCACAGTAACAAATGACATTCTTTCTGTTCTCTCCACAGTAATATATTACATTTCTCCTGTTCTTTCGACAGAAAAACATTATTTTTTTTTAAATAGATTATGATGTTTTTAAGCAAAAGACATCATTTAGAGAACAAATTATGGAGAGATAAATTATTTATGTTTGTCTTTCCTTGATTTACAAATTGTTAGAAAGGCTCCAGTGAAAATACTCAGATATTTTATTATATTCCCAGGCTATCTGTCCACTTCTGCAAGACCAATCACTCTGCCATGTAATTTGAAAAGGGGATGTAATTTGTTTCTGACCTGTCAGGTTGCTTCAATTTATACACCTGTTTGTCATATTTATTAAATCTATGTTCCTTCTGTCCTTCTGCCTGTCTGTGCAAGTTTTTTTTTACCTCTTGTCTGCTAGGCTCCCTGAGTTTGATAGTCACTTACCAAAGTCTTACACAGACAAGGAACTGATCAAAGTCTTACACTGACAAGGAACTGATCATAGTCTTACACAGACAAAAAACTTACCATAATCATACTGATGTTTTGCTGGCTCTTTTGGCTTTGGCTCAATGAGGAACACTCCTTTGAAGCCAAGTTTCTTTTTGTAAGCTGTCCAACATGGCAAGTACAAAAGTTGTTAGATGCTGGCGGTTATAAATCTACAGTGTGATTGTGTGTATGCATGTGTGTGTGTGTGTGTGCATGTGTGTGTGTGTGTGTGTGTGTGTGTGTGTGTCATACAGCTACCACTCAGTGTACATCTTCTTCTTCTTCTTGTTCATCTTCTTCTCCTCCTACTCCTCCTCTTCCTCCTCCTTCTTCTTCTTCTTCTCTTCTTCTTCTTCTTTTTCTCCTCCTCCTCTTCCTTCTTCTCCTGCTGCTGCTTCTTCTTCTTCTTCTTCTTTTTTTTCTTCTTTTTCTTCTTCTTCCTCTTCACATTCACTGGATGCCCTCTGACTTTGAAGGATTCATCCAGAATTAGTCGAGTCTTATAACATGCTTGTTAGGCTGCAGTGAGTCTGTTCTTGTTTCCAATAATGGGACCCTGGAACCCACACACGGGACCCTGGAACCCACACACGGGACTTAGCTCTTTGAGTCTTAAGGTACGCATTATACGTTCATAGCTTCCTACCTAGAGGCCCAATGAACGCATGATGCGTCAATTTTATGACTTTCTTTACTACCCCCTGGGCCTGTTATGATAAGCCCCCTGGGACTCAAAGAGTTGATGTACATGAAGCAGGACAGATTTCTGATTGTGCTTTATCTTACATTCGTTGTTACATTTTGTAACATGGGTTGTTAGATGAACACAATTTTTCATTGTATGCTGGATTGGCTATCAAAATAATCTCCACGCATGTGTCATTCAGTGCTTATTCCATCTTTTTAGGGATGCACAAATTATTAGTCAAAGATTACTGCTTTAAGAAAATTGCAACACCTGTGAAACTATATTATGAAATCATGTGGATCCATTCATTAGTTTTTAAGATATTTGTTAAAGTGTTAGGGCACAAGTTTGAAACACACTGTAGTTGACTTTTTTCTTTGGTGCATCCCTCCTGCATTATCTGTGCCTATTGTCTCTAAAGCTCTAAAGCTGTGCAACAAATAGTAACTGACTGATGCTTGTAAGAGAGATATGGGGACAGAGAGGGGAGAGAGACAGGGAGAAAGAGAGAGGGAGGGAAGGAGAGAGAAAAGGATGAAGGGAAAGAGTGAGAACAAAGTCATTCATTTTATTAACACCACTCTGTGTGTCTCTGTGTGTGTGTGTGCATGTGTGCATGCATGCGTGCGAGCATGCATGCATGAGTGTGTGCCCACGCACACTTAGTGCCAGGAAGTTACTGAGATAACAGTGTAATCAAATGTTGTAGGTGATGTCAAAGGTTGTAGGTGATGTCAAATGTTGTAGGTGATGTCAAATGTTGTAGGTGATGTCAAAGGTTGTAGGTGATGTCAAAGGTTGTAGGTGATGTCAAATGTTGTAGGTGATGTCAAATGTTGTAGGTGATGTCAAATGTTGTAGGTGATGTCAAATGTTTTAGGTGATGTCAAATGTTGTAGGTGATGTCAAATGTTGTAGGTGATGTCAAAGGTTGTAGGTGATGTCAAAGGTTGTAGGTGATGTCAAAGGTTGTAGTTGATGTCAAAGGTTGTAGGTGATGTCAAATGGTGTAGGTGATGTCAAATGGTGTAGGTGATGTCAAATGTTGTAGGTGATGTCAAAGGTTGTAGGTGATGTCAAATGTTGTTGTAGGTGATGTCAAATGTTGTAGGTGATGTCAAAGGTTGAAGGTGATGTGAAACGTTGTAGGTGATGTCAAATGTTGTAGGTGATGTCAAAGGTTGTAGGTGATGTAAAAATTTGAAGGTGATGTCAAATGTTGTAGGTGATGTCAAATGTTGTAGGTGATGTCAAAAGTTGTAGGTGATGTCAAAGGTTGTAGGTGATGTCAGAGGTTGTAGGTGATGTCAAATGTTGTAGGTAATGTCAAAGGTTGTAGGCAATGTTTGCTAAGGCTTGAACACAGCAAACTCACCAACTGCTAGTCTAAAGAATGTAGCCATGTGGTCGAGCTCAGCTCGGATGTTGGTGTTGAGGATTGAATGGAATCCTTCTCGACCTCCCCAGAACACTGAAAAAATCAGCTGACACTGAAATAGCTTTCATAACACACAAAATTATGTCACAGTTCAACAGAATCTTTTCTTTTTTTGCGCCCTGGGGCATATTGGGCATATAGGGCTAGACCTAAATTTTATAGGCCAATCAGTATTCAGTGGGTGATGTGGTCAACATCTCGCTGGACAGCTTCGCTTGCCAGGTACTCATTTTAAGGTTGGCTCGAACTGGGGGTCAAGGTCATTTTGAAAATGTTCGGCTCCAGGGGGGACCTGAACTCATGACCTACAGATCTGTTGGCGATCCTCTAGCTGCTACACTTTGGTGGCTCACGGCTCAAATATTCAAAGGGAATCGAGACAGTGACTAACTTTGTGGTTTTTACTGCACTCAAGCCAAGACTTATCAGACGTGTACGTGGCTGAAGCCCTCTATTATCTCCCCCTAGAGATCCCGAAGTTACTGGGATTGAAGGGTTCAATGCAACCACTACAAGCTCATGTTAAACTGGGATAGCTCTCCAAATGTTGTCAAATATTAATGTTTCTGCCAGAATATCTCAGTCTATTATAAGAACATTGGAATGTGTCTGTGACGAGGCAGTACATCAAAAACAGTGACACATGCACAGAAGTCAAGAGACATACCAATGCTCAAGACATACCAAGTTACAAGAAATACCAAGTTACCACCAGACATACCTGGCTTTTAGACATACATTACTAGACAAAACACATTACTAGACAGACCACATTACTAGACAAACCACATTACTAGATATACCAAGTTACCGCCGAACATGCTATGTTATCAGACATACCAAGTGACTACCAAGTTACAGGACATACCATGTGACTACCAAGTTATCAGACATACCATGCTACTACCAAGTTACCAGACATACCATGTTACTACCAAGTTACCAGACATACCATGTTACTACCAAGTTACCAGACATACCATGTTACTACCAAGTTACCAGACATACCATGTGACTACCAAGTTACCAGACATACCATGTGACTACCAAGTAACCAGACATACCATGTTACTACCAAGTTACATGACATACCATGTTACTACCAAGTTACCAGACATACCATGTTACTACCAAGTTACCAGACATACCATGTTACTACCAAGTTACCAGACATACCATGTTACTACCAAGTTACCAGACATACCATGTGACTACCAAGTTACCAGACATACCATGTTACTACCAAGTTACCAGACATACTATGTTACTACCAAGTTACCAGTCATACCATGTTACTACCAAGTTACCAGACATACCATGTTACTACCAAGTTACCAGACATACCATGTTACTACCAAGTTACCAGACATACCATGTGACTACCAAGTTACCAGACATACCATGTGACTACCAAGTTACCAGACATACCATGTTACTACCAAGTTACCAGACATACCATGTTACTACCAAGTTACCAGACATACCATGTTACTACCAAGTTACCAGACATACCATGTGACTTCCAAGTTACCAGACATACCATGTTACTACCAAGTTACCAGACATACCATGTTACTACCAAGTTACCAGACATACCATGTTACTACCAAGTTACCAGACATACCATGTTACTACCAAGTTACCAGACATACCATGTTACTACCAAGTTACCAGACATACCATGTTACTACCAAGTTACCAGACATACCATGTTACTACCAAGTTACCAGACATACTATGTTACTACCAAGTTACCAGACATACCATGTTACTACCAAGTTACCAGACATACCATGTTACTACCAAGTTACCAGACATACCATGTTACTACCAAGTTACCAGACAAACCATGTGACTACCAAGTTACCAGACATACCATGTGACTACCAAGTTACCAGACATACCATGTTACTACCAAGTTACCAGACATACCATGTTACTACCAAGTTACCAGACATACCATGTGACTACCAAGTTACCAGACATACCATGTTACTACCAAGTTACCAGACATACCATGTTACTAGGGATAAAAATTAATTGGGCACACAGGCACCTATTACGACCGGCCCTTCCAAACACCCATCTTTCACACAGCAACTGTATTTTATCAATAAAGCTTGTGTGTTTTCACATAACAATATGCATAATGGGTATATCAAGGGGAGAAAAAAAAAATGGATGGTAAATGCATGCACACATGTCCTCTCACTTACACACATACAAGTACATACTTACATACATACATAAATACAACACAACCACTCATACGGATAATACACTCTCATAATTACCCATATACCCACACATATACTCTCATACACAGATACATACAAAGATACATACATATCATACCCACACATTCATATACAGACATGCATATACATACTCATGCATGCACACATGATCATACATTAACAACATTCATATCAAACTTACAAAGGTACACATAATCTTACATCTATCACACATACACATATATACAAACACTCACATATACACACACATACTTGCAATCTTACTCATCCAAACACATATGTGCACCTCATGCATACAAATACATGCACCAACACTCAAGCATACCCATACATAGACCCACCCTTATGCATATACACACATACACAAACACTACCCACTAACACACGCACTAACACACGACACACTCAGACATACCAACATAACTGTGCTACGATGCAGGTTGGTGCTGCCAAAGTAACACACGCACTAACACACCACACACCAACACACCCCACACTTGGACATCCCAACATAACTGTGCTACGATGCAGGTTGGTGCTGCCACAGTAACACACGCACTAACACACCACACACCCCACACTTGGACATCCCAACATAACTGTGCTACGATGCAGGCTGATGCTGACACAATAACATAAGCACATTTAGCCAGGACCATGAAAATTGATTTTGAAAAAAAAAAATAGAAGTTATGACCATTTCAAGAGCAGATCACCCAACCAAGATATGCAAAGAAAACAAACAACTCAAGCAAACTAAAGACTGAGTATCTGGGGAGCATAATATCATCCAGTGGAAGAACTGAAGTGGAGATAGATCACAAATGTAATAAAGCAAATCACTGGACAGATGTCAGCAGCTGGGCAGAACAAACACGTAACAATTGACATCAACAGAGCACTGTTCAATACAGTGGACATTAACAACAAAAATAAAAATAGAAATAACAGAAATAAAATGTTTACAATGAATCCTAAACGTAACTAGAAAAGACGGATCAGGAAACAAGCTGGGACAGAACCAGTACTAAACTACATCAAGAGACAACAGATCAAATGGTTGGGACAGAACCAGTACTAAACTACATCAAGAGACAACAGATCAAATGGTTGGGACAGAACCAGTACTAAACTACATCAAGAGACAACAGATCAAATGGTTGGGACAGAACCAGTACTAAACTACATCAAGAGACAACAGATCAAATGGTTGGGACAGAACCAGTACTAAACTACATCAAGAGACAACAGATCAAATGGTTGGGACAGAACCAGTACTAAACTACATCAAGAGACAACAGATCAAATGGTTGGGACAGAACCAGTACTAAACTACATCAAGAGACAACAGATCAAATGGTTGGGACAGAACCAGTACTAAACTACATCAAGAGACAACAGATCAAATGGTTGGGACAGAACCAGTACTAAACTACATCAAGAGACAACAGATCAAATGGTTGGGACAGAACCAGTACTAAACTACATCAAGAGACAACAGATCAAATGGTTGGGACAGAACCAGTACTAAACTACATCAAGAGACAACAGATCAAATGGTTGGGACAGAACCAGTACTAAACTACATCAAGAGACAACAGATCAAATGGTTGGGACAGAACCAGTACTAAACTACATCAAGAGACAACAGATCAAATGGTTGGGACAGAACCAATACTAAACTACATCAAGAGACAACAGATCAAATGGTTGGGACAGAACCAGTACTAAACTACATCAAGAGACAACAGATCAAATGGTTGGGACAGAACCAGTACTAAACTACATCAAGAGACAACAGATCAAATGGTTGGGACAGAACCAGTACTAAACTACATCAAGAGACAACAGATCAAATGGTTGGGACAGAACCAGTACTAAACTACATCAAGAGACAACAGATCAAATGGTTGGGACAGAACCAGTACTAAACTACATCAAGAGACAACAGATCAAATGGTTGGGACAGAACCAGTACTAAACTACATCAAGAGACAACAGATCAAATGGTTGGGACAGAACCAGTACTAAACTACATCAAGAGACAACAGATCAAATGGTTGGGACAGAACCAGTACTAAACTACATCAAGAGACAACAGATCAAATGGTTGGGACAGAACCAGTACTAAACTACATCAAGAGACAACAGATCAAATGGTTGGGACATGTACCAAGACTACCACTAGATAGTGTACCATGGACAGCTCTGCCACTTAAACACAAGAGAAACAGACTAGAGGTCGACTGTACAAGTGATGGATAGATGGAATATTTGAGGTTGAGAATACTAGCATCTGTGCATTAATCCAGTGAAGTGTGACTAAAAAGCTTAACGAAATGGGAAAGTAGGAAAAAATGCACAAAACAACACAAATCGATGTTTCGGCCAGGGGCCTTGCTGCATCTATGCAGCATATACCAAAGTGTGTACCAGGTGCCTTTCTGCATCTATGCAGCACACACCAAAGCGGGTACCAGGTCCCTTTCTGCATCTATACAGCATATACCAAAGTGTGTACCAGGTGCCTTTCTGCATCTATACAGCATATACCAAAGTGTGTGCCAGGTGCCTTTCTGCATCTATACAGCATATACCAAAGTGTGTACCAGGGGCCTTTCTGCATCTATGCAGCATATACCAAAGTGTGTACCAGGGGCCTTTCTGCACCTATACAGCATATACCAAAGTGTGTACCAGGGGCCTTTCTGCATCTATGCAGCATATACCAAAGTGTGTACCAGGTGCCTTTCTGCATCTATACAGCATATACCAAAGTGTGTACCAGGGGCCTTTCTGCATCTAGCAGCATATACCAAAGTGTGTACCGGGGGCCTTTCTGCATCTATGCAGCATATACCAAAGTGTGTACCAGGTGCCTTTCTGCATCTATACAGCATATACCAAAGTGTGTACCAGGTGCCTTTCTGCATCTATACAGCACATACCAAAGTGTGTACCAGGTGCCTTTCTGCATCTATGCAGCACACACCAAAGCGGGTACCAGGTCCCTTTCTGCATCTATACAGCATATACCAAAGTGTGTACCAGGTGCCTTTCTGCATCTATACAGCATATACCAAAGTGTGTACCAGGTGCCTTTCTGCATCTATACAGCATATACCAAAGTGTGTACCAGGGGCCTTTCTGCATCTATGCAGCATATACCAAAGTGTGTACCAGGGGCCTTTCTGCACCTATACAGCATATACCAAAGTGTGTACCAGGGGCCTTTCTGCATCTATGCAGCATATACCAAAGTGTGTACCAGGTGCCTTTCTGCATCTATACAGCATATACCAAAGTGTGTACCAGGGGCCTTTCTGCATCTAGCAGCATATACCAAAGTGTGTACCAGGGGCCTTTCTGCATCTATGCAGCATATACCAAAGTGTGTACCAGGTGCCTTTCTGCATCTATACAGCATATACCAAAGTGTATACCAGGTGCCTTTCTGCATCTATACAGCACATACCAAAGTGTGTACCAGGTGCCTTTCTGCATCTATACAGCATATACCAAAGTGTGTACCAGGTGCCTTTCTGCATCTATGCAGCATATACCAAAGTGTGTACCAGGTGCCTTTCTGCATCTAGCAGCATATACCAAAGTGTGTACCAGGGGCCTTTCTGCATCTATACAGCACATACCAAAGTGTGTACCAGGTGCCTTTCTGCATCTATACAGCATATACCAAAGTGTGTACCAGGTGCCTTTCTGCATCTATACAGCATATACCAAAGTGTGTACCAGGTGCCTTTCTGCATCTATACAGCATATACCAAAGTGTGTACCAGGTGCCTTTCTGCATCTATACAGCATATATCAAAGTGTGTACCAGGGGCCTTTCTGCATCTATACAGCATATACCAAAGTGTGTACCAGGTGCCTTTCTGCATCTATACAGCATATACCAAAGTGTGTACCAGGTGCCTTTCTGCATCTATGCAGCATATACCAAAGTGTGTACCAGGTGCCTTTCTGCATCTAGCAGCATATACCAAAGTGTGTACCAGGGGCCTTTCTGCATCTATACAGCACATACCAAAGTGTGTACCAGGTGCCTTTTTGCATCTATACAGCATATACCAAAGTGTGTACCAGGTGCCTTTCTGCATCTATACAGCATATACGAAAGTGTGTACCAGGTGCCTTTCTGCATCTATACAGCATATACCAAAGTGTGTACCAGGGGCCTTTCTGCATCTATACAGCATATATCAAAGTGTGTACCAGGGGCCTTTCTGCATCTATACAGCATATACCAAAGTGTGTACCAGGTGCCTTTCTGCATCTATACAGCATATACCAAAGTGTGTACCAGGGGCCTTTCTGCATCTATACAGCATATACCAAAGTGTGTACCAGGGGCCTTTCTGCATCTATACAGCATATACCAAAGTGTGTACCAGGGGCCTTTCTGCATCTATACAGCATATACCAAAGTGTGTACCAGGGGCCTTTCTGCATCTATGCAGCATATACCAAAGTGTGTACCAGGGGCCTTTCTGCATCTATACAGCATATACCAAAGTGTGTACCAGGTGCCTTTCTGCATCTATACAGCATATACCAAAGTGTGTACCAGGGGCCTTTCTGCATCTATACAGCATATACCAAAGTGTGTACCAGGGGCCTTTCTGCATCTATACAGCATATACCAAAGTGTGTACCAGGTGCCTTTCTGCATCTATGCAGCATATACCAAAGTGTGTACCAGGGGCCTTTCTGCATCTATGCAGCATATACCAAAGTGTGTACCAGGGGCCTTTCTGCATCTATGCAGCATATACCAAAGTGTGTACCAGGTGCCTTTCTGCATCTATGCAGCATATACCAAAGTGTGTACCAGGTCCCTTTCTGCATCTATACAGCATATAAAAAAGCGGGTACCAGGGGCCTTTCTGCATCTAGCAGCATATACGAAAGTGTGTACCAGGGGCCTCGTCAAACTCTGATGCTGAATGGCAGAACAGGACTTGAAAAGAAGGAGATTTTGTGAAGAGTCTGTCTTCATAAAAACATGTCTGTATGTATTTGTTTAACTGAAATGGAACATTTGAACTGATAAAATAGAACATTTGAATTTATGAAACATAAAATGTCAGTGAACTTAAGAAATGGAACATGACTGGGAACGTATGAAACAGAACATGTCAGGGAACCTCATCAACAATCACCCACCAAAGTTTTCTGCTCCAAGTCTTTGAGCCACCTCCAGTCCCTTCTTCACCTGGGCTCCAGCGTAAGCAAACACCTGGGCGTCCGGGTTGGTGCTGGCTCCATTCATGTACCTGGCAATTTTTACATCAAATTGCTGTAGCCATTCAGGCAATTACTTTTCTAACATCACTTCTCTTGTTCATTAGCTCCATTCAACAGACAACTGTCGTTAACAACCAAGCAACATTACAATAACCCACACAAAAAAGTTCACCAAATGACACAAACACACAAAAAGTGACCACAACAGATGATGGTGTAGGAATGCTCAAAGTATCTGGTCACATTTGTCCAAAATAATTATTACTTTTTTGCTTCTTTAGGAACCTAATGAAACAGTTATGATGATGATGGTTGTGGTGGTGGTGATGGTTGTGGTGGTGCAGTTTTGCAGCCACAGATTACCAGCAGAGAACTGCTAAAGTGGGTTTACCAAGATTTACCCCCACCCTTTTCCTATGATAAGAGGTCAATGCTGATGCTGGATATATTGTAGTATCTCTCCATCGAGACCTTGATACCATCAATAGAATGTCAGTGCACTGACCCCAGAGAGAAGACAGAAGAGAGACAAGAGAAGGACAACTTGGCAGGAACATCATGAGTGAAATTGTGCAAGAAACAGCTGTAAATAAAAACCTGGCTAACAATGATAATGGGTTAAAGTTAGCTGTGTAATCCTAGACAGGACCTCACAATCCAAACCCAGCATTTATTGGCTGTTTTTAGTTTTTCTTGGCATTTTTCCCTTCAGTAGTTTGCCATTGCCTCTAATGGTGGACATTCATACTTTTGTCAAAATCAGTACAACGTAATCAATACAATGAGTACCAGAGCATAAATAACAGTAGACATATGGCCAAGATGCTGAGAAAGAAATTAAAAATGTGTAAACAACACGGAAGACATGGCTAAGCTATAACCAACAAACAAACAACACTGAAGACATGGCTAAGCTTTAACCAACAAACAAACAACATTAAAGACATGGCTAGGCTATAACCAACAAACAAAAAACATTAAAGACATGGCTAAGATATAACCAACAAACAAACAACATTAAAGACATGGCTAAGATATAACCAACAAACAAACAACATTAAAGACATGGCTAAGATATAACCAACAAACAAACAACACTGAAGACATGGCTAAGATATAACCAACAAACAAACAACACTGAAGACATGGCTAAGCTATAACCAACAAACAAACAACACTGACGACATGGCTAAGATATAACCAACAAACAAACAACACTGAAGACATGGCTAAGCTATAACCAACAAACAAACAACACTGAAGACATGGCTAAGCTATAACCAACAAACAAACAACACTTAAGACATCCCTATGCCATAACCAACAACAACAAAAAACACTTAAGATAGGGCTAACCTGGGATGAGAAAACAAATTACAAGTTGCCCACAGCAGTTTGACTCCAGTCTTTTTCTGCAGCTGTTCAGCCAGATCCACAATCTCATCCAGGTTTTTGTTGGACTCTGAGAGAGTACCTCCCTCGGGTGCAATGTCCCTGGTGTCCGTAAACAATCATATCAATATAAGCACTGTCGGCAATTCTTTGATTCAAACAATCATATCAATATAAGCACTGTCGGCAATTCTTTGATTCAAACAATCATGTCAATATAAGCACTGTCGGCAATTCTTTGATTCAAACAATCATATTCATATAAGCACTGTTGGCAATTCTTTGATTCAAACAATCATATCCATATAAGCACTGTCGGCAATTCTTTGATTCAAACAATCATGTCAATATAAGCACTGTCGGCAATTCTTTGATTCAAACAATCATATCAATATAAGCACTGTCGGCAATTCTTTGATTCAAACAATCATGTCAATATAAGCACTGTCGGCAATTCTTTGATTCAAACAATCATATTCATATAAGCACTGTCGGCAATTCTTTGATTCAAACAATCATATCCATATAAGCACTGTCGGCAATTCTTTGATTCAAACAAGCATGACAAGATAAATATTGTCAGGAATTCTTTGCTTTAAACAAACATGACAAGATAAATATTGTCAGGAATTCTTTGCTTTAAACAAACTGGACAAGATAAATATTGTCAGGAATTCTTTTCTTTAAACAAACTGGACAAGATAAATATTGTCAGGAATTCTTTTCTTTAAACAAACATGACAAGATAAATATTGTCAGGAATTCTTTTCTTTAAACAAACATGACAAGATAAATATTGTCAGGAATTCTTTTCTTTAAACAAACATGACAAGATAAATATTGTCAGGAATTCTTTTCTTTAAACAAACTGGACAAGATAAATATTGTCAGGAATTCTTTTCCTTAAACAAACTGGACAAGATAAATATTGTCAGGAATTCTTTTCTTTAAACAAACATGACAAGATAAATATTGTCAGGAATTTTTCTCTTTAAACACACATGTCAAAAAAATATTCCCAGGAATTCTTTCTTTCAAACAAACACGCCAATATAAAAATTGCCCGTTGTTCTTTCATTCAAACAAACACATCAATTGAAATATTCCCAGGAATTCTTTCTTTCAAACAAACACGCCAATTTAAAAATTGCCAGTTTTTCTTTCATTCAAACAAATATGACATCACTGTTCAAGAGGAGTGAAAAAGTTTGCACAGACAAGGAAACCAAAAGCTGAGATGTTCTTGTTGGTTTAAAGTTAAACATATCAGCTATGGAAAACATATTGAATATGTCGGGGGAGGGGTGGGGGAGGGGGGACAAAGACAAAATAGAGTTGTAACTACCGATCATGGAAGGTCCAGTACTTGACTCCAAGTTTGGTGAAGAATTCAAATGAGGCCCGCAGACGTCTGCGGGCATTCTCCAAACTGTTGCTGCCATCATCCCATGGCCTGATCAGAGTCGGGAAACCAAATGGATCAGCACCTGTTCCGAAAATAGAAGTGATACAGAAAAATAAGAGACTGGCCTCATCAGATACACAATGTTTCTGAAACAATACTACCAAACATCCTGTATCTGTAACTGGTAACATTTACTGGGACACTGATTTGTTACACGGAACACTCTGACTAGTAATGTTTCAGGGGACATTCCAGCTTGTAACATTTCAGTGACAATGTGAGTTGTAACATTCCATGGGACACTTTAACATCTAACATTTCAAGTAACACTCCGACTAATAACAATGACTATAACAAGATCAAGGTCAAGATACGGAACATTATAACCACTTTCTCCTGGGAATAATCAGTAGAGGCACCGTAGAATGGCTGCTGCAACAGAGGACTGAATGTCGAGTGTGCACCGATGTCGACTGTGACAACCTAACATAACACTGACTGAGAAATCCTTGGTTTAGTGTGTATATGTGAGTGTAACTGTTTGTATGTGAGTGAAAACATCTGTCTGTGTAAGTCTGTACTTGTGAGTCTGCTATGTTTGCAACATGTATGTTTAATTATGAGAAAAATTGAAGCCTAAGGTATCCTTAAAGCTCAGGGTATATGAGGACAGAATAAAGACAGTATCTTTATATATAAGGGTAGAAAAGGACAGTCTAGGCTCAGCTGTAAGGTATTTAAATGACATCTGAAAGCGAGACCAGTACACAAGAAAACGACATTACATGTGAATCTACAGACCCGTTCCCCAGAATGTTCTACAGTCAACGTGACACGTTAATCTACAGACGTGTTCCCCCAGAATGTTCTAAAGTAATTGTGACACGTGAATCTACAAATCTGTTTCCAAGAATATTCTAAAGTAAACTAAAAAAGTGAATCTATAAACCTATTCTCTAGAATGTTCTAAAGGAAGCGTGACACGTAAATCTACAGACCTAATCCCCGGAATGTTCTACAGTAAATTGCACATGTAAATCTACAGACCTGTTGCCCGGAATGTTCTAAAGTAAACGTGACATGCGAATCTGATGGCCTGTTTCCTAGAATGTTCTACAGTAAATGTGACATGCGAATCTACAGGCCTGTTCCCTAGAATGTTCTACAGTAAACGTGACATGTGAATCTACAGACCCTGTTCCCCGTAATTTTCTACAGTAAAAATTACATGCGAATCTACAGACCTGTTCCCTGTAATGTTCTACAGTAAACATCACATGTGAATCTACAGACCTGTTCCCCAGAATGTTCTAAAGTAAACGTGACATGTAAATCTACAGACCTGTTCCCCGGAATGTTCTACAGTAAACATGACATTTGAATCTACAGACCTGTTCCCTGGAAGGTTCTACAGTAAACGTGACATGTTAATCTACAGACTTAATCCCCAGAAGGTTCTACAGTAAACGTGACATGTGAATCTACAGACCTGTTCCCTGGAAGGTTCTACAATAAACGTGACATGTTAATCTACAGACCTGTTCCCCGGAAGGTTCTACAGTAAACGTGACATGTTAATCTACAGACCTGTTCCCCGGAATGTGTGCCAGAAACAAACAGAGAATCGAAGCCACTCCTCCATGGTTCTTCCCAGCACCACCTGCAATGTAGGTCAGTAGTCAGAGAGCAGTTACTGGACATACACACACACAGACATACAGACTGACAGCCACACACACGGACATACATACAGAAAAGACATTTGTACACACAGACAAACATACAGAACAGACATATGTACACACAGATATACATACAGAACAGACATATGTACAGAGAGAAATACAGGCATGCATACACATAGACAAGCATATAGACATACATTCGTACAGACTTTCACAGTGAGACTGAAGATCGAGTGCCAGATTTCTTGGCGGTTCCCTAGGCTGTCCTATGTTCTAGGGGTGCTCTTTTTAAATGTTTTAGGCACATGCACTACCAACAACAATCGTGCCTTTGGTGCTTCTCCCCTGCAGTAATTCTTTCTTGCACACAACAACAACACATTCAAGAAACAACAGTCCTTCAGAAAAATGGGAGTCACAAAAAGAAAATAGCACATGTTCGTCTGGGACAGTGTGTAAACCGCGTCAAACGAACCCAAGCCACTTTTTGGCATGCTGTGTATAGACGGCAAAAGAAGACATCTCAAAACACTCCTAGAACATAGAGCAGCCTATAGGAACTGCCACGAAATAACGCAGCCAAATTAGATGGGGTGACTTTTGTAAGTAGTACCTGTAGCAGCGACTAGCACCGAGCACTAAAGCCAAAAGGAGATCTGGTCACTGAGCTAGAAGAAGCCAAGAATTTGTTAGACAGATTCTGTCTCCAGCTCAGTGGAGCTCTGTTTAACTATCATCACTGCATCTCACATATGTCGGGGGTGGAAGAGGGGGGGGGGGGGCTAATCTTCCCCACAACAAACCCACCAGCATAAAATCACTAGTTTGATCTCTCTAATGTTGGCTGGATCTGTCAAATATTGCCGGGATCTGTCTAATGTTGGCTAGATCTGTCTAATTTTAAATCTGTCTAATGTTGGCTAGATCTGCTTAATGCTGGCTGGATCTATCTAAAGTTGGCTGGATTCCCCAATGTTGGCTGCAACTCCCTAATGTTTGCTGGCTCTCCCTAATGTTGGCTGCAACTCCCTAATGTTTGCTAATGTTGACTGCAACTCCCGAATGTTGGCTGAAACTCCCTAATGTTGACTGCAACTCCCTAATGTTGGCTGGCTCTATCTAATGTTGGGTTGGATTTCCCTAATGCTGGCAACTCTCCGCAGCTTGATGAACGAATCTGTTAGAATGACAGCCTGTGGGTAGTTCAGCAGGGATATAAGCAAACTCTACTGCTACAGCTGCGACTCCCATCCATTGTCAATTTTAATTAGGGCTCTAGTGAAAATATTGCTGTTCCACCTCACCAACTCTGGCAAGTGAGCGAGCCGAACCTAGAACATACACAACAGATGGAATGTCTGTCTATCTGACCACATCCTCTTCATGGTAGTTGTGAAATGACGAACGGTGCCCTGATGGAGCAGTAATGTTCCACATAAGACACTTAGTGTTTCTGATCCTTTCTCACGTAGGTCTACTTCACTTTGACCCTGTAACCCCCTGTAGTCCTGTGCAGGGGCCCATGAATCAAGGTACTGAGGCCCCATTTAGACCTCCCCAAAACCTTAGTGGGTTGGAGGGGACTGTTCCTTCCCTAACCATATATCTTCGTCTTTTTCTTCTTTAGAATTTCGTGCCCTTGAGGTTCATTGATGCAGATATCACCCGCCTCCATTTATCTCTCTGTTTGGCCTTCTCTTTCCAGTTGGTGACATCAAGTGTTTGTAGGTCTGCCTGGATATTATCTCTCCATCGTCTTCTTGGTTTGCCTCATGGTCTACGACCATTCATCTCCCTTGTGTATACAGTTTTTACCTCACTGTCATCTGAAATCCGCTTCTTGAACATTCCAGTTTCGATCTACGTTTAAATTCATCCGAAATCGCGGCTTAAAAATCTACAATGTGATTAAAGAACTAGGCTTACGTGGTAATGAACGCAAACGGACACTTAAACAGCTAGGCAAGGTTGCTAAGAGGGCCTCGAGCTGGCTCTGGACACAACGAAACAACGTAGGGAACGGGCCTCGGTGAGCTGGTCCGGGTGTCTAGCGGAAAAGAATTTCTCATCCCTTAAAAGTCCATCGTGTCCGAATTGTCTGCCAGTGTCCCTCTGCCACCTGCTAACAAAGTCCAACATGTGTCCGGTATACCAATCGTAAGCTTGCCACTCGGTTGTCCAGGTGTGCAGACTGCTTTAATTATGCTACCGCAACGACTTCTTATCTCATAGTACCTTCTGGAAAATCACCAATTCGTCTTGTCCATGTCCGAATAATATCCGGTAATTCGTGCAGCAGGAGAAACCAACCCTGAGCCTCATAAACTCAGGTGGGCCCACTTTCTGAAAATGTCTAGGAGCTCGTGGGCCGAAACATTTGTCGACGAGAGGTTACTTCCACTGATGATTGGTAGACCCCTGCTGTACATGCTCCCCTGTGGAGTTTCTTCTTACTCTATTTCGTGACGAAATAAAGTTTTACGAAGGTGGGAGTGTCCCCCTCACGCTTCAAATCGCCCTACATAGAGAAACCTTGCACAGTCCCATCACACTCACACACGTACACAGAGAGAGAACCACTGCACGGTACCATCTCTCTCTCTCTCTCACACACACACACACACACACACACACACAGATAGAGAACGAGAGAGAGAGAGAGAGAGAGAGAGAGAGAAAGAGAGAACAAACGCACGGTACCAGCACACATACAGAACCCTTGAACTATCCCAGCGACACCTCTGGCGACACACTTCAGCTCAACCCGAAACACTTCAGCTCAACCCGAAACACTTCAGCTCAACCCGACACACTTCAGCTCAACCCGACACACTTCAGCTCAACCCGAAACACTTCAGCTCAACCCGACACACTTCAGCTCAACCCGAAACACTTCAGCTCAACCCGACACACTTCAGCTCAACCCGAAACACTTCAGCTCAACCCGACACACTTCAGCTCAACCCGACACACTTCAGCTTAACCCGAAACACTTCAGCTCAACCTGACACACCTCAGCTCAACCCGAAACACTTCAGCTCAACCCGACACACTTCAGCTCAACCCGACACACTTCAGCTCAACCCGACACACTTCAGCTCAACCCGACACACTTTAGCTCAACCCGAAACACTTCAGCTCAACCCGAAACACTTCAGCTCAACCCGAAACACTTCAGCTCAACCCGACACACTTCAGCTCAACCCGACACACTTCAGCTCAACCCGACACACTTCAGCTCAACCCGACACACTTCAGCTCAACCCGAAACACTTCAGCTCAACCCGAAACACTTCAGCTCAACCCGAAATACTTCAGCTCAACCCGACACACTTCAGCTCAACCCGACACACTTCAGCTCAACCCGACACACTTCAGCTCAACCCGAAACACTTCAGCTCAACCCGAAACACTTCAACTCAACCACGATAAACACTAATGTTTAAAATAAGGATAGATACAAGACAGGTTATTGTATGGCAGACAGGCAGGTTGTTGCATGGCAGACAGGCTGGTTGTTGCATGGCAGACAGGCAGGTTGTTGCATGGCAGACAGGCAGGTTGTTGTATGACAGACTGGCAGGTTGTTGCATGGCAGACAGGCTGGTTGTTGCATGGCAGACGGGCAGGTTGTTGCATGGCAGACAGGCAGGTTGTTGTATGACAGACAGGCAGGTTGTTGCATGGCAGACAGGCTGGTTGTTGTATGGTAGACAGGCAGGTTGTTGCATGGTAGACAGGCAGGTTGTTACATGGTAGACAGGCAGGTTGTTGCATGGCAGACAGACAGGTTGTTGCATGGCAGACAGGCAGGTTGTTGCATGGCAGACAGGCTGGTTGTTGCATGGCAGACAGGCAGGTTGTTGCATGGCAGACAGGCAGGTTGTTGTATGACAGACTGGCAGGTTGTTGCATGGCAGACAGGCTGGTTGTTGCATGGCAGACGGGCAGGTTGTTGCATGGCAGACAGGCAGGTTGTTGTATGACAGACAGGCAGGTTGTTGCATGGCAGACAGGCTGGTTGTTGTATGGTAGACAGGCAGGTTGTTGCATGGTAGACAGGCAGGTTGTTACATGGTAGACAGGCAGGTTGTTGCATGGCAGACAGACAGGTTGTTGCATGGCAGACAGGCAGGTTGTTGCATGGCAGACAGGCTGGTTGTTACATGGCAGACAGGCAGGTTGTTGCATGGCAGACAGGCAGGTTGTTGCATGACAGACAGGCTGGTTGTTACATGGCAGACAGGCAGGTTGTTGCATGGCAGACAGGCAGGTTGTTACATGGCAGATAGACAGGTTGTTGCATGGCAGACAGGCAGGTTGTTACATGGCAGACAGGCAGGTTGTTACATGTCAGATAGACAGGTTGTTACATGGCAGACAGGCAGGTTGTTACATGGCAGACAGACAGGTTGTTGCATGGCAGACAGGCTGGTTGTTACATGGCAGATAGACAGGTTGTTACATGGCAGACAGGCAGGTTGTTGCATGGCAGACAGGCAGGTTGTTGCATGGCAGACAGGCAGGTTGTTACATGGCAGACAGACAGGTTGTTGCATGGTAGACAGGCAGGTTGTTACATGGCAGACAGGCAGGTTGTTGTATGGCAGTAAGGCAGGTTGTTACATGGCAGACAGGCAGGTTGTTACATGGCAGATAGACAGGTTGTTACATGGCAGACAGGCAGGTTGTTACAAGGCAGACAGGCAGGTTGTTACATGGCAGACAGGCATGTTGTTACATGGCAGACAGGCAGATTGTTGCATGGCAGACGGATTGTTGCCTGCCAGACAGGCAGGATGTTGTGTGGCCAGGAATCGTCTGTTAACAGCCGTGCATGTCTATAAACCCAGCTGTCCAAGCCTGTATTGCTCGGGGCGTCCCTGTGCAGACTTCTGCTGTGTGCTATCAGCCCGCCCCAGGCAGCAGTTCCCTTTCTCACAACCCTGCCATTATCTGCCGGGGTCACGGCAGAGTTCAGTTGTCCGCGAGACAGGACCAAGTGGTTCTACGGAACCGACATTTGAATTAAACAGTAAAAATGTTAGGTAACTTGACAGTGATGCCAGACATACAAGTACAGAAGATGGTGCGTCCTCGTCTGGTGGCGTAGGTAAACATCAGCTGGGAAATATAACTGCCTAATCAAACCGACTAACTTGATTGGCTAACGGTTTCTCCTTTCCGAGCTGTTACCTAGAGGTTGAAACAATACAAGCTAAAAGCTAGTGCAACAGAACAAGTTGCAGATACCGCGTTCAACCACCTCATAAGTTATAAATATGGTTTCCCCGTGTGAGTTCCGGGGCCCATTCAGGAAAAACAAGAATGCACCTAACGCCACCCTAGTAAGCATGTCGTACAAGGCCATTAATTGGGAGAGTTTCCTTCGAAGTCAGAGTGCATTTGCTTGAAAGGCGAAGAGCCACATGTCTGCAGACAAATAAGCCAGATCTGCAAAAGACTCATCATCATCATCAGGTGGCAGGTCGTTTGCAGAAAGTCGCTCTCATCACAGTCTGCCTGAAAGAAACTCGGTCTCTCGCCAGTTCTCCCGCCTCATGTACTTTCACACTCAAGGAGTCACTTATATCCTGTGCCCATCTTCGTGTCGGTCGGCCCCTGCTCCTCCTTCCTGGTACCATGCCTTGTGCTATAATTTTTTTCAATCCGTCGTGGCGCTTGATATGACCAAAATATTTCAGCTTTCGAGAAAGGGTGCTGTTTATTAGCCAATTTTCCTTGATCTTTTAAGATGTCAATATTTCTCATCTTCTTTGTCCAAGATATTCTGAGAAAAATCTTTCTATAGCATTTCAGCTCAAAAGCCCCTATTATCTTTCTTAAGGACTGAGAGATAGTCCACGACTCACATCTAGCTTAACGTTCCCTTGAAACTTACCCCCCCCCCCACACACACACACACACACACACGCTTACACACACAGTTGGAGGCCGCTGGACCAGGAGATCATCTGTCATCCTAAAACCACAGAATCCGCCATCTTGTTCTAGTTTGTAAACATCCACAATGGACATGGCCAATGGAAGTTAATCCGTACCGGTCCTGTCTGCTCCAGTATATCTCTCTGTCTGTCTGTCTCTCTCTCTCTCTCTCTCTCTCTCTCTCTCTCTCTCTCTCTCTCTCTCATTGCCATCTCTCTCTCACTCTCTCTTTCTCTCTATCTCTCTCTCTTGTGCCATCTATATCTTTTGCTCTTTCTCTCTCTTGATATCTATATCTCTTGCTATCTCACTCTCTTTCTCTCTTAATCTCTCTCCCTTGCTGTCTCTCTCACTCTTGCTATCTGTCTTTTGCTATCTCTCTTGCTATCTCTCTTTTGATATCTCTCTCTCTCTCTCTATTTTGCTATCTCTCTCTTGCCATCTCTCTTTTGCTCTCTCTCTCTCTCTCTCTCTCTCTCTCTCTCTCTCTCTCTCTCTCTCTCTCTCTTTTGCTATCTCTCTTTTCCTATCTTTCTCTTTTGCTATGACTCTCTTGCTATCTTTCTCTTTTGCTATGTCTCTCTTTTGCTATCTCTCTCGTGCTATATCTTTTTTGCTATCTCTCTCTATCTTACTCTTAGCAACAGTGAGGGAAATAGAGAACGTGAGAGTGAGAGCAAAGACAAACAACAAACGTAGAATAAAGCGAGCCAGTCATGGTGCTACCCACCTGTGAAGCGTTGTAATGTTTGTAGACCAGCGACTCGGTGGGGCCGGCGTCTGGCTTGTATGGGATCCTGGAGATACCTGGACATAAACACCACACCAGCTATTGATACGTGGTCATACCTGGACATAAACACCACACCAGCTATTGATACGTGGACATGCCTGGACATAAACAGCACACCAGCTATTGATACGTGGTCATACCTGGACATAAACACCGCACCAGCTATTGATACGTGGACATGCCTGGACATAAACACCACACCAGCTATTGATACGTGGACATTACTGGACATAAACACCCCACCAGCTATTGATACGTGGACATACATGGACATTAACACCACACCAGCTATTGATACGTGGACATACCTGAACTCACACTATAAATGTGTAGCTGGGGTAAGGGGATGGGTAGTATTGATCGTGGTGGCGCTAGATTTCATTACAAAACATTAAAGGAAATCGTTTGGCCAGTTAATGCAACTGCCAACAGGCAATAAACGAATAACCAACAATGATTGAACAGACCAGGTGGAAACCCGAAAGAAAGGCCAAACATTACATAGATGCATGGGGGGAAATAACAGAGACCGGGTGACGAACTTCTTGTGGTCCGGGTTCACGCCAGATTCTCCAAGATTTACAGTTTCTATCATGGAATCATGGCCGAAGGGTTGCAATATTCACAGTACCGAGCCAAAGGCTAAAACAAAGGCTCTAGGAATCCACGTTTACGAAGAACACACACGGGTGCTCTTCGGCAGTGGAAACTTCATCACAAGGTACAGGACGACTACAGTGGGATGAGATGATGCCTACTGGGTAGATGCTGCTGCTCTGGTCTTGTGTGGACTAGCCAGAACTCTGTGAGTGATGAGGTCACTCGCTACTCCGTGGGCATGTCCTGGAGAATGAAACTGTTCACGACCGACCGGAGATAAGCTGATAATGGTGCTGATAATATAGGTAGGCAGCCTACGCCGAGGGATGTAAGGACAGACAAAATACGCCGAGAGATTTAACGACGGATAGTTTACACCTAGAGATGTAAGGACGGATAGCTTACATCGAGAGATGTAAGAAGAAACGGCAAACACCGAGACATGTAGGGACGGACAGCTTACGCCGAGAGATGTAAGGACTGACAACTTACAACGAGAGATGTAAGAATGGATAGCTTACACTGAGATATGTAAGAATGGATAGCTTACATCAAGAGATGTAAGGATAGATAGCTTACATCCAGATATGTAAGGAAGGACAGTTTTCACCGATCGACATCACTGCACACTAGTCATTCCCATATGTGCTAAGTCCTCTGATGCAGCAGCCAGTCCAAGTGTGTGTGTGTGTGTGTGTGTGTGTGTGTGTGTGTGTGTGTGTGTGTGTGACATTTGTTATTTTCACCAGCCTTTTGTGCGTTTAAGCTCTCCAACATTACAAACCCTCTACAACATTACAAACCCTCTACAACATTACAAACCCTCTCCAACATTACAAACCCTCTGCAACATGACAAACCCTCTCCAACATTACAAACCCTCTCCAACACAATGAACCCTCTCCAACATTATAAACCCTCTCCAACATTATAAACCCTCTCCAACATTACAAACCCTCTACAACATTATAAACCCTCTCCAACATTACAAACCCTCTCCAACATTATAAACCCTCTCCAACAGATTATAAACCCTCTCCAACAGATTATAAACCCTCTCCAACACAATAAACCCTCTCCAACATGATGAACCCTCTCCAACATTACAAACCCTCTCCAACATTACAAACCCTCTCCAACATTACAAACCCTCCCCAACATTACAAACCCTCTCCAACATTACAAACCTTTTGCAACATTACAAACCCTCTGCAACATGACAAACCCTCTCCAACATTAAAAACCCTCTCTAACACAATGAACCCTCTCCAACATTATAAACCCTCTCCAACATTATAAACCCTCTCCAACATTACAAACCCTCTACAACATTATAAACCCTCTCCAACATTACAAACCCTCTCCAACATTAAAAACCCTCTACAACATTATAAACCCTCTCCAACAGATTATAAACCCTCTCCAACAGATTATAAACCCTCTCCAACACAATAAACCCTCTCCAACATGATGAACCCTCTCCAACATTACAAACCCTCTCCAACATTACAAACCCTCTCCAACATTACAAACCCTCTACAACATTATAAACCCTCTCCAACAGATTATAAACCCTCTCCAACACAATAAACCCTCTCCAACATGATGAACCCTCTCCAACATTACAAACCCTCTCAACATTACAAACCCTCTCCAACATTACAAACCCTCCCCAACATTACAAACCCTTTCCAACATTACAAACCTTTTGCAACATTACAAACCCTCTGCAACATGACAAACCCTCTCCAACATTAAAAACCCTCTCTAACACAATGAACCCTCTCCAACATTATAAACCCTCTCCAACATTATAAACCCTCTCCAACATTACAAACCCTCTACAACATTATAAACCCTCTCCAACATTACAAACCCTCTCCAACATTAAAAACCCTCTACAACATTATAAACCCTCTCCAACAGATTATAAACCCTCTCCAACAGATTATAAACCCTCTCCAACACAATAAACCCTCTCCAACATGATGAACCCTCTCCAACATTACAAACCCTCTCCAACATTACAAACCCTCTCCAACATTACAAACCCTCTCCAACATTACAAACCCTCTCTAACATTACAAACCCTCTCCAACATTACAAACCCTCTCCAACATTACAAACCCTCTCCAACATTACAAACCCTCTCCAACATTACAAACCCTCTCCAACATTACAAACCCTCTCCAACATTACAAACCCTCTCCAACATTACAAACCCTCTCCAACATTACAAACCCTCTCCAACATTACAAACCCTCTACAACATTATAAACCCTCTCCAACAGATTATAAACCCTCTCCGACACAATAAACCCTCTCCAACATGATGAACCCTCTCCAACATTACAAACCCTCTCCAACATTACAAACCCTCTCCAACATTACAAACCCTCTCCAACATTACAAACCCTCTACAACATTATAAACCCTCTCCAACAGATTATAAACCCTCTCCGACACAATAAACCCTCTCCAACATGATGAACTCTCTCCAACATTACAAACCCTCTCCAAGACATTATAAATTCTGCAACACTACAAACCGTCTCCTGACTCTCATGTCCTCCCAACATTTAAACCGCCTCGATGTTGCAGGCTCGATCGCCCTACTGCCTGGAGGAAATCAACACAACAACAGAAACTTAGTTTTAGTTGTCTTACCTTTAAAAAACTCGACATCTTCCTTGTCAAACTCGGCATAAGACGTCGACGATGTGTTAGCAGACGTGGAGGTTGGGGCGAAGGATGACATCTTGCAGATAGATGGCTGGGCTGACAGGGAACGTACAGACAATAGTTGTGTGAATCACAACAACACGAGGACGGCGCTCTGCAACAACTACGGCTGCAGTAAGTCTGGATACAGCAAACACAACGAGCAGCTACACACGCACTGGTTGTGTGTTACAGGCGCACTGGTTGTGATGTTACACAGCACCTTGATGCAGTGAAGGGATGCTGCAGGCCAGAAATGAAACCCAGTACGTGGCTGGGAGAAAACGATCTAGTGACAGTTGCTAGTCGTCGCTGGCAACCTATAGCCTACTTTCTGTCCAGCCTCGTTCTCTGGTCTATATGTTACTGACTTGTTATTCTGTGACAAGAGACTATGTTATCTCCCAGGTACGCCCACTTTCCATGCAGATACCAGAGACGGGAAAATGTCACCCGGCAGATACTGAATTATCTCTGCAAGGTCACCTAGCTACTAGAGGACAGACAAGGCTGTAGTTTTCTGTTATTGTTCGTTATCATCCATTTACTGAAAATCGGTCTCACGGAGGAGAGAGGCACAGCACTGTGGCCCCCAAGTACACACGTACTGACACTGACAGTTTTGATAAGGGTGCTTAGACTTACTGATAAAGTCCATTGATTCCATGGCGCCGAGACAACAGCTCGAAAATCGTTAGTTGGCTCCGGGTCAACGACAGGTTCGATAAGGCTAGATTGTGGATGTAATTTCCGAGCTTCAGATCATGACTAGGGGGATGTACAGTAGCCGACTGCCCTGCGATGAGAGTTTTAACGGCTGAAAACCTTGAGCAGCGGCATTTATGTCTATTATCTCAAGGTTTGGTCCTTTCTGTTTTCAAGTATGCGATGGCGATCATGACTCTCAGCCATAAGCAGATTGGGAGAGGAAAGAAAGGATACAGAACGAGGCTATGCGTTTAATACTTGAGTGTACAAGAGACACAGCTTGCAAGCCGATGCGTTACCTTCACGATTTTACAACCATGGAGGACAGAATACAGATTTGCCGAACATGGGCCAACCTTAGAAACAACACAAATACCGACACCCGTTGCATAATGACATTAAGAAGAAAATGGACAGCAGGCTAAATTATGGATAGGTCAGGCTAAGGACATTATTCAACAGGTGTGGTCTCTCACGAGAACATAGAATCTGGTGAGGAATGGGTACAAGTATCAACAGGTGTGCTCTCTCTCAAGGACATATAATCTGGTGAGGAATGGGTACAAGTACCAACAGGTGTGCTCTCTCGAGGACATATAATCTGGTGAGGAATGGGTACAAGCACCAACAGGTGTGCTCTCTCGAGGACATATAATCTGGTGAGGAATGGGTACAAGCACCAACAGGTGTGCTCTCTGAAGGACATAGAATCTGGTGAGGAATGGATACAAGTACCATCAGGTGTGCTCTCTCGAGGACATAGAATCTGGTGAGGAATGGGTACAAGTACCAACAGGTGTGCTCTCTCAAGACATAGAATCTGGTGAGGAATGGGTACAAGTACCAACAGGTGTGCTCTCTCGAGGACATAGAATCTGGTGAGGAATGGGTACAAGTACCAACAGGTGTGCTCTCTCAAGGACATAGAATCTGGTGAGGAATGGGTACAAGTACCAACAGGTCTGCTCTCTCGAGGACATAGAATCTGGTGAGGAATGGGTACAAGTACCAACAGGTGTGCTCTCTCGAGGACATAGAATCTGGTGAGGAATGGGTACAAGTACCAACAGGTGTGCTCTCTCAAGGACATAGAATCTGGTGAGGAATGGGTACAAGTACCAACAGGTGTGCTCTCTCGAGGACATAGAATCTGGTGAGGAATGGGTACAAGTACCAACAGGTGTGCTCTCTCGAGGACATAGAATCTGGTGAGGAGTGGGTACAAGTACCAACAGGTGTGCTCTCTCGAGGACATAGAATCTGGTGAGGAATGGGTACAAGTACTAACAGAGTGCTGTACGACCTATGTAGAATAAAACTAGCACCTTGCAGTGGTACCCGACCATGGCTTGATGAACTCAGGCAGCAGGACACCTCCAGCCATGTGCAGTTTCAGTAATCTTCTGAGTGTTGAACCAGTCTCCCTGAGTGTTGAACCAGTCTCCCTGAGTGTTGAACCAATCTCCCTGAGTGTTGAACCAGTCTCCCTGAGTGTTGAACCAGTCTCCCTGAGTGTTGAACCAGTCTCCCTGAGTGCAAGAAGATTCCTCAGTGCCCTTCCAACTGCTGTGTCAACCTCCTACATATTCAGGTCTCGCTGCCCCCCCCCCCCCCCCCCCCCCCCCCCCTTCATCTTTGAATCAAAGTTATAGATATTTAATTGTTCTGGTGCTCTCTGCCAGTAGATGGGAGCAGGCATTCTTACATGACAATCAAATGTCCACCATGGCACACACATAAACACCACCCATCAATAGAGTTTAACAAATAAAACACCACCCATCAATAGAGTCCAACAAATAAAACACCACCCATCAATAGAGTCCAACAAATAAAACACCACCCATCAATAGAGTCCAACAAATAAAACACCACCCATCAATAGAGTCGAACAAATAAAACACAACCCATCAATAGAGTCCATAAAAATAAAACCCAGCCATGTTTTTTAAACAGATTTAATACAGGTTCATCTGGATGAGATGAGGTCGTGACAAGTTTTGATTTTAACAAGCAAGTTACCAGGACGGACAACAATACACGGTCACACTCTCTGGTATAGCTGAAGTACAGACATCTTCACCTCTCAACTTGGACACCAAACTTGTGCCCAACAAATAATCATTGGAGGCAAGATTCCACTCTGGTAGCCTCAACATATAATCAATGGAGGCATATTTCCACTCTGGTAGCCCCAACATAAAAATATACGGCTCATAAAATATCTGTCAGCTGTCAATAGTCACACGGGTAAAAACACCCCATAAAATCAGGGAGACAAACATGTTGAAATCATGCTGCAATCAGTACCTAGACCAACTCAAGGGAAAGGACACATCATCCATGTTTCTGACCCCCAGCTGGTGCTCACATGACATGTCACCCATGTTTCTGACCCACAGCCGGTGCTTACATGACACATCACCCATGTTTCTGACCCACAGCCGGTGCTTACATGACACATCACCCATGTTTCTGACCCCCAGCTGGTGCTCACATGACACATCACCCATGTTTCTGACCCCCAGCTGGTGCTCACATGACATGTCACCCATGTTTCTGACCCACAGCCGGTGCTTACATGACACATCACCCATGTTTCTGACCCACAGCCGGTGCTTACATGACACATCACCCATGTTTCTGACCCCCAGCTGGTGCTCACATGACATGTCACCCATGTTTCTGACCCACAGCCGGTGCTTACATGACATCACCCATGTTTCTGACCCACAGCCGGTGCTTACATGACACATCACCCATGTTTCTGACCCCCAGCTGGTGCTCACATGACACATCACCCATGTTTCTGACCCCCAGCTGGTGCTCACATGACATGTCACCCATGTTTCTGACCCCCAGCTGGTGCTCACATGACACATCACCCATGTTTCTGACCCCCAGCTGGTGCTCACATGACATGTCACCCATGTTTCTGACCCACAGCCGGTGCTCACATGTCACATCACCCATGTTTCTGACCCACAGCTGGTGCTTACATGACATGTCACCCATGTTTCTGACCCCCAGCTGGTGCTCACATGACACATCACCCATGTTTCTGACCCCCAGCTGGTGCTCACATGACATGTCACCCATGTTTCTGACCCACAGCCGGTGCTCACATGTCACATCACCCATGTTTCTGACCCACAGCTGGTGCTTACATGACATGTCACCCATGTTTCTGACCCACAGCTGGTGCTCACATGACACGTCACCCATGTTTCTGACCCACAGCTGGTGCTCACATGACACATCACCCATGTTTCTGACCCACAGCTGGTGCTCACATGACAGGTCACCCATGTTTCTGACCTACAGCTGGTGCTTACATAACAGGTCACCTATTTTCTGACCCACAGCTGGTGCTTACATGACATGTCACCCATGTTTCTGACCCACAGCTGGTGCTTACATGACATGTCACCCATGTTTCTGACCCACAGCTGGTGCTTACATGACACGTCACCCATGTTTTTGACAGACAGCTGGTGCTCACATGACACATCACCCATGTTCCTGACCGACAGCTGGTGCTCACTACTTTTGTTTACTTTAGTTGTAATGTCTGTCTCTACAAGTCACCAATTGTACATGCTGCCTGACTTCTCCCTAGCTGTAATGTCTGTCTCTACAAGTCACCAATTGTACATGCTGCCTGACTTCTCCCTAGCTGTAATGTCCGTCTCTACAGGTCACCAATTGTACAGGCTGCCTGACTTCTCCCTAGCTGTAATGTCTGTCTCTACAGGTCACCAATTGTACAGGCTGCCTGACTTCTCCCTAGCTGTAATGTCCGTCTCTACAGGTCACCAATTGTACAGGCTGCCTGACTTCTCCTTAGCTGTAATGTCTGTCTCTACAGGTCACCAATTGTACAGGCTGCCTGACTTCTCCCTAGCTGTAATGTCTGTCTCTACAGGTCACCAATTGTACAGGCTGCCTGACTTCTCCTTAGCTGTAATGTCTGTCTCTACAGGTCACCAATTGTACAGGCTGCCTGACTTCTCCTTAGCTGTAATGTCTGTCTCTACAGGTCACCAATTGTACAGGCTGCCTGACTTCTCCCTAGCTGTAATGTCTGTCTCTACAAGTCACCAATTGTACATGCTGCCTGACTTCTCACTAGCTGTAATGTCTGTCTCTACAGGTCACCAATTGTACATGCTGCCTGACTTCTCCTTAGCTGTAATGACTGTCTCTACAGGTCACCAATTGTACAGGCTGCCTGACTTCTCCTTAGCTGTAATGTCTGTCTCTACAGGTCACCAATTGTACAGGCTGCCTGACTTCTCCTTAGCTGTAATGTCCGTCTCTACAGGTCACCAATTGTACAGGCTGCCTGACTTCTCCTTAGCTGTAATGTCTGTCTCTACAGGTCACCAATTGTACAGGCTGCCTGACTTCTCACTAGCTGTAATGTCTGTCTCTACAGGTCACCAATTGTACAGGCTGCCTGACTTCTCCTTAGCTGTAATGTCTGTCTCTACAGGTCACCAATTGTACAGGCTGCCTGACTTCTTAGCTGTAATGTCTTTCTCTACAGGTCACCAACTGTACAGGCTGCCTGACTTCTCCTTAGCTGTAATGTCCGTCTCTACAGGTCACCAACTGTACAGGCTGCCTGACTTCTCCTTAGCTGTAATGTCTGTCTCTACAGGTCACCAATTGTACATGCTGCCTGACTTCTCCCTAGCTGTAATGTCCGTCTCTACAGGTCACCAATTGTACAGGCTGCCTGACTTCTCACTAGCTGTAATGTCTGTCTCTACAGGTCACCAATTGTACAGGCTGCCTGACTTCTCCTTAGCTGTAATGTCTGTCTCTACAGGTCACCAATTGTACATGCTGCCTGACTTCTCACTAGCTGTAATGTCTGTCTCTGTGGTTTACAGAATGGCTGCAAAATCTGTGCCCAACAAAAATAATGCACCTGACCAAGCATGCCATAAGAGTCGACTAAGGCAGGGATGGTCTTGAATACTGTATCATCAACACATAACTACAAGAACATACAACAACCTCGCAAACATTAGACAACAATGGAATCAAACATCTGGAAATAAAATTATTGAGAACATATTTGCTTTAAAAAAAATTTCGGCCCAAATTGGCGATCTGGAACACTGTATATTCACACCCCATTGCTGACTGCCAGATTGGTCTTCTTGTTTAATTAATGACTCCAAGAGGCCAAGAGACCGTCAACAATGAAACTGAATATCTGCGGCAATATTCCCCATCGCCAGATTTAGCCAGCATTAGAGTCTGTACACATTTTAAGGCAGGTCACGAGCAAGACAGGTTTGATCTCATAAAAGTTTGCACGTAAAATGATCAAATCAGAGCATGTGAAGAAAACAATGTCTAAAACTATCTGGCACAGAAGCGGCTGTCAGTGATCAACACCGTTCTGTCGATCCTTGGCTAGGACCACTGTGTGCTGGCCTCCCGAGGAAACCATCAGTCCAGACCTGATGAAGAGAAAATTATCAGAGTTGGTGATATTCAATCACAGACAGTCAGTGTTGCGTTTTGGTACACAGAAACTATCAAACACAAGGACATGTGGGAATGTTCAGTTTCGGTTCATCAGATCAATGTACCGCTGGGAACATCTGGATGTGACTCTCACAAGTGGCCAAAAATGTCCACATTAGGAAAATAAATACACAACCATTGTCACAAACATTTAAACTTAAAACTATCACTTCAACAACTGTCATAACATAAAAAGTTAAAACTTTCACTTCAAAAACAGTCACAAACATATAAACTTAAAACTATCACTTCAACAACTGTCATAAACATAAAAAGTTAAAACTTTCACTTCAAAAACAGTCACAAACATATAAACTTAAAACTATCACTTCAACAACTGTCATAAACATAAAAAGTTAAAACTTTCACTTTAAAAACAGTCACAAACATATAAAGTTTAAACAAATTCTTGTTTATTCAGCAGATCAACCTCATGGCACACTGGAGTGACCCATAAGTGCTCCATTCTACTTGTCATTTTAAGTCCAGGTGGTATCAATATCCAACATACCTTCATCTAAACAGTTTTACTCTTTTCACATTTTAAATGTTAATTATTGTCTTTTCTTTCATTTCCTATTATTACTTTATTATATCTCTTATCAGTATCATTTATGTATCATTAGCATTTGTAATTCTTTGATTCCCACTATTATATTATACATTAAAAATACTACTTTTTATTTTATATTTTGCGACAATATTTTTTTAGCCATTGCTATTTTATTTCACATCACATTTTTTTTTAAATGTTGCTCACGTCACCCCTTAGAGATCTGTATACTCTTCTCTTCTCGTTATTTTTGTGTTTGACAAAGGCTGCCCGGTCGAAACGTTACTTGCGTTGTTTTGTGCACGTTTTTCTGCTTCCCCATTTGGTTAAGCTTTTTAGTTAAATTTCCCTGGGATTGCTTGTATTAGCTTGACTGCAGTCACCCCCATATTTTCACCAAATCAGTCAAGCAGACAACTGTTACAAATCAAACCCAGTAGACACCTGAACAGGGAGAGAGACAGTTTAACAAGACAACAAAAACATGACTGACCTGTTTTCCAACTGTTTCCCTGTGACCTTGACAGGCACAAACTGGTCTTCGTCACTGCCGAGCCCTAGCTGGTTATTGGAGCCCATACCCCAGGAATAGATGGAACCTAGACACACACAGATGACAGGATTAGGTTGTCAGACATCATCACTATCTTGTTGTGCAGTTATACATCACAGAGAGTTCACAGCCTACTTATTCAGTTAGGTTCTATCCTGCACAATCCCCTCAACATCATGGACGGAGCAGCACTTTGGCCTCTCTCCCACAATGTCCGTCTGAGGGGTTTCCTTCAGCCGTCCTTGTGTCCTCAATCCACAGGTTTCACATATCAGTGCCTCTCTCCCACAATGTCCGTCTGAGGGGTTTCCTCGGCCGTCCTTGTGTCCTCAATCCACAGGTTTCACATATCAGTGCCTCTCTCCCACAATGTCCGTCTGAGGGGTTTCCTCGGCCGTCCTTGTGTCCTCAATCCACAGGTTTCACATATCAGTGCCTCTCTCCCACAATGTCCGTCTGAGGGGTTTCCTCGGCCGTCCTTGTTTCCTCAATCCACAGGTTTCACACTTCAGTGCGTGTCTGGTGATTCGCCTCACTTCCAGATGTGCCCAATATAAAGCCATTGTTTGATACCAGAGTGGTTGTTCAGACATGTTTCTCATTTCTTCGCCTCTTTTGAACTCATCATATTACTGTACATCCATTTGCTCAAGCATTTATTTTCAAATCACATCTAACTTTTGCTCTATCCCTTTAGCTGTTCACTGAAACTTTAAAAAAAAAAAAAAAAAAAGACTTACAACACAAACATAGACAGGAAAATATCAAAGAAAATGACTGCCCTGTCAGAGACTATACATGGAATCTCATCAGTTGCCAGTGATATCTGCAGCGCCGTTTCTCAGATGGAAGACTCTCATATCCTATGTACAGTCCATCTCTTGTGTCATCTGTACAGTCCATCTCTTGTGTCATCGGTACAGTCCATCTCTTGTGTCATCTGTACAGTCCATCTCTTGTGTCATCTGTACAGTCCATCTCTTGTGTCATCTGTACAGTCCATCTCTTGTGTCATCTGTACAGTCCATCTCTTGTGTCATCTGTACAGTCCATCTCTTGTGTCATCTGTACAGTCCATCTCTTGTGTCATCTGTACAGTCCATCTCTTGTGTCACCTCCTCAGGTAAACTTGCTGTTCTCTTTCTCTAGCATCATTTGTCACAACACCAACCAACATCCTACAACTATCAAATGCCACCAACATCACTCAACAACTATCAAGTGCCACCAACATCCCACAACTATCAAGTGCCACCAACATCCCACAACTATCAAGTGCCACCAACATCACTCAACAACCATCAAGTGCCACCAACATCAATCAACAACTATCAAGTGCCACCAACAACTATTAAGCACCACCAACAACTATCAAGTGCCACTAACCAGCACTTACAGCAACAACCATCAAGTGCCACTTACCATCACTTGTAATAGCAAAGCTGACACATCCACCGGCTGCCACACTGACACAGGTGAACTCACTCAAGGCGGGCACCAGAGCTGGTTCCATCATCTCACAGGCGTTCTTGCCCAGGCCCAGACGACCGTAGTCACATCTGCCCAGAGTGTAGACCTTGCCTGCAAGCATGACCAAGGCAACATTGTTTCAAACGTATCAAACACACAAATCTCACAGTCAGTGTTGGGTTTTGGTGATAATTATATCACAGACAATCAGTGTTGGGTTGTGGTGATAATTATATCACAGACAATCAGTGTTGGGGTTTTGGTGATAATTCAATCACAGACAGTCAGTGTTGGGTTTTGGTGATAATTAAAACACAGACAGTCAGTGTTGGGTTTTGGTGATAATTCAATCACAGACAATCAGTGTTGGGTTTTGGTGATAATTCAATCACAGACAGTCAGTGTTGGGTTTTGGTGATAATTCAATCACAGACCATCAATGCTGGAGCAAACTACGTAGAAGTGACACAGAAGATGATGATGTTTTTATACAGCAAAACTGTTAACATGAAAGGAGACCCAAAATATGCAGCAATTGAGGAATAATCACAATACATCCCCGCTAGGATCAACAACTTGTGATCATGTTAACATTGTTCAACTCTTCTGGTAGCACCAGATTTTGCTTTAAATACCAAAGGAGGCAACTGATACAGTGAAAGGGACAATAGTGTATGATTTTCAGAGACAACATATACTGTGTTTTGAGCATATCTAGCCAGACTTCTTTAGCATGCTCAAGTCAGATGTAAAATATATTGTTTGTTGTTTGATACGCAGTTACAGCTGATCACACGCTGTACGTTGGTTGTTTGATACAGTTACAGCTGATCACACACTGTACGTTTGTTGTTTGATACAGTTACAGCTGATCACACACTGTACGTTTGTTGTTTGATACAGTTACAGCTGATCACACACTGTACGTTTGTTGTTTGATAGTCTGGGATCTATGTAAACACATTACATCTGCAAAGTCTGGGATCTATGTAAACACATTACATCTGCAAAGTCTGGGATCTATGTAAACACATTGCATCTGCAAAGTCTGGGATCTAGGTAAACACACCTACATCTGCAAAGTCCGGGATCTATGTAAACACATCTACATCTGCAAAGTCTGGGATCTCTGTAAACACATCTACATCTGCAAAGTCTGGGATCTATGTAAACACATCACATCTACATAATCTAGGATCTATGTAAACACATTACATCTGCAAAGTCTGGGATTTATGTAAACACATTACATCTGCAAAGTCTGGGATCTATGTAAACACATCACATCTACAAAGTCTGGGATCTATGTAAACACATTACATCTGTAAAGTCTGAGATCTCTGTAAACACATTACATCTGTAAAGTCTGAGATCTCTGTAAACACATTACATCTGTAAAGTCTGAGATCTCTGTAAACACATCTACAATGCCATGATAACATCAATGACAGACACAGAGAGCTCGATGTCATGACAACACAAGCAAGCAAGTCTACATCACAAGCTCAATGCTGACATTGTTCAAGAATGTCTGTAAAACTAACAACACCCACAATGAGATTCTCAGTCACAGCACGGAACCCCTGCTAAAAAGATATCCCTTACCATTACTGTGTAGAGCCACTGTGTGGTGCTGACCTCCGCTACAAAGATATCCCTTACCATTACTGTGTAGAGCCACTGTGTGGTGCTGACCTCCGCTACAAAGATATCCCTTACCATTACTGTGTAGAGCCACTGTGTGGTGCTGACCTCCGCTGATCATTGACCAGGGTCCATTCTCTGAGAACCATTTGGCCCGTTCTGGGATAAACCTGTTGACCATATCACCAACACCTGGACAGGTAGAAACAGCAGAATGATAACATCTTAACATAGGTAGAAGTAGCAATGAATCGACACCTAGACACAGACAAACAACATCAAATCAACACCTGGACACATACAAACAGCAGTTTGTCAACACCTAGACACATACAAACAGCAGTAAATCAACACCTGGACACATACAAACAGCAGTAAATCAACACCTGGACACATACAAACAGCAGTAAATCAACACCTGGACACATACAAACAGCAGTAAATCAACACCTGGACACATACAAACAGCAGTAAATCAACACCTGGACACATACAAACAGCAGTAAATCAACACCTGGACACATACAAACAGCAGTAAATCAACACCTGACACATACAAACAGCAGTAAATCAACACCTGGACACATACAAACAGCAGTAAATCAACACCTGACACATACAAACAGCAATACGATATTAACTACCGGGTAAAGTGTAAGCAACAAGGAAGGTGATCAGTTATACGCAGTCGTGCACGTAGCTGTCACATCTGTAGGTGCAGCATTCATGGCTGACCATTGCTGACCATTTTGCTGGGAACTGACCGGTTCTACTTCTCATTCAGGTCAATTTGCTTAGGGTAACAAAACATAATACCAGGTATGTCTTTATTGTTTGCGTTGACCGGCAGTAAACACAGGTGGAAAGTTCTTGTTCGTCCACTTCTGGATTCCTGATTTCTTGTTCCAGAACCTAATTTGTGCATGAACATACATTTTACAGATCTCACTTTGTTGTCAGCAGACTATTGATTCCTTGTCTCTCATGCATTGAAGACCTCGAAGTTGACTCCTACGACACGCTTGTTGAGGAGGTAGTGGGTCCATTGTTGTTTTCCTCAAACAATAGGGCCCCACGACTGACAAGGGGAGGACCAATTACAAAGGGATCATGAGCAATCAGCAACATCTATAGAAAATATTACTTCAGATGCTAGTAAAAAAAACACATTTCAGAGTGCAGACAATCTCCAGAGAAACAAGTTGTTTCTGTGCAGACATCCTCCAGAGAAACAAGTTGTTTCTGTGCAGACATTCTCCAGACAGATTGTTTCTGTGCATTCTCCAGACAGGTTGTTTCTGTGCAGACACTTTTCCCATACCGTATCTTAATTGTTAACGAAATACAGTGTTTATGTCACTGTTCATTCTTCCGTTGTCCCTGCCTGTCAACTGGATCACCTTTCCCAGATACCTCACTCTGAGACCTGAAGCTGACTTTTGTGAACTGCGTGGTTTTAGTTTTACTGGTGGTCATCCATCTCTTCCTTCGAGACAAGTCAGTTAGCCTGAAAACGTGTCTCTGATTTAGCTAAACAGGGCTACATAGCTGCACACAACAAGCAAAAATGAGACTAGTCTGAGGTATGTGTGTGGCATCTGCCAATGTGCTTGTATAACTAAGAATGACCTACCGAGCTGATAGTAGTTGTTAAGCCCCCAAGAATAAATATCTCCATTATCTCTGTCTTTAGCAAACGTTGTGTACTGACTTGTCCATACGTCAGAAAACTGAGCAAGTTTGCGAGACTTGTGTCGTTTGACGCGGACTCGACCAGGAGAAAGAATCACATCTGCAACCAAAATTACATGACAAAATAATACACAAATGATACAATTACAAAATAATATATATTTGATGCAATTACAAAATAATACACAAATGATACAATCACAGATAAAACGCATGTGATACTTGGACAATAGGCAGACAAAACAGCCTAGGAGTACACATGATACCTAGACAATAGACATACAAAACAGCCTAAAGTACACATGTGATACCTGGACAATGTTGGACAGACAAGAACAGCCTAAAGTACACATGTGATACCTGGACAATGTTGGACAGACAAGCACAGCCTAGAATACACATGTGATACCTGGACAATGTTGGACAAACAAGCACAGCCTAAAGTACACATGTGATACCTAGACAATGGACAGACAAGCACAGCCTAAAGTACACATGTGATACCTGGACAATGTTGGACAGACAAGAAACATCTACTGGCAGATGAGACTGGTTTCTGCGAAAAACACTGAGCATGACCGCTGTAAAAACACTGAGCATGACCGACTGTAAAAACACTAATCATGACCGACTGTAAAAACACTAAGCATGACCGACTGTAAAAACACTGAGCATGACCGCTGTAAAAACACTGAGCATGACTGACTGTAAAAACACTGAGCATGACTGACTGTAAAAACACTGAGCATGACCGACTGTAAAAACACTGAGCATGACCGACTGTAAAAACACTGAGCATGACCGACTGTAAAAACACTGGGCATGACCGACTGTAAAAACACTGAGCACGACCGACTGTAAAAACACTGAGCATGACCGACTGTAAAAACACTGAGCATGACCGACTGTAAAAACACTGAGCATGACCGACTGTAAAAACACTGGGCATGACCGACTGTAAAAACACTGAGCATGACCGACTGTAAAAATAAATGAATGAGGCAGCCACCAAGAAACAGACAAAATATGTTAACCAATCAGAGAGAGAGGTGACTGTAGGCTTGGTGGCAGAAGTGGCAATAAACCTGAACTGTGTGACAGCTGGCAGACAGAATAAGTAATGAGCACGAGGGAAGTCGAAAAGATCAAAACTTGGATGGCTTGGCTGCATGTATTTGTATTTTACATTCACACAATAATTCTGGCACTACATAAATTATGACTGCAGGAAATGAGTCAAACAAATGGCAGTCACCCCTCCACACGAAAACTCACCAAGTCCTTTACGACCGCCGCGAGTCGCAAAACACTCAGCTATTCTTCCTAGCTGGCCTTGTTCGGCACATCCTGGGAATAAAGAACACACAATTATAAATATTTGTGTTTCAAAAACGTGTACAGAGAAGAACAAACAAAATCTACAGGAGACAACAACAAGAGAGGCCAAATCACAGCACCATTTAAATGAACTGAAACCATACAACTATTGCCCCCCCCCCCCCCCCTCTCCCCCTAGCTTAGGGATAACCGGCCAACAGTCAGAACCACGGTCATGGATTTCCTCCAAGTTATCTATGAGCAGCACTGACATGAATATTACAGAAGAGAGAGCAACAACAGACTTTATCCACACCAGAGTTGGATTCGAGTGTATACAGATGATAGTCAAGAGAGCAGTAAGAGATGGAGGAGGAATATATACAGAATGCCCAAATGGTTGAACAACTGAACAAGCTATACCAACAGGTTCATACTCCTCCAGTTACAGAGCAGAGGCAAAAACACTTCTGGTGGCCTGTTCTTTCCTGAATGGACAACAGCACAGCAAATTTAGCAGAGTGGTCTTTCTGCCTGATGCTCTGTCAGTTCTACAAGCAATTGTTAACCTAAAAGACATGCAGTTTGTAGACTTGACGCAACAGCTGATTTACTTAGACTCTCCTCAAGATTCGCTTCAATGCCTCTCTAGGGAAGGACAGTGTGTTTTACACAGGGACAATGTGTTATACACAGGGACAATGTGTTATACACAGGGACAATGTGTTATACACAGGGACAATGTGTTATACACAGGGACAATGTGTTTTTCACAGACGAAGGACAGGGTGCAACAGACTTGGTCTTTTCCCTGCAGTCTAGCAACTGAAAATGCAAAGCCTGTGCTTCAATACTGTCAGCGGTATGCTGCAAAGAGAGGCAGTCTGGCCTGTTCCAATAAATCACTACAGCTTTCATAAAGGCTGCCGACTTCCTAATATAAGTTTTCGGTCAGAAGGATCAAAGAAGTAGATTGTCACCAAGCTCTAGAACATTACCTAAAGTCAATAGCTCTCCCTTGTCTGTCAAACATGCCAGGTGGTCACTTCCTGATGCCACTTTGATAATGACCTCCTCCTGGATTAGTTCAACTGGTGTTTTCTCGATACCTTTAACTGTAAGCCCCATCGATCCGTTGGCATCCTGAAACACAAGAGAGGGCAGACAATAGAAACACTGGTTGTGGCTATATATATCATCCAGCAATTATGCAGATATGTGAAATAAACAGTTCGGAGATTTTAAACCCAAATAAACTGACTACCTCATCGTGTATATTTTTTAAAATAATGTCAATAATCTAGCCAGAAAAACACCGCAGCAACATATAAAACCAAATTTTTTAATGAAATTAAGTGGGAACCATTTTGGCTGCATTACTTGTCATAAAATGATAACCTGGGCTGAAAAGATAACTTCTAAAATGGGAGGGGGGAGTTGTTAAATTACGCAGAGTAAAGTAGCAAATCTATGTGTGCTCACACAATGAAGAACAAATAATAGAATAACTCGATTACGTTACCACATGTACACAAAATTCAAGATGGGTGTATCAGCCATGTGCACCTGTGGAAAGGTGCCCCAGACAGCAGAGCATGTACTCCAGGACTGCACCGAATTTGACACATTAAGGCAAACCTTTTGGCCAGAAAGAACAACAGTGGAACGTAAACTCTATGGACCACTGAATGAACTAACAACGACAGTGAAATTTATCCAAGAGACAAAACTGCTGATACAGACAACTTATTTCAGGCGAACGAAAGAAGAAGAACAAATAATAGAATAACTGGGAAAAGTGTGTTTTTTGTGTGTGGAGGGAAAAGAGAACAATTTTAATAAAGAAATCCTGTCTCTGAAATGATGTGATATCTCAAAACAAGCAAGCAAATTAGAAACTGGAAAAATCGGAGATGATAAGAATGAAGAAATCTCATGTATTCTTGTATGAAGATGAGACGTACTGACTCTTATATGTTGCTTTGAGTTATTCATAGACCTGCAAATTAAAACAATGACAAGGAGAGAAAGCTGATGAGATGTACACAAACTTGTACACTGAAACACAAGAGTATAAAGCAGGTGAGTCACACAGATACAAACACAGACAAGGTACACACACAATTACAACACTAACCCTAAAATTTCCCCAGGCAAACACCCTGCCATCATCAGTTAGAGCCGCAGTGTGACTGTCTCCAGCTGACACCATCACAACTGGCGCTGGGAGAGTGACCTTCCCTGGCCGTGTTTCTGAACCTTCCACACTGGTGTCGCGACCCAGGGCACCTTCATCGTTGCACCCAAACGTGTATAACTGTGGTGTTGTAGGAGAGTAAAACAATGTAGGTTAGTCATGTTCACATAAAGAACAAACCTTAAAACTAGAGTGATTCTACTTATGGCTGAACAACACATTGTAGATTACCTAAGTGTATTTACTTGTGACATACATTTTGAGAACCGACTTGACCCCACATCGACGTAGTGGGTGTGAGTCACAGGCCTTTGTCCTTGACTTCAGCATTTCAGGTTTCAGACGCCTTCCTCGGATTATACAGACCAACTGGCACCTGCCATCCGATTCGGTTGACATCACGTGCCTGTCTATTTTAGACTGAGACCTGTTGGCACTAATCGATTATCTGACAATTCTCGCCTAGAGTGCAGCTTAATCTCAAACCCACCAGATCAAAAGTCAAGCTGGCAACACATGCAGTCAATGAACCGGGTACAGTTGGTCACTTAACTCAACAGTAGACAGTAAATACAAATAATTGTGCGGTAATTTGACCAGGTAAAACAAACAGTAAATGTTGGCACAGAGATGCCATGCTTACCTGGCCGGTACTAGTGAGACACACCGTGTGCATGCCGCCCGCACAAACCTGGATCACAGGGTCAGGGATGTCTACATAAGCAAAACGTGTACGCTCTGTGATATCCTCTCCCAGGCCAAGCTGGCCGACATCCCCCATACCACATGTGAGAACAACACCCTGGACCGAGCTGTGGGAGTCATGGGACACTGAAAAAGATAATCATGGGTGTCAGGTGTCTGTCACTGAAACAAGATAATCATGGGTGTCACGTGTCTGTCACTGAAACAAGATAATCATGGGTGTGGTGTCTGTCACTGAAAAAAGATAATCATGGGTGTTACGTGTCTGTCACTGAAACAAGATAATCATGGATGTCAGGTGTCTGTCACTGAAACAAGATAATCATGGGTGTGGTGTCTGTCACTGAAAAAAGATAATCATGGGTGTTACGTGTCTGTCACTGAAACAAGATAATCATGGGTGTTACGTGTCTGTCACTGAAACAAGATAATCATGGGTGTCAGGTGTCTGTCACTGAAACAAGATAATCATGGATGTCAGGTGTCTGTCACTGAAACAAGATAATCATGGGTGTGGTGTCTGTCACTGAAACAAGATAATCATGGGTGTCAGGTGTCTGTCACTGAAACAAGATAATCATGGGTGTCAGGTGTCTGTCACTGAAACAAGATAATCATGGATGTCAGGTGTCTGTCACTGAAACAAGATAATCATGGATGTCATGTGTCTGTCACTGAAACAAGATAATCATGGATGTCATGTGTCTGTCACTGAAACAAGATAATCATGGGTGTCACGTGTCTGTCACTGAAACAAGATAATCATGGGTGTCAGGTGTCTGTCACTGAAACAAGATAATCATGGGTGTCAGGTGTCTGTCACTGAAACAAGATAATCATGGGTGTCAGGTGTCTGTCACTGAAACAAGATAATCATGGGTGTCAGGTGTCTGTCACTGAAACAAGATAATCATGGGTGTCAGGTGTCTGTCACTGAAACAAGATAATCATGGGTGTCAGGTGTCTGTCACTGAAACAAGATAATCATGGGTGTCAGGTGTCTGTCACTGAAACAAGATAATCATGGGTGTGGTGTCTGTCACTGAAACAAGATAATCATGGGTGTCAGGTGTCTGTCACTGAAACAAGATAATCATGGGTGTCAGGTGTCTGTCACTGAAACAAGATAATCATGGGTGTCAGGTGTCTGTCACTGAAACAAGATAATCATGGGTGTCAGGTGTCTGTCACTGAAACAAACCCAGGTGTAACATAAGTGTGTGTGAGTCACTGAAACAAACCTAGGTGAAACATAAGTTTGTGTGAGTTACTGAAACAAACCCAGGTGTAACATAAGTGTGTGTGAGTCACTGAAACGAACCCAGGTGTAACATAAGTTTGTGTGAGTCACTGAAACAAACCTAGGTGAAACATAAGTTTGTGTGAGTTACTGAAACAAACCCAGGTGTAACATAAGTGTGTGTGAGTCACTGAAACAAACCCAGGTGAAACATAAGTGTGTGTGAGTCACTGGAACAAACACAGGTGTAACATGTCTCTGTGTGAATCATTGTAAGAGTCACTGGAACAAACCCAGGTGTAACGTCTGTGTGAGTCACTGAAACTAGCTTAGGTGAAACATTTCTGTTTGTATGTGCATGACAATGAAACAATGTCACAGCTCACTTTTAGCCACACTTCATGCAAGGCATAAAGATGAGAAGAGAGACAACAAAACACCCAAGTTTATTAACTCTATTCTGTGCATCCGCATCTTGACTTGAGTCTTTTCCAGAACTTGTGTTCCATTTTAAAGATTTGGCTTATCTGTATGCAGACTGTTGGTTCCTCACCCCAGGCAGATGCAGGAAAGACACAGGCCTATTTAGTCAACATTCTCATTAGAAATAGTGGATCTATTCTGGTTCTCTGCCGTTATGGGGTCCGAATCCACACAGGCAAGTGTGAGGTTTCATATGGCAACAGTATTTCATGTTCCGTGACAGGCTGCTGTTTATGAGTCAATTGTCCTCAAAGTTCCGACATTTTATAATTTCACATATGAACATTGGTTACAACAATTCTCACTGTACACAAGACAAACACATTGCACACTGAATACCAGGCATGGCGGGTGAACACTGGTTCATTTTGCTCAACTGTTTTGTGACAAACCTTTTAATTTTTTGCTTTTGTTCCCAGATTCATTTTTGTCGAGACCTCGCTTCTTTCCCTGAGGCATCTGGTAAAGACAAGTCAGGGCAGACAATTATTACAACAGCCTAGACAATTTGTGAAATAGTTTCAATGATATTCCGGCAGTTTACACAACAACACAACTGAAAACTTGTAAAATTGTTTCAATGATATTCCGGCAGTTTACACAACATAACTGAAAATTTTAGTTTCAATGATATTCCGGCAGTTTACACAGAAACACAACTGAAAACTTGTGAGATAGTTTCAATGATATTCCGGCAGTTTAAGTGATGGCCTCAATCAGTATAGACAGGTCACATGATCATCATGAGATATTAGATATATTAGATTCCGACCAGATCTGACGACTAAAGTTAGTTGCCTTCGATTGATGACATTTGTGTATCTACCCCCTACTCACCCACTTGTGTGGGGCCCCTCCAACATACACGAGAATTCAGTGTATAAATGTGTGTGTGTGCACGTGAGCGGCATGGGGGATACACTCCGCGGTGGCGGAAGTCGCCAGAAGTGTGCAATTTAAGACATCGGAAGTGCGCAATGACACATGACTGTGGCCGTGTTAGGGTATATTTTCCGCCTCGATAATTTAGAACAGTTTTTTCAGAGGATAGCCGAAAATTATTATAAAAGAACATACAATGAACAAAACTTACTAGTCGCTAGAGCAGGGAAATTTGATAGCCACATTTTAACTAATTAGTAATTTTTAAAATGTAACTATTCGAGTATTCGAACCATGAAGTGACCATTCTTTCTAACTATACTATTACTGGAAGTATAAAGCAAAGGGCATCTTATCTTTTAACTCAATTGCTTTTAATCTGACCAGATAATTTAAATTAATAAAATAAAGAAAAATCCTCTGAATAACGGTCCTAAATTATCGAGGGAGAAAATAGGCCCTAACAGGGCCCCAGTCAGGTGTCAATTGCGCACTTCGGTTGTCCTAAATTGCGCGCTTCCAGCGACCTCCGACACAAAAAGAGTGTCCCCACGCGGCGTGGATTGGGGCTACTCTCGGCGGTGCTGGAAGTTCACAATTCGGTGGTGGCCTTATAGTCCCCGGAAGCGCGTAAATGACACGTGACTGAGGCCCTGTTAGGGTATATTTTCTGCCTTGATAATTTAGGACCATTATGCAGAGGATAGCCAAATAAAGATTATTATTATTATAATAATTATATTATAAATTATTAATCAAAGTCAAAGTAACTTAGTTAACTTAGTGAGCAAGGCACGTTTTAAAAAATTAATGGCTCTCCTCCGAACTTCTACCCCCCTCATTATGACGGCAGAAAAATATCCGTACGGGGCTCAGTTCTATTAAAAATATGCCAGCTTCGTATAAGGAAACAAATGCTCTAAGAGGGTCTCAGCGATATGTTACTTGCAGACCTGTTTTTGTGACTATGCCTCACCGCCGACCATATTCCCCGCGCCGCTATGCGCGGATGGGGGCTAAACTATATGGCTGGGACTCACGAGCAGCAGCTACCGCATATCCTGCAACTTACTCCAATTAATTTACTCACGAGTCCCAGACACCTAGTTTAGCCCCCCATTTGAGATGTGCGTAGCGGAGCGGGGAATACTGTCGGCGGCGAGTTTAACCGCGTTTTGCGCATGCCGACAAGCTTGAGGACAACGACGCTAATCTGCGTCGACGCACGTGGACTCTCCGCCATGTGGCTTTTATCGTCAGTAATGTTGCGTGTCTCGAAATTGTCCATGGTCGCTAGCATCGTCTGCAGAAACGTTTGAAAGTGTCAACGGTCGCTATTATCGTATACAGTGTTGCGTCTCTTGAAATTGTCAGGTAATCATCCTAGTTTTGCAGCAATTCGTTTATCGCCGGAAGTTCGCATATTTTTAATTTTTCTTCTTCTTCTTTCATTCGCCTGAAATAAGTTGTCAGCAGTTTTGTCTCTTGTATAAATTTCACTGTCGTTGTTAGTTCATTCAGTGGTCCATAGAGTTTAGTTTACGTTCCACTGTTTTCTTTCTGGCCAAAAGGTTTGCCTTAATGTGTCAAAATCAGTGCAGTCCTGGAGTACATGCTCTGCTGTCTGGGGCACATTTCCACAGGTGCACATGGCTGATACACCTACACCTATCTTGAATTTTGTGTACATGTGGTTACATAATTAATATAATCAGTTGTGCCCTTCTGAGGCGGAGGATAATGACTTGTTCTGGTCTGTCCATAATATATTTTTAATAGGACTGAGCCCCGTAAGGATATTTGTTAGGCCGTCATAATGCCGGGGTAGAAGTTCGGAGGAGAGCCAAAGAAATTAATTTGATCATGATTTCAGTAAGGTCACTTTCTCGTACGCCAAGTCAAGCACAACTGAATTATAAGTTTAAGTAACATGATTAATATTATTAGACTACATACTTCAGAATTGTTTAAGTTTAGAAATCATAAATACTAGCCATTAGCAGGCAATGTAGAAGCCGGCTTTTAAAAGTCTCTTTTTTAAGGATTTTATTCTGACAACGCAACATCAACACACCGACCACAGTCTTCGGAACATAGTAAAATAAGCTTTGCTTGTGGATGACAACATACCTTCAGTAAGAAATCGGTGTGTGACAACGGTCAGCTCCAGACAAGTAAACACCAGATAATCAAGCTCTAGTCTATACAAGTGTCATCAGCGTGTCTTCCTTTCCCAGATTCCCGGCTCTACCAATTCACCAAATTCTCCGGTTTCAAATTTACACCTACACCGGGCAGTCCAGATTTACTATCCGAGTCAGACCATGTTCGATGTGATGAAGTTAATGACTTTGGTCTGTTAATTATTCTTAATCAACAAAATGTTACCCCAAATCAACTCAAATATTACCAAAACTAGTTTACATAACATGATTATCGGAATTGTTTAAACAGTACATTTGAAACACATTAAATATATCAATATGTGTTCTATGTCGGTTAATGAAGCGACTTGTCCTCTTAGTGAAATTTTGATTGCTCCAGGCTGCACCCCCATGTCCATCAGTCTAGACAGGGATATGGATTCTTGTCCTTTGGCGTGCTCCTCGGTACGGTAAGTGCAGCGCATGGCATTGATAACATCACTTCTGTCCAGTACTGGGCCAGACATAGCAACTGCAGTGTCAGCAAGATAGTATGCACGCTTGTTCCCTTGAACACCCGCAAGACCTGGCACAAAATTGAAGGTTAGGGCAGATATTCGTGAAGTGATTAGTGTTTCAATCCATTCTTGCCTGATAAATCCAGAGTGGGTTTTTTAAGGCATATTCATCGAGTCACTAAGAAAGCATACCTGGGTGCACTTTTGAGTACCAAGCCATGCTAAAGCTCTTGTTACAGATACAGTTTACAATGTAAGGCTACTAGTTGTAACAGCACTTCGCTTGCCCCTAATTACTGACCCATCTGTGTAAACTACAGTCTCACCTTCATCTGTGTTTTCATCAATCAGTATTCTGACTAAAGTGTCAACAATGCCAGGAATCTGCACTCTACAGCTTTCATCAAGTGTGATATGGACTGTAATATGAATGTTTTGGAGAGGGAGGCTAATTATCCATTCATTTCCAAAATTAATGTCAGTAAGGCGGCAAACTTGTTCGATGGCGTCCTCAGCCTGACACATCTAGGATTTGAGTCTACTCTTTTTGGTTTGTTTGAATAATTCCTCATAAATTGGGTGTCGATGGTTCAATTTCGAAAAAACAACAACCCTGGATAGCTTGATTCTGTTTTCCATTGTGGGGAAATCCAAGAGGTATCGCATGGATTTACAGGAAGTGTCTCTAGTGCATCCAAGAATAATACGTGTTGCCTCGCTTTCAATGTTTTCCAGTCTGTTCATCTGTTTGGTGCTGAGTATCATGATGGCCAAGGCATAGTTAATGATGGCGAGAACTAACGCACGATACAACATTAAGTAGCTCAAAGTGTGCAGCTCCCATAACTTTTATTGCGGAGAGACCTTTCTTGGCTTTGGTTCTAATGTGGTCTACGTGTTTTTTAAATGCTAAGCTTCTGTCAAATGTTATACCCAGGTACTTCATGGAATCAGATCTCTCCACGTCAGCACCACAGAGTTTTACCATCGGCAATGGTGTTATGGAGAGGAGATTATTTAATGAGAACCAGGTGACTGTCGCTTTTGATGGATTAATTGTTTCCCCTGAGTTGTTGCACCAGGATGATTTGCAATCTAATTCCTGTTGTAGATCCGAAACAATGTCATCTCTGTTCCTGCCCTGTCGGTACACGATGATATCATCCGCATATGATGGAGTATGTTGCAATTGTATTGTCTTTCCTATTTGTTGCAATTAATAGATAATCTGTGCAATAATAACCAAAATCAATTAACAAGCAAAAAGAAAAAAAAAATTACTCAGTGTCGAAATAGAAGAAAAACCTTATATCCAAATTATAAACCAGATTCGTTGAATAAGATATCGTTTTTAATTTACTGCTGTTTCTGAAAAGCTTTATCTTACCTCAGTTTATCAAGTGTCATCTTCACTTTGATGATTGGTTTATGAAAAAAAAATAATTGGTCCAGACGTTACAATTACCGCTGAGAACTGACATGCTTTGATTTAATTGGACCAACATCGTAAATTCGACTGTGTTCAGCAGCAGAAGCTGTGGAATATCGTGAAAATATAGACTTCTGTGCTATGCATACACCTAAATAGAAGAGCATATTACAAGAGAAAGGGACTTTGTCACATAATCCTTGTTCTACGTTGGCATTTCGAGCCTCATTACTGCAGATATCCGCCTCCATTAATCTCTCCGATTGACCATTTTCTTTCCATTAGGAGACACCAAGTGTTTGTTGTCTGTATATTATGTCTTCACCGCCTGGAGACACCAAGTGTTTGTTGTCTGTATATTATGTCACCACCGTCTGGAGACACCAAGTGTTTGTTGTCTGTATATTATGTCCACGCTGTCTGCAGACACCAAGTGTTTGTTGTCTGTATATTATGTCTCCACCGTCTGGAGACACCAAGTGTTTG